GCTGTACCGGGGCTTGAACTCAAGGCTTACACCTTGAGCTACTCCACCAGCCCTTTTTGGTGAAGGGTTTTTTTGAGATAGGGTCTCTCGAACTATTTGCTCAGGCTGGCTTTGAACTGGGATCCTCCTGATGTCTGCCTCCTGAATAGCTAGGATGACAGGCGTGAGCCACTGGCCCCTGCATACAGGGCATACACTGTGACATCCTCAGGGCATTTAAAGACACATGGTTTATAAGGATGCCCTTATAGAGGTCAGAAGTACACTGAGGAAAGCAGATAGCCACAAGGATGTCACTGTGGCCACTGGGCTCAGTCCAGCTGGGGTTTTCCAGGACCCAGCATAGATTTGTGTCTACACTGTTCCACTCCAGGTGAGGGGCAAGGGAACCGGGGTACCCATCCACCCCTCCCATCAGCCATTGTTGGAGGGCTGCTCACAGGGGATAGGTGACAGATGGCCTCACTTGGTGACCTTTGGAAGCCGCATCAGAGTGCTCAGAAATGACAGGACGCCGAGAATACGTCCCATCCTTGTTAGGAACAGCCAGACTTGGAACAATGAGAGCAGCCTCAGACGAGATGGAGAAGTGCAAAAAGAGAATCCACTGTGACACACATCCAGAGTCTCTTTGGGGACACAGGAGGCAGGAATAGTCACTGCTAGGAAGTGGGAGGATCTTTTTTAGCTGGCAGAAAGAGGTGGGAGGAAGAGACTTTTCATGTTCTACCCTTCTGCTGGGCTTTCTTGGTTTTGAAGATAGATAGGACTGTATCACCTCTGCAGGGAAAAAAAATGTAAGCTTTTGTTTAAAAAAATTGAAAATTCAAATTCTCCTTTATGTGTGCAGAGAGAGAGGCAGTTAGTGAAGGTGATACTCAATTCTCTCTCTCTCTCTCTCTCTCTTCCCTCTTCCCTCTCCTTTGACATAGGGTCTTGCTATGTAGCCCAGGCTGACCCAGAACTCACAATCTTCCCGTCTCAACCTCCTCCGAAAAGCTGGGATTACAGGCGTGAACCACCATGCCTGGCTCTATATACTCAATTCTTTAATGGAGTTACAGCCAAACAGTGGGTGCAGCTGACTCGGGGGCGATTTGAAAGAGCAGTGATCCACGTCCGTTAGTGCTGGGGAGGACCAGATGCGCTTGGTGGCTGACCCACGCTTTTCCCTGTGTCCCCCAATGCAACCTGAATATGTCCCTTTCCAACACAGACCCAGTTGCTGAGGGTCGGAAAAGAGATGGAACTTCCACTTCCCCACTGTATCCCCAAGAAACAGACCCCGCTTGTGGGTGATAACCCTTGCTATTCTGTGGTAATTCCTTCCACTTCTGGTCTCATCTGAAAGGTTCGTGATGTGGTTCTGGAGCACAACCTGGTGACCCTGAGGAAGGATTACAGGGGTTACAACGAGCCAGATGACTACTCTGCACAGTGGAACTTGGTCATGGAGAAGGTGAGGTGACTTTAGTGTGAAATCCTGGTGAAACAGACAGAGCGTGAACTTGACCATTTCAACCATGTCCAGATGCACAGGTCTGGTGACGTTAAGCACACTCACACTCATATTCTTGTGATCCGTCACCTCCATCCACCTCCAGAACTTTCTATCATCCCAAATGCAGTTTTGTGCCCATTAAATTCTAACTAATTATTGTTTTTTGTTTCTTTTTCTTTTGGTGGGATTGGGGTTTGAACTCAGGGCTTTGTACTCAAAGCAGTACCTCTGAGCCACACTTCCAGCCTATTCTGCTCTAGTTATTTTTGTCCAGGCAGGCCTTGAACCACAATCCTCCAGATTTCAGCCTCCTGAGTGCTGGGATTACAGGCATGAATCACTACACCTGGCTCGTTTTCTGTTTCTTTGATAATCACCATCCTGATAGGTGGGAGGCAGGAGCAGCACGTGTTTAAAGACCAGCCTCCTTGTGTCATCCAAGTCCTGGGGGCAGGTGGTTGAGGGAGGCCTCTGAGGTCAAGCAGGGCAAAGCCACTGCCTGTTGCAGGGAGTGTTTCCCATCTGAATCCTACATCCGGGAGCTGCTGTGGGTTCAAGATCAAGCTTGGCAGGTGGCAAGGGATGAGGAGGGATGCTTGTTCCTATCCTGGGTTTGGCTTTTTGACCTTGAGGTGGTGGAGATTTCTCACCTACGTTCACACGCTCCTTTAACTAATATTTACCAAGCACCTAGTATGTGTGTCAGGCACCATTCAGGGCTCTAAAGACAAAATAGGACACAAAAAAAATCCTGCCGGGCACCAGTGGCTCACGTCTGTAATCCTAGATGCTCAGGAGGCAGAGATCAGGAGGATCGTGGGTCGAAGCCAGCCCGGGCAAATAGTCCGCAAGACCCTAGCTCGAAAATACCCTTCACAAGAAAGGGCTGGTGGAGTGGCTCAAGCAGTAAGAGCACCTGCCTAGCAAGCATGAGGCCCTGAGTTCAAATCCCAGTACCACCAAAAGAAAGAAAGAAAAGACCTGACAGTGTATTACATGAGGGACTTGAGCATTTGCAGATCTGGGTGACCGTAGGGTATCCTGGAACCCCACGGATACCAAGAGGTGCAACTGAGGGGCCATGTGAGCCCAGGAGTTGTCACTAATTTAGAACAGAATGGTCAGGACAAGCCTTCCCGAGGACCTGATGGCATGCACAGAGACCTGCGTGAAGTAAGGAAGGGAAGTCTGCAGGTATTTGAAGGAAGAGCATTTGAAAAAAAGTGAGAACTGCCTGTGCAAAGGCCCTGAGGTTGCAGCTTGCTCCATGTGTTTAAGGAGCAGTGACAAAACCTGTGGCTGGAGCTGAAGAATAAAGATGACAGTGTGTGGTGGGGTGAGGATGGGGAGGTGACAGCTGCGTGTTGTGCAGCTCTGTGTAGGTCACAGTGAAGAGCATAGCTTTTACCGCAAGTGAGCTGGGAGCCATGGAAGGTCCTGACCCACAACAGGATGGTGTCAGGGCATTCAGCATAGACCCTGGAAGAGTATCGCGTCTGCTCTGGACAGTGGCCTTGGTGACCATGGTTTCTATTCTCCTTACTGTATTGTTCTGTGAAAAGCACTCTTTAACGTTTCTTCTTTTCCCAGCTAAAGTGCTGTGGGGTGAATAACTACACCGATTTTTCTGGCTCTTCCTTTGAAATCACAACTGGCCACACCTACCCCAGGGCTGCTGTAAGTCCTTAGGGGCTGTGCACTGTGATGGGCGCAATGTGTCCCCAGACGTCATCCACCACAAGGTAACTCAAGATCCCTCTGTGCGTTGCCCTGACAGACCTTAAGGACTGGGGACTTTCCTAAAAATTGCCTATTTATGGGAACCCCAGCAAAGGGAGTTGGGGCAGAGAGAAAGCAACTCTCACTTGGTGATTTTTTTTTTTGGCAGTGCTGGGATTTGAACTCAGGGCCTCACACTTGCTAGGCAGGCACTCTACCACTTGAACCATTCTGCCAGCCATTGGTGCTTGGTTCATTTTGATACCATAACTTGGTGACTGGGTTAGTCAGTTTTTTTTGTTACTGTAACAAAATACCTGAGGTAGTCAACTTAAAAAAAGAGGAAAGGTTTATTGTGGCTCATGCTTTCAGAAGCTTCTTCAGTCCGTCGTCAGTTGGCTGCCCCAATTGTTTCTGGGCCTGTGGCAAAGTAGCCCATCATGGGGAGGAGCACATCGTGGAGAAAAAGTCTGTTTCCCCTCATGGCAGGGGATGAAAGGGAGCCAGGAAGAGACCAGAGTCTCTTAAAAGATACGCCTGCCCCTGTGACCTAAAACCTCCCAGGAGGCTCCACCTTTTAAAGGGTCCACCACCTCCCAATAGCACCAAGCTGGGGAACAGCTTTTAACATGGCCTTTGGAGGAACATTCCAAATCCAAACCCTAGGGTTATCCTCCCCGTTTCACAGATGGGGAAAGTGAGAGCGGGCACCAGTGGCTCACGTCTGTAATCCTGCCTACTTGGGAGGCTGAGATTGAGAGGATCACAGTTTGAAGACAGCCCAAGCAAAAGTTTGCAAGACCCCATCTCCAACATAACCATACCAAATGGACTGGAGGTGTGGCTCAAGTGATAGAGCACCTGCTTTGCAAGTGCAAAGTCCTGAGTTCAAACTCCAGTCCCACCAAAAAACAAGTTGGGGAAACTGAGGCTTGGCAGGGGGATGTGACTGTCTCCAGAACACATGGCTTTGACAGAGTTGGGATTTTTTTTTTTTTTTGAGACTAGGCCTTGCTATGTAGCCCAGGCCTTGACTTTGTGATTCTCTTGCCTCAGCCTCCCAAGGGCTGGGATTACAGGTGTGTATTGCCACACTTGGCTTGTTACCTGTCTGCTCCCCTCAAACATCAGCCCCATGAGGCCAGGAATTTTGTTTTTTATACATTTCTGGGTTGTCAGAGTTCATCACACTATTACATGAGTGTGGAGGGGGAGTACATAGTGATGATGAAAAGCTCAAGGCAGCCCAGCTTGCTGGTGACTCAGAGAAGGGAGTCACTGGATGGCCACAGGAAGGGAAACAGAAATTCCCACATGCACACCAGGCAGCTGCCTGCCCGCCCATGTCATCCAGTCTCCTAACCCCTCTGCATCAGTTCCTTCGCTGCAAGCCGGAGGAGAGAAGAGGACCCACCTTGCGAGGTGGCAGTGGGGAGTGAGTGAGAAAACGCAGGCAAGGGGCGGGGAAGGTGCTGAGGACACAGGCAATGCAGCCCTCCTGCTCATATGTAAAGAGCACTGAGCAATAACTAATGGTGGAGCTCAGTGGAGAGTATGTGCTAGCCTGCGTGAGGCCTGGGTTTAGTCAACAGAAACAATGGGGAAGGAAGGGAAGAGAAGAGAAGATGGGCATGGTGGCTCATGCCTACCACCCCAAGTTATGAAGAAGGCTGAGATGGAGAGGATCGCGGTCCAGGCCAGCCTGGCTAAAAGCAAGACCCGAGCTCCAAAATAACAACAGCAACAAAAAAGGTGTCATTCAAGCACCTGCTGAGAAAGTGTGAAGCCCTGAGGTCAAATTGCAGTTCTACCAAAAAAGGAAGGTAGGAAGGAGCTAGGTCCCTGGGGCTTTGCCCCTTTTCCTCTTTGAATCTGAGGGAGTCCGAAAGGCCTGAGTGGTGGACTCCACAGAGTCCAGGAGTCCATGAGGGTCTAACCAGCTCTTCTCTGATATTTGGACCACAGGGCTGTTTCTCCAAACTCCTGAAAATAACCAAGACTCAGAGCTATGCCTTGACCGGGGTCTCTGTGGGGGCAGCCGTGATCCAGGTAGGACCCAGTTTCTCTGAGACTCACTGAGCTCTTTTATTGAGCACCAAGTGTGTACTTAACAGTGTTCCAGGCACTGGCAGCACAGCAGTGAACATTAAGCAGGGATGGCAATTATTTCAGTTAGATATTTGCTGTAGGCTGTGGCTGTGGCTCAGTGGCAGAGCACCTGCCTACCATGTGTGAGGCCCTGGGTTCCATCCGCAGCCCTGGGAAAAACAATTCTCGCTGGGAAGGAAGTAAACCAAGGTGATGGGGGAGATAAATCATGGAGGTCTCCCCAAAGGAGGTACCATTTTTGGTCAGCCACCTAGAAGGTAGGAGAAAGCCATGTGTTTTGAGAAAGACAGAGGGAGCAGATGGTGCAAAGGTCCTGGGGCAGAAATTAGTGTGGCTTATTCAAGGAGCAGCAGGGAGGCCACTGTGGCTGGAGCAGAATGAGCCAGGAGGATAGCATGGAAAGATGATGGCAGAAAGTTGATTGAAGCGGATCTTTTGGGGGCCTGTGGACATCAGGGAAAAGTTAGATTTTTATTCTGAGTATTAGGAAAAGCCATTTAGAAGCGCTTGGGTTTTTTATTTTGTTTTGTTTTTTTATTGGTGTTTTGTTTTGTTTTGAGACAGCATCTCACTATACAGTTCAGGCTAGGCTTGAAGTCACTATATGTAGTGACCTCCAGTTCACCATTGTCCCGCCTCCATCTTCCAAGTGCTGGGATTGCAGGCACGTGTCACCCCAAGTGGCTTGTTTGCTGAGATGGAGATCTCACTAACTTTTTGCCCTGACTGGTCTCAAACCACAGTCCTCCTGTCTCTGCCTACTGAGTCATTGGGATTGCAGACGTGAGCCACCTCACCCAGACTCTTCTCATTCCTGAACCCTGTCTAGAGATCTCTGACAATGGCAACAGTCCATTTTCTGTTGCTATCACAGAATACCTGAGACAGGTGTCATGGTTTGGATCTGGACTGTTCCCCAAAGGTCCTTGTATTGATGAATTGGTCCCCAGCTCATGATGCTATTGGGTGGTGGTGGAACCTTTAAGACCTGGGGTCTAGTTGGGCATGGTGGCTACTCGGGAGACTGAGATTGGGAGGATGGAGGTTTGAGAACAACTGGGGCAAAAAATTACTGAGACCCCATCACACCCAATAGCCCGTGCATAGCGGCTCATGCCTGTAATTCCAGCTATGTTGGGGAGCAAAAAGTGAGAACTCATCTCCAAAATAACTGGAGCAAAAATGACTGGAGGAGTGGCTCAAGTGGTAAAGCATCTGCTTGCCCTGTGTTCCACATCCATTACTGCAGAAAAGAAAAAAAAAAAGGAAAAGATAACAAAAAGAAAAATAGAAAAGAAGCAAACAAAAAAAAAAGAAAAGTGGAAAGGTAGTCTCACTTTATAACAACCTGCACTGCTGTCACTAGTTCAGCCCCACCAGAGCAAAATCACTTTCAGAAGAAAGGCGTGGATCCCACTTAATGATCTCATCACCTCTTAAAGGCCCTGCCTGGGCAGGCCTGGTGGTGCACACCTGTAATCCAAGGATTTGGGAGGCAGAGGAGGGAGGATCACAAGTTTGAGGGAAGCCTGGGCTACAAGACAAGACTCTGTCAAAAAAAAAAAAAAGTCTCTCTCACCAGTACTGCCATATGGGCAGTCAGATTTCAACATGAGTTTCAGAAGGGACAAATATTATTCAGACCATAGCAAGTGACCAGCCCAGGCGACGCCAGCAGGAAAATAGTTATCCATAAACCGAGGCAGGAAGGGGAAATCCTTTTCAATTAATCTGCTTCTGATTTTTACACAACCTGGACTTGTAACAATAGAATGAAATGTGGTCTGTTAGGGACAGAATGGATTAGGCAATAAATATTGGGAGAATATTGCCCAATATTGCCCAATGTTTAAGCACAGAGACAGGCCTCCCTATTGAAAAAGAAAATCCCTCCTTTGAACCACTCGGCTAACCAAGCAGAGAATTCAGCGTTCACACACAACAGAGAATACAGAACTTAGAGAATTAGCACCAGAAAGTCACCAAACAAACAGGGACAGCAGCACCAAACCAAAAACTGGAGGGGAAGGGGAAATAGGATTTCTTTCTTATTTAGCCCAGGCTGACCTTGAACTCAAGATCTTCCCGTCTCTGCCTCTTGAGTGCTGGGATTATAGGTGTGCAACCACCACTCCTGGCAGAAAATCTGATTTCCAGGATAGTGGTGTTATATTATTTAAAATGTCTAGTTTTCCACCAGAAGTCTCAAATCATACAGAAAAACAGGAAAGAGTGGACCATCCAGGAAAAGAGCAACATATCGAAACTGTCCCCGAAGAAGCTCAGATGTGACATTTAGAAGACAAATATGTTAAACTAGCTATTACAAGTATGTGTGAATGCCTAAAGGAAACGGAGGGGCTGGGTGTGTGGCTCAGTGGTAAGCACTTTGGTTCCATCCCCAGCAACACACACACAAAGATAGGCTAGGTGCCAGTGGCTCATGCCTGTAATTCCAGCTACTCAGGAAGCAGAGATCAGGAGGATCATGGTTCAAAGCCAGTCCAGGCAAATAGTTCGCAGGACCCAATCTTGAAAAAAATGCCATCGCAAAGAAGGAAAGGGCTGGTGGAGTGGCTCAAGGTGTGGGCTCTGAGTTCAAACCCCAGTCCCACCACAAAAAAAAAGAGTGAGAAAAAATGATTTATTATCATTGTTGTTATTTGTGGAGCCCAGGGCCTGACACTGTCCCACTAACATGTATATCTAGCCTAGAAATTATTTTTTAAAAGGAACCAGTGGAAATTGTAGAATTGAAGTGTAAAATAATTGAAATGAAAATTTCACTAGAGAGACTCAGCCATAAATTTAAGCAGAGAGAAGAAAGAATCAGCGATCATCTGGGTGTGGTGGCACACACCTGTGATCCCAGCACATGGGAGGCTGAGTTAGGAGGATCATGAGTTTGAGGCCAGCCTGGGCTACAAAGCAAGACCTCGTGTCAAGAAAAAAAAAATCACTGAACTGAAGATGCATGGAGATTATCCAGTCTTAGGAACAAAAAGAAAGCAGAGTGATGAAAAATTACTGGAGTTTAGGGAGGAGGGGTCACCACTGGGCATCCTGGATATGTATAGTAAACATCACAGAAGCAGACGAGAAAAGGAAAAAGGCAGAAAGCATCTGTGTTCCTTAGTTTTTGATCACTGTGACAAAATACCTGAGAAAATCAACGTAAAAGGAGGAAAGACACATTTTGGCTCATGGTTTCAGAGTTTTCACTTCCAGGTCACTTGGCCTCGTGGCCTTTGGGCCCTATGGTGACTCTGAACATCACGGTGGAAGTCCGTGGTGGAGGGGAAGTTGTTCACTTCACAATGACCCGGGAGCAAAAAGAGAGAAATCTGGGTGTTTAAACTAAGCTTCTCCCTCAAACCTGTTAAGGTAGTAATTTGTCAATGGATTCATCCATTCATGAGGTCAGAGTCTTCCAGTGGCAGAGCACTTGCCTAGGAGGAGCCAGACCCTGAGTTCAAACCCCATTGTCAAGGCCTCACCTCTGAACACTGCTGCATTGGGAACCACATCTTCAACACACAAGCATTTGTGGGACATTTTAAGGTTCATAGCAGCATATTTGAAGGTATGATGGCCAACAACTTTCCAAATCAGATGACTAAATATAAATCTACACACTCAAGAAGTAGATAAACTCTAAATAGAATGAACTCAAAGAGATGCACACTTAGCTATAGTATAAAAACAAATTACTGGGCCAGGCATGGTGATGCACACCTGTAATCCAAGCCACTTGGGAAGCACGCATGGGAGGATCATAATTTAAGGACAGTCTGGGAAAAAAAGTTAATAAGACCTTATTTCAATAAAAAAAAGCCCGCAATCCCAGCCACAAGGGAGGTAGAGGTAGCAGGATACAAGATTCAAGGCCAGCCCCAGGCCAAATCGAGACCCTATCTGAAACCTAAACTAAAGCAAAAAGGGCTCAGGGCATGGCTCAAGTGATAGAGCACCTGCCTAGCAAGCACAAAGCCTTAAATTCAAACCCCATGACCTCCAAGACCAAAAACATAAGGAAATAGCTATAAAATTGTGTTGATGAGTTTGTATATATAAAGATGATGTTTGTATGACAATCATTGCACAAAGGAGAGTGGAAAGAATAAGGCTATATAGGAACACCATTTTGTATTGTATTGACTGGGCACTGTAGCTCAAGCCTGTAATCCTAGTAAATTGGGAGGCTGAGATTGGGAGGATTGAGGTTTGAGGCCAGCCTGGGGAAATAGTTCTCGAGACCCCATCTCCAAAATAACCAGAGCAAAATGGACTGAAGGTGTAGTTCAAGTGGTAGAGCACCTGCTTTGCAAAATGGACCTTCAGTTTATTTTGCTCTGGTTATTTTGGAGATGGGGTCTGGAGAACCATTTCCCTGTGCAGACTTCAAACCTCACTCCTGCCGATCTCAGCTTTCCAAGTAGCTAGGATTACAGATGTGAGCCACCAGTGCTGCCAGGCTGAAAGACACTTTATAATAATAAGAGGGTCAATACATGACAAACTCATAATTCCAAACACATAATATATGAATATAAATATAAAATATAAATAAACATAAAGAAAATATGAACATATATGCAACTAAAAATAGAACTCCAAAATTAATAAAGCAAGTCTCATTGAACTGAAGACAGGATAGACAATTCAACATTAATAGTTGGAGACGTCAATGTCCTACTTTTGATAATGAACAATTAAGCAAATTACAAGAAAACAGGAAGGCCTGTCTGCCCACAGTTGTGTCATGGAAAGTTCAGACACACCAAAGAGAAGGAGTGAGAAGAAATACCCATCTCCTTCCACACTCTCATATTTCCTGCTGGTGCTTCCTATTGGGCAAACCTTACAGGAAGTCAAAGGGTGAGGGGCTTCCTATTGGCCAAGTCTAATAGGAAGTCAAAGGCAGGGGAGCCTGGGAAATGTAGTCCTTGGGGTTTAGAGGAGGGCATTATAGGAAACACATAAGATCAATGCAGAGGGTGAATAACTGATACACATCATGACAAGGGCTCCACCCTCTAACAATGCTGGATTCACTATGCTAACAGGACCAGAGTGGCCCCAGTTTGGCCCAGACAGATCTTCAGCCATTCTTAAAACTCACCTTCTGGCTCCAAGATGTTCCTTTCCCTCTCTCCCATAACTCCAGTTTGATTCTGGTTTATAAGTCTCCAGCAATGGCTCAATGTTTCTTTCTTCTCCCGTTTCAGTTGCCAGGAATTCTTGCCACCTTGCTGCTGTTCATCAAGTTAGGTTGACAGGGAGGCCTGGAGAGGACGGGACACCTGAGTCCACCTGGCTGCTGTAGATTGGGTCTCGTTTTTTATTTCTCTGGGACACTCATTGCTTTTGGAGAGGAGATTGATAATAATAAAAAAAAATTCGGGAATCCCCTGCCTAGCCTGATTCCTTTTTTCTTAGTTTTATTATTCAGACCAGCTGGCAATGATTTTAGCTTGAAATAACTGAGTGGAATGGTGTTTAAGTCCATATTTGTTACTGTAATAAAACACCTGAGGCCAGGTACTTTTAAAGTACCCGAACTCAGTTTGGCAGTCTAAAAGTACAAACAGTGTAATACTGGCTCTGGTGAGGGCTTCCTTGGCTGCATCACTTCATGACAGATAATTCAACAGAGAGATTACATCACCAGACAGGAAGCCAGAGTAAGGGGAGGGGCCAATCCAACAATCTCCTATTAGGCCCCACCTCTTAAAGGTTCCACCCACTCTCAACACTGCCACACTGGTGACCAGGCTCCCAACAGTTGATGACCCATTGTGGAGCAAATCAGATTCAGACTATAGGAGACGACATGTCCTTTTCTCATACATGAGTTTCCTGCTTTGTAAATTACTTTGTGAAAATCTGGAACATTCACAAAAGTGGAGAGATTCCAGGGAAAGAAACCTCCAAGATTCATCACCTGGAATCAAGAACACAAAGACTCTAAGTATTGGCTTCGCTGATTGTGTTTTTAACCCACTGCTGAAATGTTTCCTTTTTTTTATTAATTTATTTTTTGTGGGACTGGGGTTTGAACTCAGGACTTCGCATTTGCAAAGCGCACACTCTACCACTTGAGCCATGCCTCCAGTCCATTTTGCTCTGCTTATTTTGGAGATGGGGTCTTGAGAACTAATTGCAAGGCCTTGGTTTCCATCCCCAACACCACACACACTCACACACACACTCACAAAGACACTCTTATCTCACTCTTATCTAAATCTGAGGGATTTAGGAGCTGTGTGCTAGGAATAAGCAGGGACAAAAACCAAAATTTTTAAAATATTTTACCACAGCAAGAAGTGGCACTGAGTGTGTATGCTTAGGCCAGGAGCTGGTGGTTGACGCCTGTAATCCCAGCTACTCAGGAGGCAGAGATCAGGAGGATCATGGCTCGAAGCCAGCCTAGGCAAATAGTTTGAAAAAACCATTTTTCGAAAAAACCCTATTTCGAAAAAACCTTTCACAAAAAAGTGCAGGTGGAGTGGCTCAAGGTGTAGGCCCTGAGATCAAACCCCAGTATCACAAAAAAAAAAAAAAAAAAGTATGCTTAGTAAAAGGATCTGGGTTCTTTTCCCAGCACCAAAGAGGAGAAAAAAGAAGAAAAAGAGGCTGGGGGCAAGTGGTAGAGCACCTGTCTAGCAAGCTTGAGACCCTGAGTTCAAATCCTAGTTAAAAAGAATAGAAAAACACTGAGGAGAGGTTGAAGTGCTAAACAGGGAGGCCAATGAGATGGTGGAATTTGCACAAAAATCTGAAAGAACGGGAGAAGAGCCATGTGGGTACCTAGGATAAAAAGCATCCAACCAGTGCGAAGGTCCAGGGGCAGGGGCCTGGTTTGTTCAAATAACAGCAAACATGTCACATGGTGTGACTGGAACAGGGACAAGTACAGGGAGGCCAGTGGGTAGCTGAAAGTGGGGAGGCGGTGAGTCAGACCATGCTGGGCCTCCGAGTCACAGGGAGTCTTTGGCATTTACTCCAAGTAAAGTGGGAGCCATGGAAGGTTCTGAGTGGAGGAGAGATTCATTGCATCTCAGATCCTCACAGGTACCCTTACTAGGAGAGTTGGAAAATCACCACCCTCCCTGCCTTCCATAAGATGGAACTTTCTAGAGCCTAGGTGGTGGCCACAGGGCACAGTGAGAAGCACCCCCCAGGCCTTATGACAGCTCTGTGCTTCCCAAATGGCCCTCCACTGACCATCTACTTAGCAGAGAGCCAACACCCCTTTTCCTGGAAGCCTCATTTCACTAATGGAAAGAAAAGAACAAATGCATTTGGGCATAATGGCTTTATTTTGTTTCTCATGTGGGGAAAAGTGCATGTCTTTCCAAATTGGCAATCAAGAAATTGCTTACACAGAAGAGCCACATTCAGGCCAGAATGGAGGGCCGGGGAAACGGCCAGCCAAGCACTCATTCCAGATGGCTTCAGAATGCCAGGGAGGGGCCAGGAGTGGAAGTGTTGCTTTGATACCAAGATCAAACCTGATCCCTGGTTTTTCTAAGTGGAGGATTAAGGAAAGACAGAAGGACGTGATCTCTGGAGAAGAAAGGGAAAGAAGGAAGGGAGGGAAGAAAGAAGGAAGGAAGGAGAGAGGGAGGGAGGAAGAGGAGGGAGGTAGGAAGGAAGGAAGGGAAAGAAGGAAAGAACAGAAAAAAGACCCTCGTGAAGGTCATGACCATTTCCACGAAAGCTACCCATGGAAAGACAAGCCACTACCAGCTAGGAAAGGGCGCCAGTGGGCAGCTGCCCCTGACCGCATTCCCCTGGGGCTGACAAGTGGTTTTCCCACAGCCTCTGGTTGAAGTTCTGTGTACAAACTCAACAAGTCTTCATTGCCCACCTCTATCATCTCCAAGGATATCGCTTGGGTTCCCTACGGATCCCCTAGAGTTAAACCCTCCTTCTATAACTATAAAATTCAAAACTGCCTTCTTTTATAGACAACAACCTAAAGGTTCCCACATTTATTCCCAGGCTTCAGAGAACCCCAAGGCAGTGCTCTCTGCTGCTACTTGAAGCTCAGCTATTGAAAAGTTATGTAAACAGAAAATTTAGGTCAGTCACGTTCAAGTTGCTGCTAAAGCTGTTTTTCCCCCCTTGGTGGGACTGGGGTTTGAACTCAGGACTTCACACTTGCACAGCAGGCGCTCTACTGCTTGAGCCATGCCTCCGGTCCATATTGCTCTGGTTATTTTAGAGATGGTGGTCTCAAAAGTATTTGTCTGGGCTGGCCTCAAACTGAGATCCTCCCGATCTCAGCCTCCCAAATAACTAGGATTTCAGGCATGAGCCACCGGCGCCCGTCTAAAGCTCTTTATTTTTTTAATCACACAAGGTCTGTCCTCAGCTGATGGCAGACTTTGGCCACTGTTTTGGGGGTAGCAGCTCAGTGACAATGGACTGGCCAACAAAAAAACCCGACAGGCCATGTTGTAGCACAGGACTCCCCCTTTCGTTAAGCTATTTTGACTTTAATATTATAGCAAAAAAAAATTTTATGACCCCTCACCTCAAATATTCAGATACCCTCAGTTGGTGTTCATAGAATTTGTCCATTTCACTTCAGTCACTTAATTTGGCCTACAAAGATAACCCTCAGTGGCGATCTATGCCTGGTATGGGGGAAATAAATTTGAACTTGTGAGCCTTGGGGCTCACACATAATCTTGGGAAGGAGGCGGTGCTCATAAATGCTGTATGAAGTCACTCTGTTTACAGAGACTAGGGGAGTGGACACAGCCCCTGACATAGAATCAGAGAGCTGAGGACACAAACTCGCCACTTAGGCCACCGTCACAGTGTTGGTTGTGTTATTGGGCAGAGGGTGGGGTGGCGGTCAGTTGGTTTTCAGGGCAGGAGGTACCATGCCACCAGAGTTTGGACTTTGGTGGGCAGGAAGACCGCCGAGCTAGCTGGGGAGGTAGGAGGGTCAGAAAATAGGTGGTCCAACTGGATTTGTTCTCTGAGTAGGGGGTCCAGGAAGATGGGAACCCCAGTAATGTGGACTCTTGACTTTGATCATACCTCATCCCCCATCCACTTGCCAGCTGGATCCAGGAAGTACAACGGAGGACAGTAGGTTATTTAACTGTACCTTCTCACCCCTCATTCCTGACCCCAAAGCATCCCATGGAAAGATCCAGGATTCCCTAGGCCCACTGGTGACACAGTTTAGGAGATGGACACTGGGTCTTCAAGTTGGAGAAGCCTGAGTCCTGACATCAGAAAGTCACCAGCAAGCCCAGGCTGTGGGGACATTGCTCAATTTCCTTCTGTCGCAGGATGTTAAGATTTGGAAAGATCTTGCTTAAAATACAACAAGCCACCAAGGCCCCAGTCTCCTGGCTCTGAGGTGACCTGGCAGACAGCCTTGAGCAGGAATGCTAAAGGTTGGCTAATTCCCAGTCCCACCCGATATGGCCAGAATGTTCTAGAGATGCAATGGGTTCATCAAAACAAGGACAGGATCATGGGTGGCATAAATTCTGGGGAAGCTCAGAAGGCACTTTGGAGTCACCAATGCCGGGGGTGGTCCTGACTCGGCTCCCTTCTATAACATGCTGTTTTCACAAGTAGATGGTCTGTAAGCTGAGGCAGGGGTGTGAAGGGGACCCCAATCATCATCCCAGCTTGGAAACTTGGAGTCTAGGAGGTTCACAGGGTGGGTTCAAGGCCAACCTGGGGGAACCTGAGAAAGAGGCGCCACTTCCACTCTCCATGGATTAGCCCAGAAACCCACACCATGTGACAGCATCAGCAGGCTCCTGACACCAGGCAGTGTCCAATGAGGAATGGACTAACATAGAAGGCACGGAGGATGTCCCTCCATCAGGTGTGGAGGGACATGCGGCCCAAGGCCACCCCATTGAAACACCTTGGAAAGCAGTTAAGTTCATGCAGGGTAACCCAGGTCCCTGCCGGCCATGCTGAGCTGAACCCTGGGGTGTGCGGCCTGTGACCCGGGCTGAGTAAGGCAGCACGGAGAGGGAGGGAGCCAAGCTGGAGGAGGAGAAGGTGGCAGGCAGGAGGGAAGGGGTGCCCTGAGCTTGGAGACAGCCCTGTGGCTCATGTCTCAGTCACAATCCCTGCTGAGGCAAGAGGGGATGGGTGGGAGTCGAGGGCCAGTTCTAACAGCTGCAGCTGCTGGGCTGGGGGGCTGGGGTGTCCCCCAGGGTCAGGCCTTTGCCATTGCTGCCTGGGCTAGAGTTGGGCTCCAGGGACTCGTTCATCTTCTCACAGATGACATCCACCAGACGCTCGAAGACCTGCTTCACATTGATGTTCTCCTTGGCACTGGCCTCAAAGAACTCAAACCCTGTGTGGACAGAAGGTGGGGACCCCATGAGCCCTTCTGGAGTGATAGAGTCTTGTCTGTGGCATCTCTTGAACCTGAGCCAATCCCAGTCATACTTTTTTGTTTTAATTTTTTGAGACAGGGTCTCACTAGATAGCCAAGGCTGGCTTGCAAGTCTCAATCCCTCTGCCCCTGCTTCCTGAATGCTGGGATTATAAACTTGTACCACCAAGCCCAGCTCAGCTCTGCTCTTTGTCCTGCTTTGGGGATTTGGCTAAGTGTCTTAGCCTTTCTGAGCCTCAGTTTGTTCATCTGTAAATCAGGAACAAAGGTGCTGCTGAGGATGATAATAAAATTGTGAGGCAGCAGCCAGGCAGAATGGTGCACACCTGTAATTCCAGCACTCAAGAGAATCTGAACTTTGAGAACATTCTGGGCTACATAGTGAGACACTGTCTCAAAAACCAAAATAACAGTCGGGTGCTGGTAATTCACACCTGTAATCCCAGCTACACAGGAGGCAGAGATCAGGAGGATCGAGGTTCGAAGCCAGTCTGGGGAAATAATTCTCGAGACCCTATCTTAACAAACCTATCACAAGGGCTGGTGGAGTGGCTCAAGTAGTAGCATGCCTGCCTAACAAGCATGAGGCCTTGAGTTCAAACCATACCACAAACAAAACAAAACAAAAAAGAAAAGAAGGCTGGCAGAGTGGCTCAAGTGGTAGAATGCTTACTTAGCATGTGTAAGACCCTGAGTTCAATTCCCAGTACTGAAAAATGACTGAAGAATGACAGAGAGCTTGGCACCGGTGGCTCACACCTGAATCCTAGCTACTTGGGAAGCAGAGGTCAGTTTGAGGCCAGCCCAAGCAAATAGCTCTGAGACCCCATCTCCAAAATAACAAGAGCAAAATGGGCTGGATGTGTGGCTCAAGTTATCGAGAGCCTGCTTTGCAAGTGGGAAGTCCTGAGTTAAAATCCCACAAAAGACAAACATGGCTGTGTTCCAGGGAAATTTCACTTGGAAACTTTTTCTTTTTTCCCATGCAAGCACTTTAGCACTGTGTGACACACCTACTCCCTACAAGCATTGAAATTTGAGGACAGAAGGTTTGGTTCAAGCAGTAGAGCACCTGACTAGGAAGTATGAAGCCCTGAGTTCAAATTCCATACCATCAAAAAAAGAAAATAAATTAAATTTAATATAAATTTCATATTTACATTTTTTATGAATCTCTCTATGAGATGGAAGTGCTAATTATCCTGATTGATCATTACCCATTGTGTAAATACCAAATTATCACACTGTATTCAGTACGTGACAATTATTATATGCAATTACTGTGTCAATTTAAAAAAATTGTCCAGGAAAGGTGGATCATGCCTATAATCCCAGCTACTCTGGAGGCAGAAATTGCCTCACACATTGAGGCTAGCCAGGGCAAAATGTTAGCAAGACTCCATCTCAGTTAATAAGTGGGGTGTCCTGGTACACAGCACACCTGTAAGTCCAGCTGTGAGGGAGGTATTCGTAGGAGGATAGAGGTCCAAGGGCTGGCCCAGGCAAAAACACAAGACAACTGAAAAATAACTAAAGCAAAAAAAGAGGTAGGCGTGCCTCAAGTGATAGCCCCCAAAAAATGAGGGCTGATGCAGTGGATTGAGTGGTAGAGCACCTGCCTAGCAAGTCTGAGACCCTGAGATCAAACCCTAGTACTGCCAAAAATAAATGAATAATAAATAAATGAAATTTAAAGAGGAAAAAAAAAAAGAAAAATCTTACAGACACTTAAATGGATAATAAATTTCACATCATGAAATATTATTGTTCTTTTTATTTTTTATTTTTCCCTATGTAGCTGAGTCTGGCCTTGAACTCATGATCCTCTTGCCTCTATCTCCTGAGTGCTGAGATTACAGGTGTTCACCATTATACCCTGCTTATTTTTATTTATTTATTTATTTTTGTGGTACTGGGGCTTGAACTCAGGGTCTACACCTTGAGCTACTCTGCCAGTTTTTTTTGTGTTGGGTTTCTTCGAGATAGGATCTCATGAACTATTAGTCTGTGCTGGCTTCAAACCTTGATCCTTCTGATCTCTGCCTCCTGAGTAGCTAGGATTACAGGCGTAGGCCATCAGTGCCCGGCCCAGCTCATTATTTTTATTTTTATTTTTTTCAACCATTTAAAAATGTGCTTTCTGGTTGCTGGCACATGCCAGTAATCCCAGCACTCAGGAGGCTGAGGCTGGGGGCATGACAAGTTCTAGGCCTTGCTGGGAGACCCGTCTCAAAACAAAAACATGCAGAACAACAAAAAGTAAAAATTGGGCTGTGGGTAGAATGCCTGCTTAGCATTTGGGGAGCCCTGGGTTTAATTCCCAGAACAAACAAACAAAAAGAGCCATTCATGTATTGCACTGGGCTGAGGTCTGTTTTCCCTGGAGCCCCATAAAAGAGACTAAAGAGAAAAATCGGTTGCCTTGTTAGGATCCCAGGGTCAATCTACCCCGGTTCCCAGGGCAAGGGAGGGGTTTCTGTAGATGAGTCCCCTGAAATCAAATTCAACAGAGACGGTGGCATACAAGATGGCATACCCTGGGTATTTTTCTGGGTGGATCCTCAAAGAGTTGGTGACTATTATTCGAGCTGGGACCTGAGGATGGGTATGAGGGTTTGGTGATGGGGGGCCCTGGGGCACTAACCAAGGTCATCAGCAAGTCTCCTGCCATCCTCAGCTGGTACGACACGCTCGTCCTCCAGGTCACACTTGTTCCCCACGAGGATGACCTGGGCATTGTCCCACGAGTAGGTCTTGATCTGTGTGGCCCTGGAGAGTTGGGGGGCATGAGTGAGAGGGTGGAGGGTGGGGGAGGGTAAGGGCAAAGGTCAGGGCTCAGTGGTGAGCCAGCACTCACCAGTCCTGCACAGCGGCAAAGGACTCCTGGTTGGCGATGTCATACATGAGCAAGAAACCCATGGCTCCGCGGTAGTAGGCTGTGGTGATCGTCCGGTAGCGCTCCTGGCCTGCTGTGTCCTGGAAAAATGGCAGTCAGCCGGCCTGAAGCCACCACTTCCTCACCCAGCCCCTGACTAAGGGACACTGCACTGTGCTCACAGCCCTGTCAGATGGGGTAGACATAGATTTATTCTCAAAGGGACCCCCTGGTTTAATGGGAGAGACGTGATCCTGCCCTGGATGTGATCCCAGTCAGAGGGGTCGCTGGCCTCTCAAAGTTAAACCAACTTAACCACCACAAATGAGCCAACTGGGCCGCAGGGAGCCATCTTGCTACCTCCTGGTGCTCTTGCTATCATGATGACCATTACCAGCTGCTGAGTTTGGGGGCCGAGGGTGGCTCTGAAGGCCAGGCAGACAATTGGGGATCCCTGGGCTTGCTCTTGGGTTAGTACCATCCCCCTTTTCAGGCCCTCAACAGGCCACCCAGGACAAGGCATGTCCCCCCACCCTGATGAATTCACCTCATAGATAGCAGCCTCCTCCTCAGCCGGGGCCACTCTCCTGCCACCAGGAGACCCTGCCCACTGCCCTCGCCCTCTAGGGAGCATCACTGGAGAAACCCCTCCCCCCAGACCCACAGACAGCCGCCTGGCCTACCCAAATCTGTAGCTTGATCCTCTTGTCATGGCGGTAGACGGTCTTGACCTTGAAGTCGATGCCCACGGTGCTGACAAAGGCGGGCGTGAAGGAGTCGTCAGCATAGCGGAACAAGAAGGATGTCTTGCCCACACTGCTGTTGCCAATAAGCAACAGCTTGAACATGTAGTCAAAGTTCTGATCAGCAGCGTCACGGGGGGCCGCAGGGTGGTCTCCAGCTGACGCCATCTTGGAGCTTGACAGGAACCTCTTGGAAGGGGACCTCAGAAATCCTCAGATGGGAAAGACGGGAGCCCTACCAGGGGAATTGATTATAGCTCCAATGGATCCACCTGGCCTGGGTTCAAATCCTGGCTCTGCCCGTTGGAAAACAACTGCTTGCATCACTTTCTCTGATTGAACCTCAACATTCCTCTTTTGAAAAAGGGGATGTTTGTCACAGTCCCTATCTGAAAAGGCATTGGCTGGGAGCCTCAAGTGAGTTTCTTCATTCATTCAACAAACACTTGCCTAGTCCGCCTCTGTGTCAGGCACTGTTCACTGCAGACATAGCTATCAATAAAGTACGGAACAGCCCACAGGGTAGCCACGTGCCTTCCAGTGCGACATCATTAATATACCTAACGGTCATAAAAAAGTACCCAGCATATGGTCTTCACTCAGTAAACGCAACCACACAAAGGCAAAATTGAACCATTGTTACAGAAGCTTGACGGCTCCTATCTTGAGGCCCAGAGACCTGGCAAGGGGTTCAAATTCAAGGCCAGGGATGGGGAGGGGGGCACAGAGGCTGCCTTCTCTGGCCACTGAGGAAGTCTGAAGCTGCAGGTGTGGACTTTGCACCCAGGGTATGCAGCTTGTGTGGCCCAGGTGTGAGCTGGGAGGGGGGAGGAACCTGCCAGCTGGACAGAGCCCCCCCCCAGGGGGTGTTGACTTTGGCCAGGTGTCTGCTTCTCCACCCCCAAGCCCATTTTAACCTTTTCCTGACATCAGGGCAAGGATTTTGGCTTTTTTCTTTTCAGACAGCTCAAATCTAAAGCCCCAGCTCGATTTCCAAGTGGGTACCTGCCATTTTTTATTTGTCAAAGGGGCTGGGCCTGTCTCCATCTGGCCAAGGCTGACTCACCAGGGTTCCAGCCCAGGAAGCAGATGTGAGAGTTCTCAAGCCCAGGAAAATTATCCCAGCATCGAAGTATCAGAAAGCCCACTACCACAAACACAACCCTGCTCCTCTGGTCCTTCCTCTCCAGGCAAAGGATCCCAGGGCCAAGCAGCCCACACCTAGCTTACTGCTGCTTCTGGGCCCAGCATGCCCCCTCCACCCCCAGCCTAATTCTGGCCTCAAGGCCTCAGTTTACCTGTCTACCGCTGCTCCCTGAGCTGATGAATGGAGCGTTCACAGGCAGGGAAGCCCAGGCACGAAGCGATTTCTCAACAGCCATTGGGGCTTTTTTTTTTTTTTTCCCCTACCATTTTCAACAGGGACCCAACCAGCCCCACCCCGTGTTCCGGGAGAACGAGTTTGAGGAGGGGCAGAGAAGCCGCCCATTGGGCAGGGCTGCCAGGCTGTGGCCCCCGCCCCATCCCGCCTGCATGGGTCACCGGTCCCACCTCTTCCTGACAATCTCCCACCTGGCACTAGGTAAGGAGCCCCAGAGAGCTCAGATCTGCCTCTTATCAGTGGTTTTGGGGCGCCCCAGCCGGTGCAGGGGAGCTCAGCCGCCTCGCCCCCATCACCATATGGTCCCAGCGCAAGTCCCCCAGCTGGACCCTCTACCCCGCCCGCGTCCCATCAGCGCGGCCGGATGAGCCCAGCTGGGTGCGGGCGAGGGAAGAGGCGTCCCCCGCAGCCCCGCCTTTGTTCCCTAGGTCCCCGGCCCTCCTCCCTGCCCCCCGATCTCCAGACCTGCAGGAACGCGCAGGAGCTGAGCGGGGTGCGATTCCTCCCGGGGAGGGGGGGGTCACCTCTTGTCACTGGCCGCTGGCCACCGGGATCCACCTCCCAACTTGCTGCGGCCTGGCCTCGGCGCGACCCCCTCCCCGCAGCCGCCACCGCCACCGCCGCCGCCCGCAGCCACCCGGATCCCGCGCCGGCTCCGCCCGGGCGGCTGGGGAGGGGCCGCGCTGGGGCGGGGCCTAGCCGGGGGCGGGGCCTGTAGACAGCAGGTGGGCGGGGCTGGGGCTGCGCCGCGCCTGCAGAGCCGGCCCCCAACAATCAGCATCTCCTTTTTCCTAACTACAGGTGAAGAGGTCCTATTGGGTGCCCAGCTGTTAAGAGTGAGGGAGCAGGAGCCGGGTTCGAATCCCACAGCCAGCATTTTCTAGTCTTGTGCTATTGGACATATTACTGAACCTCTCTGGGCTCAGTTTCCCCGTTCGTCAAGTGGCCCAAAGCAAGAGTACTCACTTCACAGGGTTGTGTGGAGATTCTGATCTGAGTTAGTGTTTGTAAAGTGCCATATCTGACCCTAGAATGGGCTGCATCCTTTTGCTACTTTATTAATTTTTTTTTATGGGACTGGGATTTGAACTGTGCTCTACTAGAGTCAGTCCATTTTGCTCTGGTTATTTTGAAAACAGAGTCTCATGAACTATTTGGTTAGGCTGGCCTCGAACTGCAATCCTCCTGATCTTAGCTTCCTGAGTAGTTGATTACAGGCGTGAGCCACCGGAACCTAGCTCCTCTGCTAAGTACTTTTAATTGCTCTTGGAATTAAAACCCCCTTTTACAAATAAGGAAACCAAAGCTCAGAGAGAGGCAGCTCCTTCCTTGAGGCCACAGAGTAAAATGTTATTACAAAAAAAAATTGGTATCCAGGCCCAGCCAAGCTGCTGGAATTTTCTTCAAGCTAGTAGGATAGAGTCCATTATATTTAGGTTTTGCTGGTATTTGCATCCCACCAACTCTACCTTAAGCAACTTGAACTTTTTTTTCTTTTTGGTGGCACTGGAGTTTTCAGTTCAGAGCCTGGTGCTTGCTAGGCAAGTGCTCTACATGATCCATGCTCCCAACTCAACTTGAACTTTGCATGTGTGTAGCCTCACAGGAGCAATAACAGCTACCTCCAAATGCTACTACGTGGATAAACTGAACTGAGCTGAAGTGTACTAGCCAGGAAAGGCTGGGTCAGACTCAGTAACAACCATCCTCCAAGTATAATGAAACCCCATCACCAAAATTTGGTTGTGGTGAAGAGACAATCATTCTTGTTATACTTGTCAGTGACACATGTCAGATTTTTTCTTCCTTCTTTTGGTGGTGTTGGGACTTGAACTCAGGACCCTGTGCTTGCTAGGCAGGCGCAATACAACTTGAGCCACACCTTAAGTCCTTTTTGCTTTAGTTATTTTTCCAAATACGGTCTTGCATTTTCATGCCCACTTGGCCTGGCTCATAATCCTCCATTATGCTTCCCTTGTATCTGGAAGTGCACCACCAAGCCCACCTTTTATGGGTTGAGATATGGTCTTGCAAACTTTCTGCCTAGGCTGGCTTAAATCACCATCCTCTGGATCTCTACCTCCCGAGTAGCTGGATTACAGGCATGTGCCACCACACCCAGTGACACGTGCCATTTCTGTTCACATTGTCCAAAGCAAGTCACACAGCCACCCCCAATGTCAGTGGGGTAGGAAATATAACCGTCCCTTAGAGAACAGAACCAGCTATTGTTACAATAATACACAGTATAGACAATGATTAGCAGCATGCCAACATATAGCAGGTGCTCAATAAAGGGGCACCATTAGTGGAGACACTTAGGGGCTGAAATAGCTAACTCCAAATCACATGCCAGGTGCATGGGGAAACTGAGGCCCTCAGAGTCACCCTTGTACATGCACACACACCCACACTCACCCCACTTCTCATGGGGAGAAACAATGAGAGCCGTTTTTGGAAGAGGCGTTTATTAACATGGAGGGCCCACCCTACAGGCTCCTGAGGTTCAGGGCGAGGCCGGCCAGGCATAGCCCATTGCTCAAGAGGCAGCCCAGATTGCAAAGAGAGGAGAGGCCATGGTAGTGGAAGAAGGTCTTTCGGAGAGCACTGTATTTGGGGTCCTTCTCCCGCAGCTGGCGGTAGGGGTCAGGGCCCTGGTGGCTGCCTGGCACCTCCCCACCCAGGCCCCGCTCCTTCTCCACCGTCTGTAGGGCCCACATGGCAGCAGTGGTGCGGGGTTCCAGCCAGTGGGCGTTGATGGTGGCCAGCATGAGGCTCAGAAGCAATAGGCAGAGCTAATGGGGGCAGCAGAGAAGAAGGTGAGCCATGGGCAAGGCCCTTCTGCACCCTCACAGCCCAGACCAAGAACTGGTACCCTCTAAGGAAGGTTCCACCTGTGTTTCTTCTACCCCTCTGCTACCTAGTCCCAAGACTCCTCTCCTCTGTTACCTAGTCCCGGGGCAGGATCTTCCATCTCTATTTCCCCCAAAATTAAGTCAGAGAACTCTAATTGCTCCCTTGTCCCCTGAAAGATGAGAGCCTAAGATAGGGCCCTTTTCCTTTCTCTGTGACCCCAGCTCAGACCCCAGGAGCTGACGCTGGCCCACAGGGAGGGAATAAAATGCCAGTGAAATCCTAGTTACCCATAATCCTCTCCTTTATCTGGGTTTTTTTTGAGACAGGGTTTCCCTATGTAGCCCAGGCTGGCCTCAAACTCAAGATCATCTGGCCTCAGACTCCCAAGTGCTGGGATTATAGGTGTGCACCACCATGCCTAAGTATGGGAGATTATTCTTGAAACACCTGTCAGGACTCACCTGCCCACATCTGAAGAATACAGGGGGGTAGAGGGAGAGTGGGGTAAAGAAATCCTAGATGCAGAGATGGTTTCTTGGCTTGTGGCTGAGGAAATGTGTGAATGGGGGTAGTGAAGCCAAAATCCCCAGTTGGGCTGGTTTTTAAATAATGACCTGGGGTCAGTGCCCCAGCTCAGCTGAGTCACCACAGCCTGGCAGTGGGCCCAACCACTAGGAGGACAGGAAGCAGCAGCCAGCTGAGAGAATAGACAGGGCTGCTGGGGACAGTTGTGCAGGCTATGCACTGTTCAAGGATAGCCAGTGCCCACCAGGTATAGGGGCACTTTTTTTTTTTTTTCCTAGAAAAGATGAGAATAGGTGCTCACTGGGGTCTTAGGAACATGTTTCTGGAGGATAATGGCACTCAAGCCCACGTACCTGGCTGGCCTCCCAGAACGTAAGCTGAACCCAGGCACGTTGTGGAGCTAAGATGCAAAGATTGATGATGGCACAGCCCATGGAGATATAAAAGTAGAAAGGGAAGAGTTTGCTCTGCACGAGGCCGAAGGTATGTCGGGGAAGGTTTCGGAAAAGCAGGAAGCCTGTGAGGTAGGGGACCACATGCCTGTTAGGACACATCCTCCTGTTTCTCTCCCCACCCTGATCGCCAGGCTGAGGGTCCCTACCTGAGGCGAAGGTCACCCACATTTGCATGCCCCAGGCACCTGACAAGACCAGAAGATGGACCACCTTAATCAGGCCTCCTGGGTCCCCGCCATTCTCCATCTTGCAGCCCTGGAAAGGAGGCACCTGTGACTCATTGTTTCACCTTTGCCCCATGGCCTTCAATCTCTTTGCGTCTGCTCAGGGTCAGGGTCACGGCCTATCAGGCAGAGATTAGGGGAAAGCACTCCAGTAATGGGGGTGGAGACCCACAGGAGTCCCGTGACAATCCCGGACCCCAGCTCTCCAATCAGGGGGTACAGCAACTGCCTTGCATGAGCGAGGCCCTGGGTTCCGTCCCTAGCACCGCCAAAAACTTAAAAAAATGGAAATCTGAAGCTCTCTAGTTCTCTGTCCATGCCCCAAATTTCAGTCCCAGCAGCTCACGTTCATAGCCCCAGGCCTTCAGATCAGCCTAGTGACTCCCACTTTCAGCAGTCGAGACCCCTCCTCTCACCACAGAACTCGAGATATCCTATGAACACCACCCGAGCACTCCCGGAGACCCCCCATCTAATCCTGGGACACCCCAAACTCATTCAGAAGACGCCGAAGCCCACCGTTGGGAATTCGGACTTCCTCCCGGAGCACCCGGAGTCCAGAGTCAGAGACCCTAGGCACCAAGGCCAAATAGTGCGGCCGGGCAGGCTTCCGCGGTGCAGAGCGCCCCGTGGTTCTCCTGCGCAGTCTCTCCTCCTGGTTCTCCTCCAGCCCCAACCAAAATCTCATCCCGCCTCCCAGAACCCCAAACCAACCGGATCGCAGATCTGCAGCCTTCTGTCCCGCCTCCTTAGGTATTGACTAATCGGTTAGTAGGAACTATCCTAAGTCCCGCCCCCTCGTCAGAGTTTTATCCAATCATACTGCAGGTGCTAAGGAGCCAATGAGGCCGGCGACTACCTCGGAGGGGGCGGAGCTAAAATGTCGACCACACCCCTCTCTGTGACTCTACCTTCAACCTCCAGCGTTTTAACGCGATGGTGTCCCCATGGGATCAAATTTCAGCGTCACAGCTCGGGGGGCTGGCTTCGCGGTCCCTGATGGGAGAGCATGAACAGGTGGTATGTGGTAGGTGGGAGCGGAAGGGGGTTGGGAGTCTGATGGGCGCAGGATTCCTGGACCAGGGGCGGGGCCGAGGCTGGTGACCCCGCCCCCTTCCTCAGAGAATTCTCCCGGGACGAACAGCGGAAGAATCAACTGCGCTCGGAGGGGGAGGGTGCCCGCCTCCCACCACTCCCGTGGTCCCCGGGTCTTCAGCAGTGTGACGTTCAGGAACAGTGAGCTTCCCACTTCTGTATGCCAGGCACTGACAAGATTGAATTTACTTAAATCACCCCAACCCAGTGAGTGCATACAGTGACATCCCTTTTTGATGGTTGGGGACGGTGAGGCATAAAGAGAGTTTCAGTAACTCTTCTAACACCACACCGTTGGGAGGGGGCAGAGTTAGGACTTGAACCCAGGCCACCCAGCCTGAAGGTCCCCTAACTTAACTATGATGCTCTATGGCCTCTGGAGTGAGGATCTCCCCGAGACAGTGACTCTTAACGGGGTTACCTAGAACATTTCAGGCAGAAGAACAACTTGTACATGGGGGGAAGTAGGGGACTGACTCCCAGCTGAGGATGAAGACCCAGTAAGCACTCAGAATATATGAAAAAAAAAGGATTAAGAAAGACTTGGAACTGGGAATGTAGCTCAGTGGTAGAGCACTTGCCTAACATGAGCAGGCCATCAAAAGAAAATGAAAGGGGGGGAAAGGATTTGACAGAGGATATACTGAGTAGGGTTTTGAAGGATGTGTAGAAGTCTTCCAGGAAGACTGGGCCAGGGGAAAGATACCAAGCAGAGGGCCCAGCAAGGGCAACAGAAGCAAAAGGTCTAGAGGGCTTGAGGAACTGAGTGTGACTCAGGGCAAACCTGCTAACCCTGACTATACTGACTAGGAGGGCATGTGGAGGTGAGATCCAGAGCTGAATCCTTTCCTGCTCCTAATTGGACTCCAATTTAGCTAATATTTATTCAATAGATATGCCCTCCCTCTCCAACTCATACTCTGTGGCTCCCACTTACCTGCAGGGCCAGGCCCAAGCAGATCTCTGTGCCTTACTTGGGGTGACCTGTTGCTTCTCTTAGCCTGCCCTCAGCCATCCTGAATTTACCAGCACCGAGCATATGGTTCCATGCCTCGGAGACTTCCCAAGTGCTGTAGCTTTCTGGGAGTGCCGTCCCCTTAAGCCCCAGGTTCTTTTTATCTTTGGGAGGTTCCAAGGCCTCATTTCTTTTCTGGGTTTGGCGGGGTGGGGGGGGTGTCTTATGGGTGCTTCTCAGTGTCCAGCCCAATTCAGATTTCTTTTTCTTTTTTTCTTTTGGAGTACTGGAGTTTGAACTCAGGGCCTCGTGCTTACCAGGCAGGCACTCTACCACTTGAGCCACTCCACCAGCCTTTTTTGCTTGTTTTAGTTATTTTTCAGATAGGGTCTCATGTTTTTACCTGGGGCCAGTCTCAGGCCACAATCCTCTCGTCTATGCCTCCCATGTAGCTGGGATTACAGAAGTAACCATTACACCTGGCTTATTGATTGAGATGAGGGTTACACTTTTTGCTGGGGTAAGCCTTGAATTGTGATTCTTCTGCTCTCTGCCTCCTGAGTGTCTGTGATTACAGGCGTGAGCCACTGTGCTTGACCCTGAGATCATCTTTCAGCTTTGTCTCCAACCAAACTAAGAAGCTGGGTATTCAGGGCTGTGGCATCTCCCAGGTGTGTGTGTGTGGCGGGGGGAACACACAAGGGCTGGTCTTAAAGAAGCTCCTGTTCCTTCATTCCCAGTGACCCTCTTTTGGCCGGCCTGCCACTGGACCCTGACTTGCCTACGTCCTATTACCAATCACCTCCCTCACCCTCCATCGGATCTTTTCTTGCCAACGTGGAGAAGCGTGACAAATACTGGGGTTCGTGGAGGGGCTGTGGGAGGGCTGGGAAGGGCTGGGGCTGCAAAGTGTGCTCTGGGCTGCCCCTCAAGGAGGCTGTTCCCCCAGGCTCTTCCTTGGACAAAGCTTTGGAGTATAGGATTCACTGGCCCAGGATCTTAGAGTCAGAGCCTGTGGGAAACGCTGCTCCGGAACCCACCGTGAAGAGTGTAGACTGGAAGCCAGGGTGGGGCTCGGGGCCTCAGCCACATGGGGATTCCTCGTATTCCAACCCAGACCCACAGAAGGAGTGCTGTCATGACCAAGACCTTCTGAAGAGGCATCACAACATAGCCAAGGTCATCCCCACCCAGGGAACTCCTTAAATCCAGAAAACCACCCTGATCTACCACTGTGGGGCTTAGAGGAGGGGTGGGCTGGGGACCCTCATCATTTACGCCACATGTATTCAGCACCCAGAACAGAACCCGTACCCGTCAGGTTCTTGATAATTGAAGCATCGAATGGAAGGAAAGGGCCCTTGTGTATGGTTAGTGAGCTCTTTTGGTTTTGGTACTGGGGCTTGAACTCATGGCCTGTGCTTGCAAGCCTGGTATTCTACCACTTTTTTTTTTTTCACTCTGCCACACCTCCAGCCCTGTTTTTTGTGTGTTGGGTTTTTTTGAGATAGGGTCTCGAAAATTATTTTGCCCCAGGCTGGCTTCAAACTTCAGTCTTCCACATCTCTGCTTCCTGAGTAGCTAGGATTATAGACGTGAGCCATAGGCACCAGGCTCTTTAATGGATTTTGTCCATGATGGTCTCTGGGTGTTTGTGTGTCTGAGATGCGTGTGAGTGGATGCCCTGAGCGTGATGGATTAGCGGTTGTGCATCCCTGTGGCTGTGCTCGTGTGTTTCGGCAATGGTGTGTGGTTAATAGTGCCCACCTCGGATACTCTTGGTATCATTTGTCTCTGAAGAAGAGTGTCATTACCTGAGCCCAAGCCAGGGAGAGGGCTGGCACCTGCTAGCAGAAGCAACCTACCAGCCCACACGTGGGCAAGTGTGTTTCTGAGCATACAGGCCACGGGCAGGACAGGAATGCCCCTAAAAGCACCCTGGGGGGAGAGGTAAGGGAGGGGGTGGGGGCAGGGGGGAGAAATGACCCAAGCATTGTACGCACATATGAATAAAAAAAAAAAAGCAGCCTAGACTTCACTGATGGTTTGGGACACTCAGAACTCTTGTGCTACCTTGCACACTAGGTCAAGGTGAACAACCCAAGCACAAATTTCTTCTCCCCTCTTATTCCCCTTTCCTAGAAATCCTCAGAGAACAGCTCTGCCAAAGTTAAAGGTGAGAACTCTCCTTCCCTACAAGACTGGGTGCTGAAGACCTGTCCCAGTATCGGGGACCCCATTATCACTGCCCACTCACCCCTGCCACAGCTTCAGTGGGCCCCTGTTCTGTACCCCACCTGCCCCCACCCCTACTTGGAGTTTCTACCCTTTCCTGCTCCACTCTTGCCCCAGTGCTGGCTTCCGCTTTACCTTTGCCCGCAGGTAAGTCCACCATGGTAATTCCCGATTCCCAGAAGCTTCTGCGATGTGAGTTGGAGTCACTTAGAAGTCAGCTACAGGCTCAGACCAAGGTGAGCCACCTTGGCCCCATGCCCAGCACTCTCTGTCCTTGTCCCTGCCACCGCCCCCCCCCAATTCCCTTCTCCCTACCCCAAACACGACCTTCTCTCTCCCACCTGAGGCTTTTGAGTTCCTGAACCACTCTGTGACCATGTTGGAGAAGGAGAGCTGCCTGCAGCAGATCAAGATCCAGCAGCTTGAAGGTGAGGACTGGATAGAGGTCATGGTCAGGCTGGAGGCTGGTCTGGTCAGGGTCAGACCAAGGGTGAGAGAAGTTGGGGGACTCTGGGTTCAGAGTCAGATTGGAGGCTGGCCCTGTCAGGGTCATCCAAGTCAGGCCAGGGGGGGTGAGAGTTGAGGGAGTCTAAGTTCCAAGTCAAAGTCAAAGCCAAGTTAAGGCAAGCTGGGTTCAAAACTGGCCTCAGGACTTCGTCAAGGTTCCACCGTCTCTGCAGAAGTGCTGAGCCCCACGGTTCACCAGGGAGAGAAGGAGGGGCACAAGTGGGGCACGGAACAGGGTCGGCAGGAGCTGTATGGGGCCCTGGCCCAAGGCCTTCGGGGGCTGCAGAAGACTCTACGTGATGGGGAGGAGGTACAGCGGGCCCGTACTACACGTTGCCTGCAGCTGCTGGCCCAGGAGATCAGGGACAGGTGGGTTTTGGCAGGAGAGCAACTTGGAAGCTTCCAGAAGGAGTGGAGGCCAGGAAGGAAGAAATGGAAGAGGCCTGGGGTAATAGAGACTGGGGGGGAGGGTGGAAAGCTTAGAGGACAAGACAGGGATGGGAGGCTGAGTAAGAGAGTGTGGGGGAGATTGGGAGACCAGAAGGAGGGGAAGACAGGAAGCTGGAGGTGAAATGGGGAAGGAGGCCAGGAGATCAGGAGGCTGGGAGTGATGGGGGAGGCCAGGGAGGCAGAAGGTAGGGAGATGGAGGCTAAGGAGTGGAGAGACTGTGTGGAGGTTCAAAGTCAGGAGGAGAAGATGGGGCAGGAAGTGGGGGGACAGTGTAGGGGCAGAAGGTGGACATGAGAGAAGCTGGGGAATGGGTGGGAAGTATGGGTCTAGGTTGTTCTGTCCCCTTCAGCAAGAAGTTCCTGTGGGAGGAGCTGGAGCTGGTGCAGGAGGAAGTGACCTTCATCTGTCAGAAGCTCCGTGAGTACCTAGAGCCAGCAGCTAGGAGGGAGGCCCTTCCTGTGCCCTTACCCCACCCCTTAACTCCCTTCCCCCACAGAGGCACAGGAGAATGAGATCTCAGAGAACCTGGTGAACATCCAGAAGATGCAGAAGACGCAGGTGAAGTGCCGCAAGGTGAGCAGAGAAGACAGAAGAACCCAGACTAGAGGCTGGGTTCAAATCCCAGCTCTGCCACTTAGTGCTGTATGACCACAGGCAAATTACTTTGCCTCTCTTGGCCTCAGTTTGCTCCTCTGAATAATGGGTATAATTATGGCACAACCCTCTCTGATTGGATAGCTGTGTCAGCTGAGGGTTAAGTGCTTTGAATGAAGCCTAGTATGTAATAAGTGCCACGTAATGGTCACCTTTCACCATGATCATTACTGCTGGTGTGGCTGGTCTCTTGTCCCTGCTCCTCTCCTGATTCCAGGTCCTGACCAAGATGAAGCAGCAAGGGTATGACTCATCTGCCTGGCGGGACACAGAGGAGGGGCTGTTGGAAGGCAGTGGGTGCTGGAAGGATGACCTCCAGAAAGAGCTGAGTGACATATGGTGAAGCCCAGCTCTCAGTCTGACCTCTGACCCTTATCTGATCTGCTCCCTCTACAACCACATCTAACTAGGAGAATCTGGAGCTCACCTGAGTCCAGACCTCCCTCTTCTCCCAGGACTCACATCCCCACATGGCTGCCCCTACTCTGACCCTGCAACTGTCCCCATCCCGAGCAGTCCAGTGTCTCTCTCCAAGGGCCCCCATCTTTTCATCTCCCCACAGGTCTGCTGTGCATGGGCTGCAGAACTCCGTCGATGGCCTCATCATGTCCTCGGGGGCCCTCCCCAGGACCTCGAGCGTCAGGGGTGAGGGTATTGATCATCGCTGGGGTATGGGGAGTCATTCTCCAGCTTCATTTATGGGAGTCCCATCAGTTGGGTCTCATTCTGTGGTCACATTAAGTAATATTCTGGGGTTACATAAAGAAATTACAGAAAAGCCAGGTACGGTGTTGCACACCTTTGATCCCAGCACTTGGGAAGTGGAGGCAGGAGGATTGAGAGTTCAAGGCCAGCTCAGGGTACATAGTGAAGGGAAGGGAGGGAGTGCTTCCTTCTAGAACAAGATAAAATTAGGTTACAAAATGGAGTTATTTATGTCAAGGATAAATCTGAGTTTACACTTCCCACAGGCCAAAAGGGGCACCAATGCCTGAGCCCTACACTCCTTTCCTGGGACTCGGATTCAGACTGTGATCCACCACCTGTCAACAAGATCCGATCCTTCCCGCCCGGTGTGGACCCTGTCTGGCCCTTGTCCTACCCCACCTGCCCTTTGGGTAATTCCCACAGTACACACCCTCAGGACCACCCCAGCTTCCTAAGACCTGCAGTCCCAGGGTCCCTTGGGCCAGGCCAGGCCCTGACCCACTCTCTCTCTTCACAGCTTGAGCAGCCGGAACTGCTCGTCCTGAAGATCCCTCCAGAGAGAAAATAAACTCACCAACATCCTCCTCCTGGACTCTGCTCCTGCTGCTTCCTGTACCTTAGAATCCTCACCTCACTCCTGGTTTATTCCTCAGTGTTAGGGAGGGTACAGAGACACCAGGGACTGTGGGAGGTGTTCAGGCCTAGAGTTAACATGCCGGAGACCAGATTTAGGATAGGGGTCGGCCAAATACGGGTGGTCAGAAAGGCTCTTCCACACTGGCCCACGTGTCTTCTTTTCTTGGAAGCCCTGGAGATCTGGCTCTGTCGCCAATGCCCAAATGGGGAAACTGAGGCCCAGAGACGGAGGGATGCGGCGCCCTCCTCTTTCCCTCAGTGCCCTGCACTTGGGGGAGGACCGCGCTTTCCACCTCCGTTCTTCAGGACCACCCGAATCTATGCTAACATGCCCCGCCCCTGTATGTTAATGAGACACCGGGAGTCCCCGCCCCATTGGATTATGCAAATGAGGCGTCCGGAGGCCCCACCCCTCCCTGGGCCGCGGAGTCTGCGCGGCTCCGCCGGGCCGGGCTGTCCGTGTCTCCATCTCCGCGTCCGCCAGCCCGGCCAGCCTTCCGTCTGTCTGTCCCGCAGCGCCGGGGCAGTCTGGGCGGAGCGGGGCCTCAGGCAGCGGTGGCGGCCTAGACCGGGTGAGGGAGGGGCTTGGGGCGCCCGCTCCCCCGCCCCCGGGGGCTTCCCACCCTGAATCTGCTGGTCCAAGCCAGGACATCGGTTCCTGCGGTCCGGTGCCTCCGGGTCCAGCGCGGGGAGGGGGAGGGGAGGCGACGAGCTGGAGCCTCGGAGGGGTCTGGGGGAGGGGAGCGTGGAGAGGACCCCGGACCTGAGGAGCCAAGCGACGGTGGTGAGGGTGGCTGTGGGTGACTGTGGTTGTGTGACTGTCATTGTGACAGTGTGTGGTTGTGTAACTGTGGTTGTGTGGCTGTGACTGTGTGGCTTCGGGTGTGTCTGCGGGTATGTGTGTGGCTGTTTCCTGTGACTGTCGTGTGACTGTTGTGGGGATCACTCTGATGGTGTGTGTGTCTATGTGGCTATGATGTGGCTTCTGTGGGGTGGCCCTGTGACTGTTTTCGCTGGATGTGACTGTTGGTATCAGTGTGGTTGTATGTATTTGACTGTCATTGTGTGGCTGCTGATGGTGTGTGACTGTTTCATACCCTGGCATATGTCTGTAATCGTGTGCCATGTGGTTCTGTGTGTCTGTGTCATGGCCCATGTATGTGCCCTTATGCGACATGGGGCTGCCTGTGGTTGTGGATGGCTCCGTGTCTCTGCTAGGACTGTCAGCATGGATGAGAGACTGTTAATGTGTGTGGCTGTCATTGAGTGCCTTGTAACTGGGGGTGTGACTCTGTGACCGATTCTGTGACTCCCATTGTGTGGTGACTCTGCTGTGACTTAGGTGTGTTAGCAGCCTTGAGTCTGTGCTCATGAATATTGGTAGGGTGGTGGCTTGTGCGGGGTCGCCTGGTGTGTGTCTCTATGTGTTTGTTGGGGGGGCATGTTTGATCTGTGTGGGTGTCTCTGACAGGCCGTATGCACACTGTGCCTGGTGTGTGTGTGAGTGGTTATGAGTGTCGTGGGTGTTGGGGACCGGTGTGAATGAGCAGGCCTGTCTTGCTCACAGTGAGGCAAGCGCCTAGCACAGCATGCTTGGTCTTCTTTGTGGGGTGAATGGATCCAATGTCATGGGCTGTCTGTGTGTGTGACATTGGGATAGAGGCTGTGGCTTTGTGGGGGGGGCACCAGCGTGGGTGACTCTGGGCACCTGGGACCTCTGGTGACCCTCACTCCACATGTCCCACTACAGAGTGACTCGTGGGTGGAACACTGGACCCACAGTGCCTACCCTTGCCAGCCTGAGCCTCAGTTTCCACATCTGCGCAATGGGAATCACCATCCCAGCCCTGCTGCCCACCAGGAGCAGCTGTGAGTCTGTGGTCGAAGTGGTAGCCTGTAGGAGGAGGCCCTAGGGTTCTTTCACAGGTAAGACCAGGTGGGACAATGGGTGTCAGTCAGTAAGACTGTGTTGGCTCCAGAAGTTCTGGGAACTGAGGTTAGGTTGGAAGGGGACAATCAGGGAGGCAGTGGGCTGGGAGAAGTGAGGAGGAGGGAGAGGCAGCTGGGAGAGAAGGAGGGCCTGGCTATCAGCCCGCACCAGACACCACAGCCCATGGGGATAGAAGTGGGGGCCTCCATGGAGGCCATGGGGGAAGGGACTCAGGAGAGGGACCTGGCAGGGGTAGGGAGCATGCAGCATAGGGTCCCCTGGGGACAAAAGATGGAATCCCCTAAAAACAGGTGGATGTTGGTGCCATAGAGGAGGGGTCCCCCATAAGGCCAGATGATTCTAAAGGCCAAGGGGAGGGGTTCTCCTAAAAAGGTGTGGGGTCACAACCTCCTTTGTAGGCTGCAGAAGGAGGGGACAGCTATAGAATACTTGGGGTCTTTGGCAGAGGTTGAGTGGGTGGTGTGAGGGCAGCCAGGGTGATCAATGGGCAGGCCCAGGGGCCAATGGGGCGGGTCCCGGATTTCAGAGGCGTGGTCACCAGGCTCTCTCTAGTTACCTGGCTCAGGAATGGGGCCAGCAGCTAGGTGGCTAGCTGGAGTTCCCACTCCTTTCCCACCTTCGCAGGCCCAGGCTTCACCATGGCGGGAGGAAGACCTCACCTGAAAAGGAGCTTCTCCATCATTCCCTGCTTTGTCTTTGTAGAGGTGAGGACCCAAGCCTCACCCAGAGAGGAAGCCTGTCTCTTCCTTTCCAACTCCCTCCCTTTACCAGGCCCCTACTTGTACCCATTTTTCTCACCTCCCTGACTCCAGTCCTGCCATCTCTCGATCTGTCACCCCTTGTCACCTTGGGACCTCTGTTGCTGTCCCCTTTCTCTTGAGAAGTCGTTACAAGCTTGAGCTAAGAAGTGCCCCTCTCTGGGGACCAATCCCACTCTGTCTGTACTGCAAGTCTTTGGGCAACTGAGCCTCAGTTTTCTGATCCATAAAATGGACGTAATAACTGGGCTGGTGGCACACACTTGTAATCCCAGCACTAGGATCTCAAGTTTGAGGCCAATCTGGGCTACACGATGAGACCCTGCCTCAAAAAGGGAGAGTGCATAAGTAGAGTCCCTCTTTCCTTGGGATGTTAGGAAGGCAAAATGTACTAATTCCCTCCTCCCTCCCCTTTGTCTTGGTCTCTCTCCATCTTCCACTGTTTGTCTCTCTCCCTCCATCTCTCTTCATCTCTGTGTCTCTGTCTGTGTAGCCTCAAAGCCTCTGACCTCCTCTTCTCTCTGCCTCTCTCCTGATCTGGCTGGGTGCAGTCTGTGCTGCTGGGCATTGTGGTCCTGCTGGCTTACCGCCTGGAGTTCACAGACACCTTTCCCGTGCACACCCAGGGTTTCTTCTGCTATGACAGTACCTATGCCAAACCCTACCCAGGGCCTGAGGCTGCCAGCCGAGCACCCCCCGCCCTCATCTATGCCCTGGTCACTGCTGGGCCTGCCCTCACGGTGAGATGGTGTGGGTCGCCTTGGTCGGACCGTGGGGAGGACTTCTTTCAGGAGGCAAGAAGGCCAGGTGGGGGCTGGTGGAGTCTGGGCTTGAAGGCCAGGAAGACCCCACCTTGGTCTTGTCCACAGATCCTGCTGGGGGAGCTGGCACGTGCCTTTTTCCCTGCGCCACCCTCAGCCAGCCCCATTGTTGGGGAGAGCACCATCGTGTCTGGGGCCTGCTGTCGCTTCAGCCCTCCGCTTCGGAGGCTGGTCCGCTTCTTGGGTGAGAGATGCAGCCCAGGGTCAGCCCTATGGTTCTGGGGAGGGAGGTGGGTGCAGAGGCAAAGGGATATGGGGTAGCTTAGCCATAGTAAGAATTCCAGGTGGTAAGGAAAAAGTCCTAGAATTGCCAGGAACTTCGGGGGTCAAAGAGGGACTTGGGCTCAAGCCAAACGTAATGGAGAATCCAGAGAAATGAATGGGGCCTAATCCAAGCAACTGTGGAAGAAGGGTGAAGAAATAGGATGAGGGAGCAGGGTGTGGTGGTATGCACAGGAAGATGAGGCAGGAGGATCGAGAGTTTGAGGCCAAGTTGGGCTACTTAGAGGGCAGTCTCAGGCAGAAAGAGGGGGCCACTCCTTTGGCCAACCACAATAGGGTCCCAAGGCAGGGAGATGAGATTCCCTGTCACTTAAATGGGGCCCCAGTCACAATTGGTGACTGTGGGGTAGGGAGCCAAACTCATCCAAAACAGTTTTCCCAGGGACAGAGGGCTGGAGAGCCACCTCTGGGTGATTAGTACCCCCTGGGGAAGAGCGGTCAACTCAGCAATAGAGGGTCCAGGGTCAAGTACAAGGAGGTCCAGAAATGCCACCAAAATTTTCCTAGGAGTTCCCAGATGTGGACTCAGTCCTGATGTGATGGTGTTAGGGGTTTCAGCTTTCTTGCATCTCCAAGGGAGGGACCAGTTCCTGGGTAGTCCCAGAAGGACAGAGTCCAAATGTATTATAGTGAGGGTCCCAGAGGACAGAGGTCCCCGAATGCCATAATGGGGCCCAGGTTGGCGTTAATGGCGACCACAGGCACAGCGAGACCAGAGGCCCAATGAAGCCATAATGAAGGAGGACCAGAAGGACATCAGGGCCTGGGGCCTTGAACTCCTTTCCTCCCCCTACCGACAGGTGTGTACTCCTTCGGCCTCTTCACCACGACCATCTTCGCCAACGCTGGGCAGGTGGTGACCGGCAACCCCACGCCGCACTTCCTGTCAGTGTGTCGTCCCAACTACACGGCCCTGGGCTGCCTACCGCCCTCGCCTGACCGGCCGGGGCCTGACCGCTTTGTCACTGACCAGGGTGCCTGCGCTGGCAGCCCCAGCCTGGTGGCCGCCGCGCGCCGCGCCTTTCCCTGCAAGGACGCAGCCCTCTGCGCCTACGCCGTCACCTACACAGCGGTGAGCACCGGGGGAGCTGCGGGGTCGGACGTGGGGGCGTGAGCTGGGTGGTCTGGCGGAGGGTCATCCAGGCTGAGCCTTGGATTCCTATTTCCATGAGGCACACCCCAGTGCTATGACCCCGCCCCTTGGGCGAAGTCTCCTCAATGGAGGCACTGACTCCTCCCCTCTGGTCTCAGCCACGCCTCCTGCCCCAGTAATACCATGCTCAGGAGAGGGTGTTGACTGCCCTTTGGGATCGGGACACTGGCCTTGTAGGTCTCTGCCCCTTGGCATTCCATGAGGCTACAGACCCTAAGGGGGGGCTTTGACTCCTCCCCCCGTTGCCCTGGCCATGCCCCTATTCTCGACTATGCCGGCCTTCTAATTCCCCCATGATTTTTCTTAGTTACATTCTCTGTTGCATTGACTCCTTTTACTGGCCTCTGGGTTGATGTTCCTAATCCTGTCAGTGGTTCCCTGGGGCTCGGGATGTCACTTCCTGGAGGCCCTGGACCTTCCCCTTGACTCGCTTCACATACTCCCACCCTACTTATGTGGGCAAGCATCTTTCCCCATCTGTGACTATCCTGAGGGGACACATGAACCTCTGATCCTGACCTCTGCTCTTTAGAGCACTGGCCATGTCCCCTACAGGCGGTGCCCATGGGATTCCACAACCCCAATTCCTGCAGCCCTCACTGCCACCGCAACTCCTGACCTCTCCATTTGCCCTTACGGTCACACCCGCATCTTTGCAAGAAACCCCTGGGAGTCCATTACACGTTGTCGGAGACCCTGGCCACGTCCTCCAGCCTTGATACCCCTGGGTTCAGCCGCTTCATCACTGATCAGTCCGGCTCCCACAGATGTACGTGACCCTAGTGTTCCGCGTGAAGGGCTCCCGCCTGGTTAAGCCTTCTCTCTGCCTGGCCCTGCTGTGCCCCGCCTTCCTGGTGGGCGTGGTCCGCGTGGCAGAGTACCGCAACCACTGGTCTGACGTCCTGGCTGGCTTCCTGACTGGATCGGCCATAGCCACCTTTCTGGTGAGTCCTCAGTCCACCTATCTCTGCATGGGAGACCCCTTCATCAGCCCCTGACCCAACAGGCAGGACTGCATGATGATGAGGGGTGTCAACACTACGTTTACCTTTGGTGAGTTCTTTAATCTGACCTTGCCTGATACCATCTCTGAATGAAATGGGACAACAGGCCCAAGATCACAGTAAAGCACACCCAGAGTGCAAATTCTAAGGAGACACCAGAACTCAGCAATCCAGAGAAATATTTTAATGAAGTGTTTTTGGTTTTTTTTGGTTTTTGGTGACACTGGGGTTTGAACTCAGGGCCTGATGCTGGCTAGGCAGGCACTCTACCACTTGAGCCACTCTATAACCCTTTTTTCTGTTGGGTATTTTTGAGGTAGGGTCTCGTTTCCCCCCTCCCCTACCCCAGGCTGGCCTCGAATTACAATACTCCTGATCTCTGCCTCCTAAAATACCTAGGATTACAAATGTGAGCCACCAGTGCCTGGCTTAGTGAAACATTTTTTAAAAAATCAAAATTCATGCCAAACAATCACAGGGTCAAAAATGTAAATAAAGACAGGTCGAATTCTGTCCTTGCCTTACTTGCCATACCCTATTCCCAGCCCTGCCAGATAAATAATAACAATATCCACTTTTGAGTAAGGTGGAAGGAGCTGTGTTTAGGACATAGCACTGTAAAAACATTAGCTGTCTTTAAAAACCTGAACCTCAACCAGGAGTGGTACACACTCTGTAATCCCAGCTACTCAGGAGGATTGTGAGTTCAAGGGCAGTCCAGGCAAAGTTAGTGAGACCCTGTCTCAAAAGGAAAATAAAAGAAATGCCAAATGGTCTGGGGGCATACCTCATGTGGTAGAGTGTCTCATATGCACCAGGCCTTGGAGGTTTAATCCCCTGTACCTCAAAGAAGAAGAAAAAACAAAACCAAACCCTTAGTATCTTTCCTTTTTGGCGGTACTGGAATTTGAACTCAGGACCTTGCACTTCCTAGGCAAGCACTCTACCCCTTGAGCCACTCCTCCTCCAGCCCTCTGTTTATCTGAAAAATAGGGATGATATTTACATAACTCCTATTACTGGACTCATGCCTCAACACACTCCCCCCCCATCCCAGGTCACCTGTGTCGTGCACAATTTCCAGAGCCGGCCACCCTCTGGCCGAAGGCTCTCCCCCTGGGAGGACCTGGGCCAGGCCCCCACCATGGACAGCCCCCTCGAAAAGTTAAGTGTGGCCCAGGTAAGGGGGGCCGGGGGCTGCTCCCGGCTGGAAAGGGTGGTGGGTGGAGGGGGACCAAGGAGTCGGGAAGTCAGGCAAGAGGTTGGGGGGGGGTGGGTCTAAGGGCTGTGGCGGGTCTAAGGGCTGTGGGGAGCTACAGGGGTCTCCCATGTGTATGAACCAGGAACTAGTGAGGGAACAGCCCTAAATGGAAGATTGCACATTCTGTCCCTCCAAAGGGACACTGTTAATCCAGAGCGTGCTGGTTGTTTTTTCCACCGGCTCTCTGCCTAATGAGCCCCTCTTGGCTGTGGATGATGGTGTCCGGGGGTCCTCTAGCCCCTTCCCTCTGCCTCTTTGTCTCAGGAATCCGAGGCCTGCAGGCCGCATTCGACACCGGCACGGCTCACCCCATCCAGTGAGTGTTGGGGAAGTTGGGGGATAAACAGGGAGACTTCCAGATGGGTGGCCATCTCAGTGGTCTCACCTAGGCTTTTGTGGTCACCTCCCAAGCTTTCTAATCCTTTCTGTCTGACTCCTGACCTCTAGAGCCGCAGAACTGTGCCCGCCGTGGCCACCTGATCCCCAGCTGCGTGTCCTCAAGGGCCCCAGCCATGTGTTCCTCACCCCGTGTGCCCCGCCCTCGATTGAGGTCTGAGCCGACGCCCCTGCCTCTGCCCTTACCCCTACCAGCGCCAACTCCCAGCCAGGGCCCTTCACCCTCCTCTCCTGGGCCAGGGGGGCCAGGTGGGGGTGGTGGCCGTGGCCGGAAGCTGCTGCTGCCCACACCCCTGCTGCGGGACCTGTACACCCTTAGTGGACTCTATCCCTCCCCCTTCCACCGGGACAACTTCAGCCCTTACCTGTTTGCCAGCCGTGACCACCTGCTGTGAGGCCCACCACCCACCAAGAATCCACCCATGTCCCCATTTCTTCCCTGCCACGCGTGTGTGTGCGTGTGCCATGTGAGTGCCAAAGGCCCCTACCCCCAAACCAGCCAGGCCCAGACATCAGAAGATGGCTGGAAGAACAATTGAGGAAACCTCTTGCCTCTCTTGCCTACTGGGGTATCTCAGTAGGCAGAACTGCCAGGTGGGCCCTGCCCCACTAGGATTGCCCTTTTAAGAGCTAAAGTTCGATCTAATTGGTCACTGCTCAACCTATGAGAGCTTTCAGTTCCTAGAATTCTATCCAAAAGGAGTTACTCCAGCCAATGGAAGCTTCCCTGTTACTTCTTAGAATCCTCAGGCAAGAGAGCAACTCCAGCCAGTGTTCAGTGTCTGAACAGCCAATAGGAGCTCTTGGCTTTCAGACTTTCTAGAGTGGGTGGGTATGATTCCAGTCAATGGGGGACCGCCCCTGTCTTAAGCATGCACAGAGGCGAGGAGGAGATGGGTCACCCTGTGTCATCAGGTCCTCTCTCTTCGGAATCACGGAGTCCAGTTGGAGGGTGGGGGCAGGCTCCCCCATGGCAGGGCCTTGGGGTACCCCTTTACCCCTTAACCCCTCCCCTGCGTGCACCATCTCCCCCATCCCCTCCCAACTCACTACTTAAACAGGGCTTGCCCCAGTTCAGAGGTTTTGGGGTTCAGGGTGCTTTGTCTCTCCTTGCCTGTGCCCAGGGCACCCCCAAACCCTTCTGTTATTTGTTAGGGCTGTGGGAAAGGATGTTTTTTTTCTTGGAACCCACCTCTGTTCCTCACACTGCCTCAGCCTCATGAAGACATACCATCTTGGGGCACATAGGTGGAGCAGAGGGGGCTCCCCAACCCCAAGCAGCCAAAGGCAGTGGGCAGAGGAGACATGCCCTCCTTTCTTGCCCCTCCTCATCTTTAATAATGACCTGGCTTCTCTCTTTAATAAAGACCTGTTTGTAACAGAAGCTTGGCCACTTGCCTGCCTCCGCCGGGTGGTCGGGTGTGGAGGACTGCGATTGTAGGTCTATATGGCTGTGGAGCTGGGCGTGGGTGTATTGTCACAGTGTATCTGAGGACAATCATGGAGAAGCAGTGTGTGACTATGGGGCCAACAATATGGTTCACAATCCTAGCTAAGGTCCAGGCGTGGTGCTGCATGCCTGTAGTCCCAGGAGACTGAGGTAGGAGAATTACTGTCCAAGGGTGGCCTAGGCAAAAGCAAGAGACCCTATCTGAAAAATAAAAACTAAAAACAACAGGACAGGGGGCATGGCTCAGGTCCTGAGTTCAATCCCCAGTATCACAAAAAAAAAAAAAAGAAAAAAAAGAAATCCTGGCTCAGCATTTTTGGTTGTGCACCCTCAGGAAAGTAAATTAACCTCTCTGTGCTCTTGTTTCTTCATCTGACAGCTGCACAAGTCAATAAGACACACAAATACATGTGCCTGTGTTCCCTCTGCAGCTGGTTTGTTTTGGATAAATGGCCATGGTGCAGAGGGCATAAGGGAAAGGGTGAGGAGACCCTGAGGGTCTTGAGAGTGAAGGCGAATGCTAAGAGGCACCAGGATCCTCCAAGCTAAGCCCTTGCTGCCTGGGTGAGAGCAGATGGACAGCTTGTGTGCTTGTGCCAAGTCATGTGCTGTAATTTAGGCATAGGGGCTATAGCAATGAACAGAACAGTGTCTTTTGGATATTTCCCCAGGCCCCAGTAGGGGTGTTATGCAGGACAGTACTTACACCAAATTACCTTTCAAAAATGGGGGGAAACATGAATTCCAAACTTCAGGATCAAGGATTTAGGTAAGAATGGGATCTCTCTCTCTCTCTCTCTCTCTCTCTCTCTCTCTCTCTCTCTCTCACACACACACACACACACACACACACACAGTCTGAAGTCTCCTTGAAGAGATGAACTATAAAAGGAGGGGAAGGAGGGAGCCATGTAAATATCTGGGGGAGGGTAAGCATTCCAGGCAAAGGGAACAGCAAATGCAAAGGCCCTGAGGTGGGAACATTCCTGATGTTTGCAGGGAGTGGCAAGGAGGTCCATGTGGCTGGAGTGGAGTGAGGGAGTGGGAGATACAGGAAGAGGAATTTGGAGAGAGCGCTGAAAGCAGAGGATAGCCAGGATCATGGAGACCCTTGACTGACCGACCAAGGCTGTTTCCAGAGCTCACACACCTGAGATCCATGGAAACCTTCTGAACTTGATGCTGTTTCCACCGGTCCAGGTAGAAGCAAAGCCTCAACACCGCAGACAGCACATATATGCGCGCAGCTGACGCTGTCCGTGGTGCTGACAGGACCGTGGGCGTCAGAGTGTGGGGGCTGGGCCTGCTGAGGAGAGGAGGATGGCGACAGTAGCCCTAGTCTTGCCCCCATTCACAGCCCAAGATGGGTAATCTTAGGCAGAGTACACAGTCTGAGCTTTTCTTCCTTATTCCAAAACTTTCTTGAGCTGGGGTGTAGCTCAGAGGTAGAGCACTTGCCTGGCATGTGTGAGGTCCTGGACTCCAACCCCAGCTATGAAAAAAAAAAGTAAAAAGCTTTCTCCACGTGCCCCTGTGGGTCTCAAAGCATTGACCAAAACAGAGCTCTGCTTTTAGAATGTAACTCAGAACATGATCATCCTCTACTCAAAAACCTCTCCAGCCTGGGTGTGGTGGCTCACTTCTGTAATCCCAGCTATTCTGGACACAGAGACTGGGGTGGTTGCATTTTGAGGCCAACCAGGCAAAAAGATAGAACCAATCTTAATTAATAAGCCAGGCATAGTGACACAGACATGTGGTCCCAGCTACATGGGGGGCCATAGGTAGGATGATCGATCAGGGATTGAGGCCAGCCTGGGGCAAAAACTTGAGACATTATCTGAAAAGCAAAAAAGGCTGAGAGTGTGGCTCAAGTGGAAGAGCACCTGCCTAGGAAGCATGAGGCCCTGAGTTCAAACCACAGTACCAAAAAACAAATAAAAAAACTCTCCATGGTACTCTAAGTAAAAGCCAATTTACTCTGCCTAGCACATCTGGTCCCTGACCACCAGGTGCCATGATGCAGACCAGCACTAGAGAGGCTGAGCAGGAGGATCTCAAGTGTGAGGTCAGTCTGGGCTACATAATGACACCAACTTAAAAAAAAAAAGAAAATGTAAAGAAAACCCAAGCTCTTCCCAGTGCTTCAGTTCTTTTGCACTTAATAGGTGTGTTCTCCTAGAAGGTTCGAAGGCTCTTTGCCTGCATACGTGCGCTTCCCCTACTCCTTCAAGCCCTTGCTCCTCCTATACTGTTAAAGCTCATTATTAGTGGTCACTTTTTATTCCACTTTCTGGGATGTCAGCACCACCAAGAAGATGGGCCCTGAGTGCCCAGAACAAGCCCTGGTATACAGTGGGTGCTCAATAAATATTTGTTCGACAGGGGTGCAGCTCAGTGATAGAGCACTCGCACTGGGTAGCATTGTAAAAACTAAAACATGAATGAATGAATCACTTGGGCACAGTGATAAACTGAGAGGCACATACTGACTCTGAGCTGCTGGTTTCCCTGCCCCTCACTGCTGGGTTCAACGCTTCCTAGAGCCTTTTTTTTTTTTTGGTATTGGGGTTTGAACTCAAGGTCTCACTCCTGCTACAACTTGAGCCATTCCAACAGCCCCCCCTTTTTTTTTTTGTATTGGGTATTTTTGAGGTAGGGTCTTGCAAATTATTTGCCCAGGGTGGCCTCAAACCACTATATTCCTGATCTCTGCCTCCCCCCACTATATTCCTGATCTGTGCCTCCCTTGTAGCTAGGATTACAGGCGTGAGCCGCCAGCCCCATGATCCACGGATTCTCTCTATGGTAAGCACCCTTCTGTGAAGACACGAAGGTAGACTTCTGAAAAGTGGGAGAAAGAACTGTGTTCTTAAGAGATTTACCAAACGTCTACATCTCTGCTAAATGTCCTCACCCACCCTACACCTATAAGCCAGGTGCTGTGCCAGCAGCTGGAGGACCACAGTGAACAAAACAAGCACCTTATCCTTCTGGAGTTGACATTCGAATAGGGAGTGACGCATAATGTAGGAACTGATGTTGGTGTTGAAGAGAAATAAACTAATTTATTTAAGCCGGGTGTAATGGAACGCACGCGTATTCCCAGGTACTTTGGAGGTGCAAGCAGAAGGATCTTAAGTTCGAGACCAGTCCAGGCAGTTTTGAGGCCCTATTTCAAAAAAAAATTTTTTTTTTCAAAAGGGGCCAGGGAGGCCCTCAAGTAGTAGAACACTTGAGTGTGAAGCCCTGCGTCCAATTCCAGCACCGCGACCACAATTTAAAAAAAGAAAAGTGCTGTGGTGTGTGTTTGTACACCGCGTGTGGGAGTGTGTGAATATGGGACAGTGTATATGGAATGCTTTGTGTCAGATAGACGGAGCTAAGCATGTGAGTGATAGAGGTTTTGGAATGGAATTCCTGCAGAGATGTTATGGGGGGTGGGGGTTGCGCAGAAGGGTGTAGGGGTGCCCAGCTGTGTGAGTGGGTGTATTGGGGGATGTTGTCAAGCTGTTTTCTGGCCCCAGAGGGAGAGAGAAGCCCAGGAAATGACAGTTCCGCCCTGCCCCTGGGTCTCCAGGCAACCGCACCACTTTGAAGTTACCAGGAGACCAGGTTGCCGAGGCAACAGTGGCGTGAGTGGCAGCTCTGGGCGAAGTGATCATGATCGCTCACCTTGTTTCTTCCTCTCTTCGTTTCTCATCAGTCCCACCTTCCTTCTTTCATTGATTTAAAGAAAATATATTTGAAGATCTAGAACGTGCTAAACACTGTTCTCAGTCCTGGGGAGACTGAAGTGAATAAGGCAAACGAGGTCCCTTACAGTCTCTCCCCTTCATTCTCCCAGCCCCTCTTTCTCTCTATAATCGTTTGGATTATATTATTCCCCTCCTCCAGCACAAGCAACAATCAAGAGGCTCCCAGGCCAGAGAAGAGTTAAGGCGAGAGCCCTTTTCTCACAGACCCTCTTAGCTGCTGACTTTTTTTGCACAAGAGCGTGCCTTAGCTTAGAGCCCCATACAAACACTTGTGCCCATATTTAGGCATGCAGACAGGCAGGAAAACAGTTCACACCGCTCTCCGGCTCTCAGTTGTCATTGGGTGACATTCGGAAAAACACAGATACATGCCCACAACAATACTGTTCTGAGCTATGATGAGCCCATTTTACAGGTGAGCGAATTGAGGCTAGGTAATATGTCAATGATTTGGGCCTGCTGCCTCCAACTCTCAACCTTTACATTTGTCTGATTAGTTAACTAACTCACAATATTAGCATTCAAGCTCCTTCCTCCTGCGGATTCTCTCAGAGGAAGGGTTTATCTCCCATCAACGCCTCGTTCCTCCACGCTCAGGTCGTGTTTTCCCTTCATTCACCAAGGGCGGAGCTACCAAAGCGATCTAAGTTTGATGGACAGTTCCAGGGACTAATAGAAAAGTTAAGTGCACTGTAACCAATGAGGCCTTGGTTTGGGCGGGACTAAGGCTGGGACTGCGCCATCGATTGGACAGAAGTACATTGCTAATGGCGGAGACACTGAGGCGGGTGCTAAGCACGGGCAGCACGGCTGGGACTTGGGAGGGTAACACCGTTGAGGCCGGACCCCCTTTGCTGCTGATCGGCGCCCCAGGCTCTGGAAAAACAGCGTTGCTATTTTCGGCGGCCCTGGAGGTGGCAGGAGAAGGCCGAGGCCCTGTCCTCTTCCTGACCCGGAGGCCTCTTCAGAGCCTGCCTCTCCGTAAGAGAGCAGCACTCGATCCTTTACGGCTCCAGGTAACAGTGGGGCGGGACCTGTGGCATACTAGGCTATGGTGGGGTATCGGGGATTGAATGACAGATAAGCAGGCCAATAGCAGAGGTGACAGGTGGGCCAGCCGGAGCAGTTATAATGGGGTGGAGTCGGGAATGCGCGAAGGGTGGGACCATGAGGAGCTTTGTTACGATTGAGTGAAATTTCATCCAATGATAGGGTGGCATTAGCGAGAGGCGCTGTCCAAAGGATGGAGTCAGGGTTGAAGGGGTGGAGCTAAGCGTGGGTCTAGTCTAGACTGGAGTTTGTTTCACTTGAGTCAGGTTGTCAAGGCTTGGGTTAGATTGAGATGTTGGGGGTAGGTTTTCCGGTAAAGGTTGCCTGAGAGATTTGGCACAAAAAAATCAAAGACTTGTCTTTAGATAATATGTAGCAGTGTGCTAGAAAAAAGTATTCTGGGCAGGGGCTTCATCCTGGAACCAGTTGCCTGGCAGCCATCGTGGGAAGTCTGTCCTCCTTTGCTGAATTTTGCCTTTTCCTTCTTTTCCAATTTTCTAGAAGATTCGCTTCCAGTACCCACCATCTACTGGAGAGCTTCTCCGGCTTCTGTGCTCTGCCCATGAGTCCCAAGGGCCTGTCCCCTCCCTTCTGCTGCTGGATGGCCTGGAGGAGTACCTAGCAGAAGACCCGGGGTCCCAGGAAGTCGCCTACTTGGCTGCCTTGCTTCTGGATACAGCATTCCACTTTAGCCACCGACTGGGATCCAACCGGGACTGTGGGCTCATGGTGGCCCTGGAGACCCAAGAAGAAGCAGACAGTGGTGATGGCCCGCAGCTGGCACTGCTCCAGCGGTATTTCCCTGCCCAGTGTTGGCTGCAGCCAGATGCATCAGGCCCAGGCGAGCATCGCCTCCGAGTCTGCCTGGAGCCAGGTGGGTTGGGCCCCAGGGCAGAGTGGTCGGTGATTTTCCAGGCAGATGGAGAGATGACCACCCAGCCTACTAACCCCAGCTTCAATAAGACTTTGAATGCTGGAGGCCAGCCCTGAGCTCTAGATGCCTCAGTTTCCCATTGTGGGAATACTTACTTTGGAGACATGCATATTCAAAGACTTAAGGAATATAAAGTTCTTTTTCTCTTTTAAAACTAGCATTTATAGGGACGGGGAGTCTGACTCAGTAGTAGAGCACATGCCTAGCATGCTCAGTGCTCTGGGTTCCATCCCTAGCACCACAAAAAACAAATACTGGGGTTTGAATTCAGGGCCTACACCTTGAGCCACTCCACCAGTCCTTTTTTTGTGTTGGGTATTTTTGAAATAGGGTATTTCAAACTATATGCCTGGTCTGACTTTAAACTGTGATCCTCCTATCTCTGCCTCTTGGGTAGCTAGGCTTACAGGCGTGAGCCACCAGCACCCGAGCCTAGCATTTTCATGTACAAATTATACCCAATCAACATTGATTTTTTGGGGAGTGGGGATGGGGGTATGGAATTTCAACTCATGGCTTGCATTTGCTCTTCCACTTGAGCCACACCACCAGTCCATTTTGCTCTGGTTATTTTGGAGATGGGATCTTAAGAATTGTTTGCCCAGGCTAACCTCAATCTGTGATCCTCCTGTTCTCAGCCTCCCAAGTAGCAGGGATTACAGGTGTGAGTCACTCATACCCAGCTCAACATTGATTTTTTTTTTTTGAGTTACATAAAGAGTTTCATAATAAATCTTCTGAGGCTTCCTTCTTTGCCCATTCAACATTGTCACTAAGATTCAACCACATTTTCTAATCCAGTCATTTTTTTTCTCAGTTGCATATTATTCCATGGTTGACTATACCCAATTTATTCTGCAGAGTGACTTATTTGTGACTCTGGACATTCTTGCACATGTATACTGGTACGGATATGTTTTTCAGATATATATACTTAGAAGTAGAGTTGCCGCAGCATAAGGTATGCATATTTTCAGCATTCTTAGGTCATATCATACTGTTTAAGAGTGAGTCAACCAGAACTGCCAATGAGTCATGTGATGGCAGTTGGTGTCATCACAGTGCTTTTTAAAACCATGGTCGGATTCAGAACAAAGCCCTATGAGTTACTGTTGTGGTTATTAGTAGTAGAAGAGACTAGAGGCTCACTAAACAGCTTGCAGGACCCACTTTCACTGGGTATACAACTAAACTACATTTCTCAGCATACCATGGTTCTACATGGGATCACATGACTGTTTCTAACCAATAAACTGAAAGATGCCATTTTCAGGCCAGCTCCCTAAAAAGACCCATGAACTATTCTATTACTGTTACTGACTGACAAGATATAGAGGATCTACAAGGACCCCAAGATGAACCTAAGGGAAGAAGGAGCTACAGACCAAAAGAGTTCAGGCCTCTGAATCATCCCAGGGATGGCTGTCCACGTGTTTGAATTGAGATAGGAGAGAGAAATCACCTAATAGCTTAAACACTCCTAAGAGTGTTAGGAGCTGCTTGTTTGGCAGCTAGCATAACTTATAATGGGTATTTTATTAGATGAATCTTCAAATTGCCTAGTACCAAATTTCATAGTGAGCTCAAGGTTTTTGCTGGCTCTGTGGCCTATGCCCTGGGAAAGACAAAATTTTCTTGGTCTTTGTAGAAGTAATGGTAGAAAAACATGTATATTTATATATGTACAAAAAGAAAACTATACATCTTTCAAATACTTCAAGGGTGTGACTTCCTGAGCAGGATGAGTTAGGCAAACAGACAAGGTCAGCAATGCCCTTAGCCCTGAGGGCAGCCTCATCGTTCCAATTCAGTAAGTCTTGGGCCTAGACTGGGTGGCATTTGGGTTATGTTGGATTGCTAAGCATCTATAGACTGGAGTCCTAAGAGCAGGCCATATAGCTGGGGGGCAGAGGCTCAGGGGCCGGAACTAGGCTGTTCTCATATGAGTGGGAGTAGGGGTCATCAGCCAAGTCCCCATGGGCTCCCTGGGAGCCTCCTGAGCTGTAATCAGTTGAGATGCCTGAGTCAGACACCACAAGGTACAGGTACTTCAGGTTGGGTGGGGTAGGGGGCAGCACAGGGCGCAGTGCCTGTGGGCACAAGAGCTGGGAGCTGGGATCCAGGATGGTGTACTCAAAGCTGGCAGCCGAGGTCCCCTCTGGCACAGCCTTCAAGACCAAGACAGAAGAGTGAGAGGATGCTTCAGAGCCTTCATCCACGTCCTGTATGTCCACACTACCACCAGGCCCTGCGAAGTCCTCATTGCATGGGCTCTGGGGTAGCAACCACTTGTCCAGCACCAGATAGGTATCCTGAGCATGCTCAGTGCCTACTGGCTCCAGCAGGGGCCCCTCATCATCAGCTCTTGGCTCCATTGCCTGGGTCATCCCCCAGCAGTGCTCGGAGAGGACTTCTAGGCAGGCAGGTGGTTCCTCCGTGAAGGGGGTACAGGGGCTCCACCACAGACAGTCATCATGGTGGGACAACCACAGCTGGAGAAACAGCAGCAGCCTGCTCAGAGGCCTGGGCTTTGGCCTCCAGCAGCAAGTCTGCCCCAGACACAACCCAGCCACTTACCTGGAAGTTACCCTTGTGGGTGGTGAAGAGGCCCTCAAACTCTCTCTCAGGACTTGGGATGCCAGGCCAGATCTTCTGCTTTAGAGTCCTGTGGAAGTGGAAAGAAACAGGCTGGAGGTGTGGCTCAAGTGGTAGAACACTTGCTTAGCAAGTGGGAGGCCCTGGGGTCAATCCCCAGTACTGCCAAGGAGAAAGCAAAAACGAAAACATTGTGTATGCTGATAATCCCACACTTGGGAGGCTGAGACAGGGGATCACAAGTTCAAGGCCAGCTTGGGCCACACAGCAAGACCCTGACTCAACAAAACAAAAAGAGAGGATAGAAACAGGTTCATGGACATGTCATTGAATACATACCAGCACCCTCTCAGCCCCCAGTCACAAGGGCACAAAAACTGGATCATAGTGAAAATGAAGAGGAAGGATTGAGAAGCAGGGGCTTTGGCTGAAGCATTAGCAAGGACCTAAGAAAGAGCAACTGGAACAGAATTTTGAAGGATGCATAGGAGTTCAATAGGTACTGACTCATATGCCCTTGAATCCTGTCTAGGCTTTGCCTGAAGGTCCATAAGGCACTTTTTCTGTGGTTCCCTGATAGATTCAAAATAAAATCCAAGGTTGAGGCTGTAGCTCACTGGTAGAGGATACACTTAGCACTTTTACTCCCAGGAACCAAACAAAAGAACAAATCCAAACTCCTTCCCACAGTCCTGCAGAAGTTGCTGCATGATCTGACTCCTGTCGCCTTGTCATTCACCACTCCCCCTCACACTCTGCTCCAGCCCATTAAGTCCATCTGATTGATCTGACGAAGTTGGTGACATCAGGAAAACAAAGTAGCAAAGGAATCCAAGAAGGAGCAGCCATGGAGGTGGAAAGCAAGCCAGGTAAATGCTCCCCAGAGCAGAGGATTTTAAATGAGTCTGCATCTGGTCTGGTTTGCATACCAATACTGACCTTTTGATCTTTTTTTTTGGGTGGGGGTACTGGTACTGGGACTACACCTTGAGCCACTCCACCAGCCCTTTTTATGATCGGTTTTTTCAAGATTGGGTTTCCCGAACTATTTGGCTGGGCTGGCCTCGAACCACCATCCTCCTGATCTCTGCCTCCCCAGTAGCTAGGATTACAGCTGCTAGGTGACTTTGGGCAAGTACTTGCCCCTCTCTAAGCCTAGCTTTCCCTAGTTAAAGAGGGACATTCCGAGGACAATCTGGGCCAGATGCTGCGGTGGGGGCTCACCGGCGGTGGGACAGCAGGGCAAGCACGGCCAGCAGCAGCAGGATGAGTACCAGGATGAGGGAGAGCGTCAGGATGAGGGGGTCCAAGTCTGGAGACAAGGAGGAGGTCAGAGCGGAGGATTTGCCCGAGTGTTTCGCCCCAACTCCTCCTACACCTCCACCTGGGGTCTCACCGCTAGCCGTCAGCAGAGACGCAGGCTCAGACCAGGCGCTCCAGAAGCCACTGAAACTCGGCTCGGCCATACGCGCGCGAACCGCGAAGGTATAACGAGTCGCACCGCGCAGGTTGCTCAGTACGCACTCTGTGCGGCCTTCCAAGATCTCCACCTGGGGGCGGGGCCCGGGCAAGGGGCGGGGCGAGCAGTCACTAAAGGATGTAGCCAATCAGGGAGAGGAAGCGCCTCGCCCAAGCACTGCTCAGGACCAATGAGAGAAGGGGGCACGGCCTATCTTGGCCCCAGACTAATCAGAGCGAGGGTACCTGATCAAACTGCGGGGGAGACCTGAGCTATATAAAGGCGGACCAGAAAGGGTAGAGTCCCCTGGTGTTTGGGGATTGGAGTTAAGGGGTGAGAGGGAGCTGGGGTTTAGGTGGCCTGGGAAAGCATCGGCAAAGGGGGATATATCGGAAGCCATGGAGTTGTCTTGTGTTCATGGCAATGGGATGTGGTGTACCACATCCCACCTGGAGGGGGCAGGGCCATAGGGTAGGACTCTGTTGGCCATCTGGGCGGGGCTTCGAAATGACGGGGCGGGGTCCAAGGAGCTTTAGCGGGAGATGTGTGATCACGGTGTGCCTCACCCTCTGCGCTCCTCCTGCGCGGTTGCCTGCAGAGACATCCACCTCGTAACGGATGTGGGTCGTCATAGGCGCCCCGGGTGGCGGGAGCCAGCGCAGCACCACGTGGCCGCTCTCGTCCGCTCGGCGCGCCTGCAGCCCGGTGGGGGCGTCCAGGAGCACTGCAGAGGTGAGTTGATCAGGTGGGCGGAGCTGGGCCCTCCTCCCCCCGACCACGCCCCCCCTTCCCAGCGCACTTACCCACTTCGTTGATGTGGATGATACGGTGATACCGCGGAGCACCAGAGGCCCCTGTGACACGCAGCTCTAGGGGCACGAAGCTCGACGTGTCGGCCGTAGGCAGCGAGCACCAGAAGCGCACCGCGCCGCGGGTGGTGGGCGCCTGGTGCAGACGGCATGGCTTCGAGGGCTCACCCCTGTGCGCCGAGGCATCCAGGAAGAAAGGGAGCAAGTTGGGAGGGAAGCCTGGGGAGTTTGCCAGATCCCGTGTGGAGGCATTTTGGGCACTACCACGGGGGGGGGCCAATGTAGTGACACCTGAGCCCAGAGTTGGAAGAAGTATTGTCCCAACCAAGAAATGTTTGGGGTCACAGGAATATTCCAGCCCCGGGCCACTAGGGGGTGCGTCCTCCCTGGTCCGCTTCCCCCCATTGAGCAGGACTGGAAGCGCGATCTGTCCCCAGGTCACAGGGGACATCCGAAGCTGCGACCTCCGGGATGTGTGCTCCACCCGCCCTGCTCCATCCCCACCAGTTGGGATTTCAGTTCTGACTCACTCGAGCTGGTAGGAGAAGCTGTAGTTCTGGGAGCCAACCCCGGGGCTCGCCGCTTCCTCCCAGAAACACACCAAGTCCTCCAATCGTTCGGTGAAGCACAGAAGCTCCTCCGTCCCCCAGGCTGCCAGCAAGGCCACTAAGGAGATGGCAGTGGGAGGGGGTCAAGGAAGCCGAGCCCTGTCCACGGGCTACAGCCCCCTTCCCCTCCCTTCTGCCGCCTGTGCGGATCCGATAAGAAAAAAAAGCCCCGCCTCGCCCTCTTCCCCAGCGAGGCCCTCGAGGGGTCCGCAGAGGCGGCGCCCCACGAACTCCCAAGCGCAGGTTGTCTGGCTTACTGGCCCCCCCTACACACACCTGCCTATCCCAGGATGGGCTGAGCTATGCAGACCTCGAGACCTCGGCCCCCAGGCTGCCCGCCCCGCCCCAGCTCAGGACGTGTGCGCCCGTGGGTGTGTGTGAAGAAGGCGGCCCCCTATCGGTCCCGGCAGGCTCCCCGGCTGCCAGATAGCGCCAACCGTGCACCCCGCCCCCCTTCCTCCACTCAGCGGGGCAAGGGATCTGCCACCCGCTCGCAAACCATGTTTACAGTGGCTTGCAACCCGGCCCCTGTGACTCGGACCTCCCTCCCCAAATGGAGGGTCCCGCCTGGTCCCCTCCTCCAAGGACTCAGGCTGCAGGGGCCCTAGATCCACTACCCCCGTCCCATGGAGACTTAGCATGTCCCAGACTCCCTGAAAAGATAAAACAAGAACTTCATGCGCCTCTCTAACTTCTCCTCCAGGACCCAGTCCTGGCACTTGGACCCGCAGCCTGCTTCATCAGATCGGGTCAAGGGATTCAGACACCAGCTTGGTCCTCAGGACCCAGACTGAATTCAGTCCCCAGCATTGCCTTGAAAGACCCATTTTGAGGGCCCACATACAGCCCCAACCTTACCTTTGCTTTCAAACTTGGGATCCAAGAGGTTCGGTGGGGATGTCCAGACAGCCCCAGCAAGCAGGAGACAGAGGGGGCCAACTCGAGGCCAAAGGGGCACCCCGAGGCGGTCCATGATGCTGCCCCCGCCCCGGGGAGCCCCGGGAGCGCAGGACTCCTGCCCCCGCCCCTGACAGTCCACAGCTGGGTCAGCAGCTGCCTCCGCCGGACACAGCTGACCAGGCCCTTCCCGGCCAGGAGCCTCTGAGTGGCAGCTCCCCCACGGGGCGGGGCCAGCACGCAGCCCGGGCAGAGATAAGCGCAGGGTGTGGGAGGGGACAGGGGCTCGATGAGGGGCGGGAATAGCACCGGTTGCAATGTTTCTGTCACCATGTGACCTCCAACAGGTAACTTACCTTATCCAAGCTACAATCGTCTGGCCAGGCACCGGTGACTCACGCCTGTGATCCTAGTTACTCAGGAGGCAGAGATCAGGAGGAAAGCGGTTGGAAGCCAGCCTAGGCAAATAGTTCGAGAGACCCTATCTCGAAAAAAACCCACACCCACACACACACACAAAAAAAAAAAAAAAGAAAAAAGAAAAAAAAAGAAAGAAAAAGAAAAAAGAAAAGAAAAGCACACAAGCTTCAGTCTTCTGAACTGGCAGAAATCAAGCATTTCAAAAATAAATGTAAGCTGCTGATACACTTGTACTAATCAGTATCTCTCCCAGGTCTGGAAATTAATAAATGAGTAGCTGTTGAATGCGCAGGGCAACGTCCATCTGTGGGACAGAATGCACATGTTTTTCTGTGCGGTATGAGAGTTTGAACTCAGGGCTTTGGAATCGTTAGGCGAATAGGGTTCGGCTTAGCCATGGTTGCAGCCGTTTCTCTGGTTCTTTTGGAGATGGTGTCTTGCTTTTTGCCCAAGCCAGCCTGAACCACTCGCTGCAGGTAGAATGAGCGGCACAAGTTTGGGCTGTCCTATGTCAATGTGAACATAATAACTGCCATGTTAGGACTGTATCCCCTCCCCCTCGAAGGCAGCTTACTGGAAACAACCCACCACTTACACTGGAAAAATCACACCTGGCCCCAAACAATGATAGAAATCCCACTTACTTCACTGTAACCTGTAAGGGGGGCGGGAGAAGGAGCGATACCAAGAGTCGGTTGAGCAACCAACTGACCAAATAACCACTTATCTCCCTTCCTACCCCTGGCAACAAGCCAAACACAAAAATTTTCCTGGCCTAACCGGTTTCCCAGCACCATCCCACTACCCTCCTATAAGTACCCTAGTCTGTAAGGGACTGTGGGTTCTAGCGCGATCTCTCTCTCTCTTTCTCTTTTGCTGCACTAGAGTTTGAACTCAGGACCTACACCAGCCCTTTTTATTTGAAGTTTTTTTTTTTTTTTGAGATAGTGTTAAATGACACTGGTGCAGTCTGTGATCGAAAAACTTCCAAATTCTTGGTCCCTAGTGGAAGAATCCATGGCAGGACAGGTGGGTGTTAAGGGGGTTTATTAAGCGTTAGGGAAGGGAGCATGGTGGGGTCCAGGTGGAATTTGGAGCTGAGAGAGGTGCTTCGCTTCTCTTCTCTAGGTGCTTTTAAAATTTATGCTAATCTATGGGAAGGGAGGAACCAGATGATTCTTATTTAATGATCAATGAGTAGGGAGGTGAGTGGGTGGTTCCCGGCCCAGGGCAGTTCCTGAGCCATTGCGTGGTCAATTTTAAATGTAATATTTTTCTATGAGTCCCATACTTTCTCTAATTTTAGCCTGCCTCAATAGGATCTCCCAATCTATTTGCCCAGGCCCGCTTCGAACCGCCATCCTCCTGATCTGTGCCTCCTGATTAGCTAGGATTACAGGCGTGAGTCACTGGCTCTAGCTCTCTTGCTGGAGACCCCTTTCTGGAGTTCCTTCTCCTGAATAAAACCTGTGCTGACATATTGAGCTGTCTTCTGTCTATCTTTCCATGCCCGTTTTTCAGTTTAACAGCCTGGAACTGCCATGCTCCCAATCTCAGCCTCCCAAATAGCTGGGATTACAGCTATGAGCCGCCAGCACCCAGCTAGTGTGCATATTTTAATAATGTGTAAAGGGGGGGAGGTAACTCCTGTAATTCCAGCACCTGGGAGGTGGAGGCAGGAGGATTGCCATGTTAGAGACCAGCCCAGGATACATAGTGAGAACTTTTCTGAAAATAATAATTATTATAATCTGGAAAGTAATTATAGGCTGGAGGTAATTTAGTGGTACAGGGTTTGCCTAGCCTACTCAGAGTCCTAGGTTGATGCCTAGCAACACACACACAAAGCAATTATAAAACAAACCATAAAAGTTATTCTCTAGGACTGAGCCGCTCATACTGGCTTCCAAACCAGCATCAAAATGCACACGTGAAAAGGGGGCGGGTCCTCATTGCACGTGCCTCCCCCAGACTAGCCAATCAGAGCACACCATTCCCTGGCACACAATTATTGCGTCAGAGTGACCATGTGACCCAAAAGAGCCAATGAGCTTCTATCCTGCGACTTGAAGCCCGGGTTAGCTGGAAGAAAGGTGCGCCTTTCTTTTGGGCTGTGGAGTGGGCTGGTGGAGCAGCCAGAGACATCTTTGCTACTGGGCGGGAAGAAATTGACTGTCTGGTGAGGACAACACAGGCGTCAACCCTGTGTCTTTCTTCTACCTGGAGGACTCTTCCTCACGTTATTCAGTCCTCTGCCCAAATGCCCTCAGAGAAGCCTTCCCCACCATCCTCTCACCGCACACTCCCTAATGCCTTTAAACAGCTTGTCCCCCTAGTCTTCTGCAGCTGTTGGGCTACTTAACATACACTTAATGTTTTGTTGTTCGCCGTATTTGCTAGTCCATGCGGGCACTGATGTTTGTCACTGTCATTCATTACTGTATTCCCAGCACCTAGAACAGAGCCTGGCAGACAGTTGAAGCTCAAGAAAGATGCCGGGCACTGGTAATCCTAGCTAGTTGGGAAGCTGAGATCAGGAGGATGGAGGTTGGAGGCCAGCCCGAGCAAAGAGTTCACAAGACCTCAACCCCAAAATAACCAGAGCAAAATGGACTGGAAGATTGACTCAAGTAGTAGAGAGCCTGCATCGCAAGTGTGAAGCCCTGAATTCACACCCTAGTACCACTAAAAAAAATAAAAAGGTTAGAGGAGAACCAAGCTGACTTATGTAGAGAAACAATGGACCTGTGCTGGCCACTGGCTACAGCTAAGTACCCTTGCACTTTTATTCCCCCCTGAACTTTTTCTTCCCCAGTGCTGGGAGTGGAACCCAGGCCTTGTGCTTGTCAGGCAAGGGTTTTGCCATGGAGCCCCACCCGCAGCGCCCCACTCCTGCACTTTTAAAAAACAAGTTGAATGGGGGTGTAGCTCCCTAGTAGAGCACCTTTCTAGCATGCACCAGGCCCTGGGTACCATCCCTAAGCCCCCCAAAATAATAATTCATAATAAAAATATATAAATAAATGGCAAACACCTGAAATCCCAGAGCTCTGGAGGAAGGTTGCAAGGTCAAGTTTAGTCTGGGTTACATAATAAGACCCTGTCTCTTAGTAAATATATTTAAAAACAGAAGTCAACGAGAATTTCTTCCTCAAGAAATCAGCATTTACCCAAGCACCAGTGCCTCATAGCTGTAATCCTAGCTACTTTGGAGGCTGAGATGGGGAGGATAGAGGTTCAAGTCCAGCCCGGGCAAATATCTCCAAAATAACCAGAGGCTGCAAGGGAGGAGGTGGTGGGGAAAGGGTGCAGGTGGGTGACTATACTACAAAAAATGTGTACACATGTATATAAATGCAAAAATGATACCTGTTACAACTATTCCAGGAATGAGGGGAGGGAGAATAAAGGAGAGTTATGGAGGGGGTGAATTTAAGTATAAATGCCACAATGTACCCCCACCCAGCACAATAATTATTAAAAAAAAAAAAAACCAGCAAAATGGACTGGAGGTGTCGTTCAAGCAATAGAGCGCCTGCTTTGTAAGCATGAAGCCTTGAGTTCAAACTCCAGTTCCACCAAAAAAAAAAAAAAATTAGCATTTTGAGAGAGAGATGTTTAGGCTAGTTCAAATAGGATACTGTTACTTACATTTAAATGGTCTTTATTTTTTTGATGATATTGGAGTTTGAACTTAGGGTCTTGAACTTGCTAGGCGGGCATTCTACCACTTGAGCCACATCCCCGAGCACATCTAAATGATCTTAATACTCAAGAAGACAAAAAAACTTATAAATCTGATCTTTCATCAGATTTTACACATTCATCTCCTTTCCCACTCCAGACAGTACCTGAGCATCTGGCTACTGCTCCAGGGACAATGTTTAAAACCATAGGAATTGTTTTTTGCCTATTTACCAACATCCCCCCTCTTCCTACAGCACCCAAATTGAACTCCATGGATGTGCCTTCCCAGACTCCACCCGGAGATGTGAAATTTCCTTGCCAAGTCTAGGGGTGGGCACAGCACCCCAACTTAGCCAATTAGCATATCACATTGCTCTGAACACAGTAATTTCAGAGATGGAAATGTGACAAAGCTGATGCAATATGAACCTGATCCGGGACTTTTGCTGGAGACAATGGGAAGGATGAGCTCTGTTTCCAAAGAAAGGTGGAGCTGATGTAATGTAAGCCTGGCTTGACTGCTCTGTGGTGAGGTGCAAGCCTGCTTTGGAGTAGGGCTATAGTAAGTAAAATGTTCTTTTGGCTGCTGTAACAGAGAAACAAATAATAATGGCTTAAGCGAGCTAGAAATACATTTTCTTAAACTGGTGCTTAAGTGGCTCATGCCTGTAATCCTAGCTACTCAGGAGGCAGAGATCAAGAAGATCGAGGTTCAAAGCCAGCCTAGGCAAATAGTTCACAAGACCCTATCTCGAAAAAAAAAACTCATCATAAAAATAGAACTGGTTTGGCTCAAGCTGTAGGCCCTGAGTTCAAACCGCACTACCGCAAAGAAAAATAAAGACAGAAATGTATTTTCTTCGTATCTAACTAGTTCTCCAGGTAGTAACAATCCAGTATGGCAGCTCTGTGGATTTAGAACCTGTTAGAAATGAAAGAAGAGTGGAAGAGGCAGAGACACGCCGGAACACCAGCACAGGGTTTATTGTTCAGGAAGGAGCCCTGTGCAGGGGGTCCCCAGCAAGAGACCTGGAGCCCACAGCTGCTTACAGACTTGGAATAGATAAGGGGAGGAGTCTGGAGGGAAAACCCCACTGGATGGGAAAATTCTTCCAGAGTGGAGCCAACCATCACTAGGGGAAACCACAGGAGCTAAGTGGTAATTAGGTAAGTTGCTCAGCTCTGGACCTCTCGGCGAGGTGGTGGCTTGTCATTTCCTCTAGGGTAGATATGGTCCTTCCAGTGGGTGGTAGGGTATCAGTAAGCTGCCTGCAAGGGTGGGAGTTCCAATCCTAAAGTGGCTTCTTTTTGTTCACCATAACAGAACCCAAGCTTCTTCCAGGTTATTGCTTGGTAATTTTAGAGGATGTGAACCACCCAATCCAAGATACACCCCACATCTTCATCTCAACCAGCAGAGGGCAGGTAGGGAAGGACACACCCCTTTCCTTTAAGAAGGGCCCTGGAATTTGCCAAATCCTTCCATTTATATCTCATTGTCCAAGACTTAGTCATGTGATCACACCTTGCTTCAGGGGAGTTAGAAAATGTGCCTTTTTTGGTTAGGAACCAGTTGCTCACGCAGAGATCAGGAAGATCACAGTTTGAGGCCAGGTCTGGCAAACAGTTTAAGAGAGACTCTATCTTGAAAAAACCTAGCACAAAAAGAGCCAGTGGAGTGACTCAAGTGGTAGAGTTCCTGCTCAGCAAGTGTGAGGCCCTGAGTTCAAATCCAGTTCCACAAAATAAAAAAGGTGCTTTTACTTAAGTGGCTAAAGATCAGTGCCTCTGTTACCTTAGAAGGTGATTGGATTTGAGCAATGGACTGTCTCACTCTCATTCTCAGCGCAAATCAGAATCAAGAAACAGCAAGGAAATTCTGATAGTATCTTTGGGGGGCTTGCATTTTTTTGTGAGGGGAGTAGCGGAGTAGTGGAGTTTGCGCTCAGGGCTTTGCAGTTCTGATGGTATCTTTTTGAGTTCCTGTATCCAACTGTGCTTGAAGCTGGACCCATTGAACTTTTTCAATTACATGAGCCATCAATTTCCTTTTTGGGGCATATCTGATTGAATAGGAGTTTGACACATGAAGCAAAAAGAAACCCGATTAACACAGTGAGAGATAAAGCCGCTGATTGGTGTCCAATTCAGAGTAGTAACCCATAAGTGGAAGTGGATGTGCTATTGTCATGTTTTTCTTCTTGGTGGGACTGGGATTTGAACTCAGGGCTTCACATTTGCAAAGCAGGCACGCTACCACTTGAGCCATACCTCCAATCCATTTTGCAGATGGGGTATTGAGAACTATTTAGGCTGGCCTCAAGCCTCAATTCTGGATCTCTGCCTCCTAAGTAGCTAGATTACAGGCATGACCCAGTGGTGCCCAGCTGTCATGGTTTTCATTGTTTTGGAGTTGCCATACCGTCTCTCTCTTTTCCATTTGTTTCTTTTTCTGATCCCCGTGGTAACATACAGCTCCCCCCCTTTTCCTTCTCATTTCCTGTATCGACTTGTAAGTGATGAAGTTATTTGTCTCTGATTCCAATGGGGTTTTATTTATTCACTTATCTCCTACATACATGGCAGAAAAGAGACTATCATGACCCAAAATCAGGAGGGAGGAAATTCAGAACCATGTGTATGGCAGAGTCCTCTCCGGTACCTGTCATGATTCATCAGTCTGATGAATCTTAGTTTTCTCTGCATTTTTATTGTCATTGAAGCCATCTTGTGGGTTTAATGTCTTTGGAGCAGGGTTCCAACACCCAGGGGGCAGAGATGGAGTCCAATGGGCTAAAGTGTGTGTGTGTTGGGGGTGGGGCACAGAATACTTTGGGGAATGGAGGCTTTTCAGGACAGGGCCCTCTCCTCCATGGGGCTGAGAAGAGAGTCATCTCAGGTGAGGGAGACAGAGGGCACGGGCTGGGCTTTCCGTCGCAGCATAAAGTCTCCAGGGACTTCTGGACTCATTGCATAGAAGACATTGGCGTTGTCAGGAATCAGGAGTTCTGTACAGAAGAGGAGATGATGGTGAGAGGTCCACATGATACAGTCTCTCTCCCAGGAAGCACCTGGGCAACCTTCTCCCATTATTAAATAACTTCCTGCACATCCCAGCCCTCCCCCCACCCCCCAAACCATTGCCCAGCCAAGTTCAGGCTGCTGTCACCATGAACTTGGATGACTTCCCACTTCTGGTCTACACGAGCTTGTGATCTTCACACTCAACAGTTGTCCAGTCAACCTGCCACCCTACCTTGCACCATCAATACAGTCAGTCTCTCATCTCTCCCTGTCCAAGACTGAACAATCTCGGACACACCTGTACGCTGCACAACCTGAGTTAAGACCTTTTGGCCCTCTTCCATTTCAAGCTAACTACAGGGTCCCCATGGTGAGTCTAGACAAACTCATTTCCTCACAGATCAAGCCCAGACTTCCTTTGGTCTCCCACCCCACAAGGGTGAACCTGAACTCATATCCCTACAAATTTAAGGTCAAACTAGGTGCAGGTGGCTCATGTCTGTAATCCTAGCTCCTCGGGAGGCAGAGATCAGGAGAATCTGAGTTCAAAGCCAGCACCAGACAAATAGTTTGCAAGACCCTATCTTGAAAATTCCTAACACATACACACAAAAGGACTGGAGGAGTGGCTCAAGTGGTAGAGTGCCTGCCTAACAAGCATGAGGTCCTGAGTTCAAACCTTAGTACCAAAAAAAAAAAAAAATTAAGGTCAGAGAATCTTCTATACTCCTGTCTCCCTCCCCTTTTTTAAAATTTTGGCAGTGCTTGAGTTTGAACTCCAGTACTAAGCAGGTGCTCTACCACTTAAGCCACTCCTCCAGCACTTTTTCTGTGATGGGTATTTTTGAGACAGGGTCTCTCAAAATATTTGCCTGGGGCTGCCTTCAAACCCAAATCCTCCTGATTTCTGCCTCTTGAATAGCTAGGATTGCAGGAGTGAGCCACTGGTGCCTGACTCTGGCTCCCATTTGACGCTGACCAATGTGATTGCCCTATAAAGCCCAAGAATACAGCCTTTGGTGTCTCCCACCTCACCCTGCCCTAGGAAACCGGTGACCCCATATAACTGAGGCACATTTAAGTCTCTTCCCTGCTTCATCTTATCCCCAATTCTGTGCCTGAACCACCTCAGGCCCTGTAAGCTCAGGTAATACTGAGCTCCATCTATGACTCAGGTTGGACTTCTCCCCATTCCATTCCAAGTCCCCTAGCTGGGGCTCCAAGCTGTCTCTACTCACCCCTGTCCCCAGGAAGGACTTGGAAGAGCTGGTAGTCACGTGCCCAGGGCTGGGGCACATTGTGTTTGTCCAGAGCTCGTTGGACCACGCTGGGGGCTTTGTCTTGACTAGTCAGCTGGAAGAGACAGGCAAGAAATGAGACGATGCCCCAGCCACAAGGGCAGGGCTGCCCCCACAGGCGCCCCCGCCCCCCCCCCCCCCCCCCGCCATTCGGACCCTCACCAAGATGCTCCGATATAGGTTCCCGTGGTCATTGTCAATGCTGACTCGGATGACTCGGGTCTCTGAGCTCTGCTGTCCCAGCTGGGGAATTCTTGGACTGGTAAGGGTCAAGGTTGGGGGCCGGGAGCCTGGCAGGTCCGGACTCAGGGGCATCTGTAGGGTAGGGTGTGTGGAGGCTGCAGCTTGGTCCACTTATGGGTGTTGATGGCTGGGGGACCGCAAGGCCCCTCCCCCACTGGTGTACTCAATAGGCTCATGTTCGCAATCCCATGAACACACATACACCTCTACACACCCAGAGTCTGGGATACAAAATTAGGGTACACACAGGGCCACATATATGCCATCCCATCATACACAGACCCCAGTTCTTTGTTACAGACAAACCACATATACACAGACCCATGTTCATAAGCAACAAATCCTGTGTACAGAACTCGCATAGTAGTGCACACTTATAATCCAGTATCGTAGAGGCTGAGACAAGAGGATCACAAGTTAGTGGCCAGCCTGGGCTGCACAGTGAATTTTAAGCCAGCCTGAGCTACATAACAAGACCTGATCTCAAAAAAAAAAAAATCCCACCTACAAAGCAAGCATCGTGTACACACGTGTGCTCACATGTGTTGTACACCCACAAGTCCTTGTCAATGAGCACCCTACACATGGTCCAGTGAGTACTCAGGTCCACATTTGCCCTTCTGGTATGCAGATTCCTTAGGAACGGACATCCTTGAAAAAGCGAGCGACTGGGCTGGGGTGTAGCTCTGTGGTATAGTGTTTGCCCAGCATGCTCGAGGCCATGGGTTAGACTCTCCGTAATAAAAGAAGAAAAGTGAGTGATTGTGCCAAGTGTCAGTGGCTCTCACCTGTAATCATAGCTACTTAGGAGTCTGAGATCAGGAGGATCAAGGTTTGAGGCCAGTCCAGCAAACTAGTTCAGAGAACCCCCATCTCCAAAATAACCAGAGCAAAATGGACTGGAAGTGTGGCTCTAGCAGTAGAGTATCTGCTTTGCAAGTGTGAAGCTCTGAGTTCAAATCCCAGTCCCACACACACACAAAAAAAGGTGAGTAATTGTGCCTCTGAGTGCCTGCATGTGAGTGGAAGCATGGTCCCGATCTGAGCAGAAGGCAGACCGGTGGTTGATGGCTGAAACAGGGCCATGGAAATGCAGTCTCTTGGATGGCTGTCCAGAGAGCTCAGCCAGTCTCTTACGTACACTTCTGGTCCTGCAATCCTGTGTACACACACACACACACACACACACACACACACACACACACGCAATGAGCCTTGGTTGTCCACAGTACTATACAAAAACACAGGTCTTGGTACCTTGGTGCTGGGGCCCTGGGGCCCTGGAGAGGCTGGAGGACTGCCAGAAGGAGGCTCCTTGGTTCTAGGACTGGATGGGGGGGACCCTGGGGACAGACTTGGGAAGACACACACTGGAGATGAGGTGGTTGCCCCAACCCTTGGCCCTGCTGTCTCTAAGCCCTTCATCAACTGGAGTGTTCACCTGGTGGTGGGTGAGGAGGGGTCTCCAGGACTTCCACTAGGGGATGAGCTTTTCTCTCGAGATAGCTTCCTACGGATGGGGACAGGAGATGATGCTGAGGCCAGACTTGACCCTGGGAGCAGTCCTCCCAATATTTGCCCACATCACCCCCCATCCTGTCCCCCAAGACTCACGCACTGAGGCGCTTCTTGAGGCTGATGCGCCGCCGGATTCCTGGGGAACTGGGACAGGAGGCAGCCGGTGGCTCAATGACACGGGAGACTCGGTAGCTAAGGGGTCAGTGTGTGGATGGGGGGTGGGGGGGAGTTGGGGGCAGGAAATGATGGGTGGATGAAGAGACAGGCGTTAGAATGACTTGGTGGTTGGGTTTGGGGTGTTAGGAGCAGCTAGGCATTCGGTCCCTATGTCAAGGTCAGGGTAGAAATGGGGGCCACAGGGTCAGGGTACATTACAGATGAAGGGGGATGGCTTCTTTGGCAAGTCACATGAAGATTTACAAAGTGAGATGAAGGAGTTGAATTGGGTCAAGGTTAGAGTTTAGGGCCAGGAAATTATTGGAGTCAATGGCGAGGCGCATGCATCTGATAGGAAAGAAACCAATAGGCTAGTTGAATTAGATGGTCAAATACAGACATTCAGGTTAGAAGCAAGGCTGGGTGCCCATGGCTCATGCCTATAATTCTAGCTACTTGGGAGGCTGAGATTGGGAAGATCCTGAATCAAGGCCATGTGGGGAAACAGTTCAGGAGACATCATAACCAGAGCAAAATAGACTGGAGGTGTGGCTTAAGTGGTAGAGCACCTGCTTTGCAAGTGCAAAAGCCTTGAATTCAAATCCCAGTCCCACCAAAAAAAGAGTCACTGACAACTGGGGATTGGGATCACAGATTTGGATGGGGGAGGTCAAAAAGGGTATCGTTGGTCAGATAGAATCAGGAGTTGGGGAAAAGAACAGAGTTGAATGTCAAGTTTGGGGTTGGAGGTCATGGGCTGGAGATAATGCAAGGTCACAGCTGGGGGCCCAGTTCAGGAAAGGGTCTTGGGAGGAGCTGAAGAGGTAATGGGATGGGAAGGATTCAGTGTGTGATGCAGGGTCAACTGGGGTGGAACCAGACCAGGTCCCAGCATGGTCACCTCTGCTCCTCACTGAGCTGGCTCTGGGCATGCATGGCAGCCAGGACTGGTGGGCGGGGGCTCAGACTGTAGCTCCGACAGCGTCTCTGTAGCTGCTGGATTCTGGCCAGGATCTCCCACTCCTGAAGGGGTGGCCTTTGAGACCCTGCCCTACCCCACTCCCACCCTGGGACACCCCTACACCCACCTCAGTACCCACTCACCTTCCTCCTCTTCTCAAAGTTGATGAGATCCCCCTGGTGGGGGCAAAGTTTGTCTAAGCTGGCGCCTCCAGGGTCAAGGTTAAGGGTAAGGTCAAGAGTTACAAGGAGCCCCCATTGTACTAAAGGGCTGGAGTCAGGAGGACAAGACTTGATCAAGGGTGGCTGTCAAGAGGCCCACTGTGCTGGAGGCAAATGGAGCTGGGGTCAGGAGTGAAGAGTCAGGGATCAGACCTTCAACATGTCCGGCAGGGCTGTGTCCAGCATAACCAAGTCCGTGAGAAAGGTGCCAAGGTAGGGGACAGGGCCTGGGGGCAGTTTCTGCAACCCCCAAAGCTCAGTTACTCAAGATCATCACTGACCCCATCACCCTCCACTTCCCTCCCTGAGGGCCTCTTGTCCCTCATCCCACACCATTTTGCTCACTGAAGGTAGGCTTCCTGGAGGGCTGTCCTCCTCTTGGGGTCCTTCAGTGGCTTCCACCTGGAAGGAAGGGAAGGACTGAGTGGCATCTTCAAGGGAAGATGCCTTGACACCCACCATACACACCCATCTTGCGCTCAACGATCACAAGCCAAACCAAAGAAAGTATGGGGGGAGGGGGAGGCAGCACATAACCAAAGGGGCAGGCCCCCAGGAATGAAGAGAAGTGAGGCTTGTGTGCAAAAGAGAATCCCTGTCCCTACTTGGGCAGAACCAACCTTCTGGGAACACCCTGAATTTGCCTCAGAGTGACGCTTTGTCTGGGGAAAACACTATTACCCTGTGTCTCATGAGCTTTCATTATTTGAGACATGCCAAGGTATTTATTGAGTGCCTACTGTGTGCTATGCACCGTCTGAGTGCTAAGTAGGCAACCATGAATAAAGACAAAATTCAGCCAGGTGCCAGTGGCGGGTGCCTATAATCCTAGCTACTTGGGAGGCTGAGATCAGGAGGATCATGGTTCGAGGCCAGCCCAGGCTAATAATTCGTAAGACCCCCCCCCCCATCTCCAAAATAATCAGAGCAAAATCAATTAGTAGAACATCTGCTTTGCAAGGGTGATACCTGAGTTCAAGCCCAGCCCCACCCCCCCCTCAAAAAAACCCACAAAATTTCTGGTCTGACTGAGAGGCCATTAGTGAGGAACAGCAACAGCTAAGCAAAACCCCAATAGGTCAGGAAGAGAGGAGGGTGACAAAGCAGGCAGGGGGAGTGTGCAAATGATGGGGGCTGGGGTGCTCAAGGAAGGTCTCCCCAAGGCAGGGGCATTTGGGCAGAGACCTGCAGGAGGTGAGTATGCAAGACGCACACATATGCTGGGGGCGGGGGGGCACAGAATTCCAGGCCCAGGGAACAGACTCAACCTTCCATCTATTCCAAATTCACTCTTAAGAACCAGCATCTGATTGTAATTAGAGTCTAACTCTTGCCTGTAATAAATCAAGACTTCTTGGCCCACATTAAAAAAAAAAACCAAAATCATGCTTTTCAAGGTAAATTCCCATAATGTCTTTTTTTCACATGTGACTGTGACTCTAGCCTTTGTAACCTTTTCCTTGTGACTTATATTTTGTTGAATGAAGATTAAGGCTGTTTGCTGAGTATGATATACTCATATGTACTCAGCATGTAAGGATAGCTATGTACAAAGCAGTGGTCAGGGCTGAGACACAGAAAGGACAACAAATGTGTGACAACAGGTAATGCCGCCAGCCAGCCCCTCCCCAGACCCCTTCCCGGATCTGGCATCCATCCACCGTGTCCAGAACCTTTTATACCTGGGAAAGAATCTCTCTGCTACTGAGGTGGTTGTTCTCATCAGAAAAAATTTGCGAAAGTTTTCTGAAAGTGGATAATGGTTCCCTGGGGGGGGAGGGATGAGAGAGGGCAGGTCAGAGGTCAGCGGCTGGGAGGACCAGAGCTAGGATGGGGTGACTCCCACTCCGCCAGCACCCCGGCTCACCGGCTCACGGCCCCCCAGCTGCGCTTGAGCCTGTAGATGGGGTTAGACTGCAGGGCGGACAGAATGGCTCGCAAGGAGGAGAAATTCCGCAGCTCCCGGCAGCGCTGGGGGCAGGACGGTCACTGATCACACCCAGTATCTGACTCCCAGGGACCAGTCACCTTTGATCCTGTGACTTCTGAAGCCAGGTCCAACCCCCTACATCTTGTCCCACATGTGACACTTGCTAAGACGCTTCCCCTTCCCCAGGAGGCCCCTCAGCTCCCAGCACCCCCCACCCCAACTTGACTTCTCCCATCCCCCAACCCTTACTTCTCCCCAGCCTCTCTCCAGGACCCTGGAGCCTCCTCTCTGAACCCAAGTCACAGGTTTCAACTTTTTTACTTTCTTCCCCTCCAATTCCCTTGACACCCCCTCCCCCACACCCATTTCTTCCTCTTCCTGAGGCCCTGAGGCTCTTGCTGCTCACCCCTGCCCAGTCTTTCAGGGACCTACTCCAATCCTATTCCCTCTCCATCACCACCACTCCTGGCCTGAAATCTCCAGTCCCGCCCAGCTGCCCCAGGCTCCGCCCCCACGCTCCCTTTTAAGGAGGATCCTTGCCCCGCCCCCAGGCCTCTCCCCGCCCCCAACACGCACCTGTGCGATGCGAATCCACTTCTCAATCCGCTGCGCCCTCTGCGGGGCTGGCAGGCCAGGCGCCCCGAGCACTGACCCCAGCACACAGCCAGTCACCGTGTTGAACTGGGCCACGGTGGCACGTACGGTGGGGGCGACACCTGTGGCTCCAGGCCGGTCCCGCTGGGACCACACCGAGCCCAGGCACTCACAAGGCCTCACACGAGAAAAGAGCTCCTGAGTGGGAGAGAGGAGCGGAGGATGGGTGCGCAGTGTGGCCTGCCTCCTTCCAGTGCACCCCTGCCTGCCTCAGTCGGGGTCCTCACCACGTCCATAAGGGTCAGCTGCTCCGCCACCTCGTCCACACTGAAGTCCAGGAGCTCCGGAACTTGCCACCTGAGCCCTTCCTCCTCTTCAGCACAGTCGTCTGGGGAGTCTGGTGTGGGGGTCTGGGCAGCCCTGGGAGGTCCTGAGGATTAGATGGGGTTACAAAGTCTCAAATTTAGGTTGGAGTGTAGATCAGAGGTAGAGCATTTGCCTAGCAAATGCAAAGGCCCTGGGTTCTAACTCCAGCCCTGAAAACAAACAAACAAAAAGTAAGAATGGAGGACTGCCTTTGTGACCTTGACCAAGAACTTTGAGCCTTACTTCCTCATCTTTAAAGGACCTCTTAGTATTTTATGTATTTATTTAATTATTATTTGGCGACGCCTGGCTTTTTTTTTTTTTTTTTTTTTTTGTGGCACTGGGGCTTGAACTCAGGGCCTTCACCTTGAGCCACTCCACCAGTTCTTTTTTGTGGTGGGTTTTTTTGAAATAGGGTCTCTTGGAACTATTTGCCTGGATTGGCTTCAAAGTGTGATCCTCCTGAGCTCAGGCTTCTGAGTAGCTAGGATTACAGGTGTGAGCCACCAGCCCCAGGTTACAGAACTGAGTATTTTTAAGGACTTAATAGCAACAATAATGAGTGTGCACCTAGCATGGATTAATTTAGTATTTCTGCACAATGAGAGAGGTACTTTCTGCTTGCTAGGGAGGCACTCTACTGCTAAGCCACACCTCCATCCCTTTTGTTCACATTTTGTTTTGAAGACAGAGTCTGGCTAACTTTGCCTGGGCAGACCTTGAACCCTCTATCCTCCTGATTCCATCTCCCAATGAGCTGGGTTTTAAAACCATGTGGGCCACCACACAGGGTAGGAAAATATTATTTATTGACCTTTCAGTGTAAGGAGACTGAGGCACAAAACAATTTGCTTTAGATGACACCTTCAGCAAATGGCAGGGAAGGAATTTGAAGCCAGGTGTTAGAAGGCTAGAGTAGAAAGCAACATTTTGAGTCTATATTAGGACTTATCAGCTGTCTTTTTTTTTTTTTTTTTTTTGAGAGAGAGAGAGAGAGAGAAGGCTGTTGTCAAACAGTCACAAACTCAGAGAACTGATTGTGTGCCTCAGTGGTAAAACATAGCCCTGCAAAACATACAGCCCAGCATAGTAGTGTACACCTGTAATCCTAGCACTCAAGAGCTGAGACAGTAGGATCATCTGAGGCCAGCCTGTACTACAGAGTGAGACTCTAAGACAAAATAAATAAACGACACAAATTCAAACCCAAAAACCCAAACTTTCCCACCAGGCTTGTTGTGTGAAGTAAGATAAAGTATATATATATTTTTTCTTTTTTTTTTCGGTGACACTGAGGTTTGAACTTGGCACTTGCCAAGCAGGCACTCTAACTCTTGAGCCACACTTTCAGTTCATCTTGCTCTAGTTATTTTGGAGATGGGATCTCATGAACTATTTGCCTGAGCTAGCCTCAAACCACAATCCTCCCGATCTCAGCCTCTCCGGTAGCTGGGGTTACAGGAATGAGTTACTGGCACCCAGAAAAGCATGCCTTTTAACCTCGCCTTGGTTCTTCATCTGGATTTTCCTTTTAAGATCAAATGAGGTCATGCATACCAGACTGCTACAAAGTGTTCAGTAAACATGAATGATTTTTCTACATTGAGTTTTGATTGTGGCTCCCTCTAGGGGACACTTTTGAAAACTATACTCTTGCTTTGCAGAAGGATGATTGTATTGTGCCACCCAGCATCCAAATGTCCCTCCAGAGGCTTGTGTCATAGAAAAGCCTGTTTACTATCTTCTCTACTTAGAACCTCACTATTTTGCCTATCAACAAGTTATTTTGGCTCCAGTGGTAGAATGCTTGCCTAGGATGTTAGGCTCTGGATTCAATCTCCAGCACGTAAAATAATAATAATAATAATAATAATAATAATAAAAATGAAAAGTACTGCAAAAAAAATGTTATTCCAAAACCTGGCACAGAGTAGCCGTTCAATAAATGTTTATTTTCCCTTCCGACTTCAAGGAGCCTACAGAATCATTTTGCGTAGAACTTTCTAGATGGTCATCTTCTCTACCTGAGTTCTACAGTGTGGCTACTGAGCAGGAAATGTGGCTAGTGTTAATGGAGGAACTGAATTTTTATTTTTATTTTTTTTTGTGGTACTGGGGTTTGGACTCTGCCAGCCCCTTTTTTTGTGTGATGGGTTTTTTTGAGATAGGGTCTTGGGAACTATGTGCCTGGGCTGGCTTCGAACCTTGATCCTCCTGATCTCTGCCTCCTGAGTAGCTAGGATTATAGGTGTGAGCCACCGGTGCCCAGCCTGATTTTTTAATTTAATTTAATTTAAATAGCCACATGGGCTTGTAAGTAAGTACTAAATTGGACTGTGAGGCTTCGATGACTGGAATCCATTAGTAAAACTTTGGAGGCAGGGGAAGGAAAACACTTAGTAACCAGGAGGAGAGAGGGCAGATAGAAAAGTGGCTGCTACTTTGTAAAGCACAAGGAATGTGGCCACTTTAATCTGAGGATTAAAAGATGAGGATTAGAGATAGAGATGCTTTTAGGATCCGGGATTAGATCAGACACAGATGGGTGAAAGATGATACTTTATAAGCAGGGTGCAATTATTCAGTCAACTAATCCATGTTGTTCTTGCAACAGGATCAGACCCAGGGACAGGAATGATATGATCATGCTTTCTTATATACTCACTGGCTTCAGAGATGAACAAAAGCCAATAATTGCTACATGGGAGGCTGAGATCAGAAGGATCAAGATTCAAGGTTAGCTTGGGCAAAAGAAAAAAAAAGAAACTTTGCAAGACCCCTATCTTAACATAAAAAAGCTGGGTGTACTACTGTGTGCCTGTCATCCCAGTGACATTGGAAAGCATAAAATAGGAGGATTGGGACAGGTGGAGCTCGACAAATGAGACTCTAGCTCCAAAATAACAATAGCAAAAAAGGCTGGAGATGTGGCTCAAGTGGTAGAGAACCTACCTTGCAAATGTGAGGCCTTGACTTCAAACCCTGGCCCCACCAAAAAAGAACTCAAGGAGATGTCTGTCATAGTGTTGTGCAGAAAAATAAAACAGGTTCTGAGGCCCCAGGGTATATTTGATGGAGAATGTCAGAGAAAGTTATTCTGAGGAGGTAAGTGAAGTATGTAAGTTTTTTCATATCCCAAAAATGCTTAACTTTTTCTATAGAGTTTGCTGACACTTATTGTACAAGAAAATATCAATATGACTCTGGTATACATTTTATTTTAAGTGGTAGACCTCTAATAAGTAAGAATCGGTGAGAGAAATAAGCAAAACCACCTACACATAGTGACAGCAGGCCTGGAATAGCAATACTGGGGAAGCTGAGGCAAGAGGATTGTAAGTTCAAGGCCAGCCTGGGCTAGTTAATGAGACACTGCTTTGAAAAATACAAAAAACAGCCTGGTGCCAGTGGCTCATTCCTGTAATCCTAGTTACTTGGGAGGCAGAGATCAGGAGGATCAAGGTTCAAAGCCAGCCTAGGCAAATAGTTCTCGAGACCCTATCTCGAAAAAACTCAACATTAGGCAGACTGGTGGAGTGACTCAAGTGGTAGAGCGCCTGCCTAGAAAGTGTGAAGCCCTGAGTTCAAACCCCACTGCTGCCAAAGTAAAAAAATGCAAAAAACAGTGATAACAATAATAAAAATATATGACTGGCCAAGGCTTTATTGTTTAGTTGAGAGTTTTTTTGTTTGTTTTTTGGTACTGGGGTTTGAACTCAGGGTCACATGCTTGCTGGGCAGGTGTGCTACCACTTGAGCCACTCTGCCAGCCCTGTTTAGTTATTTTCTTGTTGATTGAATGTCTTTCCTAGGAAAGTGAGAGTCTGGGGCCAATATTATATGGTCAAAGCTAGTGGCTGAATATTTGTTGAATAAAGAGCCCAATGAGGCTGAGTGCTGTGGCTCATGCCTATAATCCTTGCTATACAGGAGGCAGAGATCAAGAGGATCACAGCTTGAAGCCAGCCCAGGCAAATAGTTTCAGAGACCCTATCTTGAAAAAAACTCTTCACAAAAAAAGGGCTGGTGGCGTGCCTCAAGGTGTAGGCCCTGAGTTCAAACCCCAATACCGAAAAAAGAAAGAAAGAAAAAAGAAGAGCCCAATGAGGTAAGTACTGCTGTTACCCCCACTTTTCAGATAAGGAAATTTAGTCTCAGAGAGATGAAGCAAGTTACCCAAGGTCACATAGTATGTGGCAGAACTAGAATGTGAACTTGTGTCCCTGGTCCAATGGCAGAATATCTTTGGAGATGGAAGGGAAACACTAGACAAATGCTAATACTTTGGACATAGACTTATGATCCCTATTTTATAGGTGGGGAAACAGGCTCGGACAGTTTAAAAACCTTGTCCAAGGGGCTGGGCATGGTGGTATATGTCTGTAACCCCAACTACTAGGGAAGTGGAGGTGGGAGGATCACAATCTGAGACTAGCCCAAGCAAAAGCAGGAGATCCTATTTGACAAACTAAAAACAAAGGGACTGGAGAGTGGATCAAGTCCTAGAGGGCCTTCCTAGCAAGTGAGAGGTCCTGAGTTCAAACCCCAGTCTGGCCAAACAAAAAACTTGGTACAGCACTGCCTAGCATGCACAAAGCCCTGGGTTTACTCCCAAGCACTGCAAAAACAAACAACCAACCAAGCAAGCAATAAAAACAAACCTTACCCAAGATACTGAAGGAAGTCCAACTTGCAATGTCCAATTCTTTCTCACAATTCGAGCAATGCTGAAAACCCCTCACCTGTGCAAGCCACAGGCTGCTCCTCTTCTTCCTGGTTCCCCCCAGACGCTGCCAAGAAACCTTCCAGAAGCTTCTCTGCTTCCTGGGCCTCAGCCCCTCCTGGGGCTGCCCAACCCAGAAAGATTCGGACACTGTCCAGGTCTGGGTGGGCAGGGGGATCGCGGAAATCTTCAGGGTGGTCCCGTAGCCAAGTGCCCAGCACAGACACCACAGCCCTGGCCAGAGGGGCAACCTCAGAGCCGGACCCAGACACCTGCACTTCCCAACCTTGAACTCTTCAGGTAAGCCAACCCTCCAGGCCTCAGGCTGGGCTTGAAGGTTGATCAGTGACCTTGAAGACCCTCCCCCTCCCCCACGCTGCGGGGGAAGACCAACCTCACATTCTTGTCGAACCGCACATCTTGTCTTTCTGACTTGCTCTCTGCCCTGGGGAGAGACTCTCCATCAGGTGAAGGCCGAGGGGCTGCAAGGTGCAAGGGGCTTGGGGGAGGGTCCTGGGGGGAGGGCTTCCTCCTTTCAAACCCGAGGAGGGAGGGGGAGGCAGGTGGGGATCTGGAGAATGGGACCTGCAGGATCTTGTTAGCTACTAACCTGGATGGTGCGGGCGGCGGTGGCGGTGGGGGCAGCAAAAAGCCCAGTACGCGGGTGGTGGGCACAAAGGCCCGGTGGGTGGCCAGGAAAGCAGGTACAAAGCCTGGATCCTGGTCGTGGTCCCCCGACACCAACTCACGCACCAGCCGCTCCAGCCTTGCAGCCCTCAGCGCCCGCACCTTGCTGGTGCGGTAGTGGAGAAAGGTGTCGGCAGGAGGGGTGGGGGTCTGTTGGGAGGGAATGGGGGGGAAGCAAGCCATGAAAGACCATGGCCCCACTAATTACGTCCATTGCTAGTGCCTCATTGAAATCTGACGTTGTCCATTTCTTTGAATCTAGGCCTCCAGGATTTGTTTTGCTGGGTCACACATGAACCCCCACCCCAAAACCCTAATCCTCCTAAGCCCTGTCTTCTCTCCCCTTTCACTTGGCCACCCCCAGGCCTCTCAGCCCTCCAGTCACGCTTCGCTGGCGTCGCCCTTGCCCCGCCCACCCTCACCTGGCCGCTTCTAAGCCCCGCCCCTCCTTCCAGCTCCAGTTCACTAAACTTGACTTCCTAGACCCTGTCGTCCATTTCTGCCCTTTCCTGGTCGCTCCCAGGTCTCCTTTGGGAATGCACCATCACCAGGCCCCAGTCCCGTGTCCTGAATTTATTCCACTCACCTGTCAGCACCCAGACCCCTTTCAACTCACCTGGTCGCCTCTTCGCTCCGCCCTTCCTTCCAGCCCAGCCGCACCTGGAGGCCCACGCTGGGCTCTCCAGCTTCGCTCTCACCTTGTCACTCCCAGGTCTCTCCGCTCAGGCCGCCCCTCCTCCGCACAGGCCCTCCGCCTGTGCCCCGCTCCAGCCCCTTCCTCACCTGGCTGTCCCCGGGCCCCTCCCCTGGCCTCGAGCGCTGGCTGCACTGCCGCCGCAGGGAGACACTGTACACCGCTCCATCCTCGGTCTCCTCGCCCCAGTCCTGCAGCGGTGCCTGGACGCGGAGGCGGGCTTAGGGCGGTCCCGGGGGTCTCAGCCCCGCCAGCCTCGGGGACTCAGGCCGGCCCCCTTTCGGCTCTGCCCCCTTTCCGGGACAGAGTTTGCAAGACTTGAGGCGGGGTCCCCCCTCCTTAGGTCCTAAGGGTATGGAGTGGCATTTGAGGACGTCCCACGGTCCGGTCTTAGGGAATTTGTTTCTGGACTCTCCTTCAGATGTACTCAGAAACACCCGACCCCATCCTAAAGAGGAACAAGTCGCTTCCCTGGGTCAGTAGCCCTGAGTCGCTTGAGGTATGGGTTTGGGACAGACCCGATTTGCGGGGTTATAGGATCCGAGGGTGGGCGCCTGGAGTTTGTGGACCTGGGAGGGTCACCAGAAATCCCCAAAGCCCCTTACCAGGGCGAGCTCCTTGCCCCGCTCCATGGCCGGCGCCCTTCCCGCTCCTTGGCGACGCTGAGAGAGACGGAAGGACTGGCGGGCAGCGGGAAGGGGCTGGTGGGGCGGGGCAGTCAGGCCGCACGGGGCGGGGCAGGGTAGGGCAGGCTCACCCACAGTTCTTGGAGGTCCCAGCCCAATTCGGTGAAGTCCAGGTTCTGCGGATAGGTGTGTATCAACCTGTCCCCAGGGGAGAGGTCTTTTCTCTATCCCCAGGTGTAGGGAGCTAAGTTGTGCATAGCTAAGTGGGTGGAAAGGGCTGGTGGGCCCCAAGTGTGTGGGTGTCTGTATCTCTCAGGACTCTGGAGGGGAAGGGGGATGCTCGATCTGTCACCAGCTAATAGGAGTCATCACACCCCAAGTTGGAAGGAGGGGTGTCTGTGTCCCTGGGTTTTGTAGGTCAGCCATCTTTGGGGCCGTACAGCCAAGCAGAGGTGAATACCCAGGAGGCTGGTCAGTGACCTTTATTGAGCGATTCTGAGGCTGGCGCTGACCGCCTCGGGAGATTTACTGTGGGAACATCTGGCCCGGCCCTTCCTCTCCTCCTGGCACCGATGGCCTGCTCTGCTCCCTGTCCGAACATCGTCCAGCCCTTGAAGGGGCTCCATGGGCCTGGTGACTGGGCCTAGAGGAGTCAGGGGCTCTGAAAGGGTCTGGAGGCACCAGGTGGGCAAGATTTCGAGTCTAGGACTTCCGCGAACGACTGCGCTTCTTGCTTCGGGTTTCGATTAATTTCTGAGAACTTATCTTGAACGCAGCGCGGGTCGCCACATCGTTGTCATCGTCTTCACTCTCCTCTTCGTCTGCAGGAGGTGGACAGGGGGTGATGAGGGATCCAATTCCTCATCCCAGCTCAGATTTCCTTTCCAGCCTTCATCACCCCACCCACCTCCTCCTGGGCCTTGGGCCCTTCCCAACCCCACCCCCTTTTGCCAGAAGTACTGACCGAAGAACTTGTCCTTGGAACTAGCCAGTGGCAGGGGGATGCGGGTGTTATACTGGGGTAGTTTTCCTTCTAAGCTTGCAAGGAACTAAGGGGGAGGCAGGGCAGGAGAGAGGTGTGGGCGGGTCAGGGGCTGCAGAGAAGTTCCGTACTGCTTCCTCCCCCATCCTATTCCGAGATATGACCATTCCAGGCAGAGACTCTGTCCACTCCTATTTTCTTTTTCTCCAGCCCAGCTGCAGTCCTCGTTCTTAAAGACTCTGACGCCAAGGTCCACCCCCTTGTCACTCAGTCTCACCCTGGGTCTCTGAGATCTAACCCTGATTCTCAGGCCCCACCCAAGGCTCTCCTGGCTCCTCCCCCTTGCGTATCAGGCTCATCCCTGAAACCTCTCTTTGTCCCCAAGACCCCTCAGCCTCCACCCTGGTTTCTCGAGGGTTGCTCCCAGCTTCCGATCTCGCCCCCATACTCCCAACCCCTTGGTCTCTCAAGCCCTTCCCCGTAGCTGCCAGGTCACCTCTCGATCAGCGATGTGGCGCAGCATGTCAGGCACGTCGTGGATCTCCAGCTGTCCCTGTAGTTTCAGCAGCTTTTCCTCCACGATGCCCAGCAAGCTCAGCAAGTAGTCACTTGCTTCGGGATCTAACTCCTCTTCGGAGTAACGGCTGTCCTCCTACAGCCAGAGAAGGGACCGAATCAACGGATGGGCGGGGCCTATGGACAGGCTCCACCCAAGGGTGGTGCTTTCCCTCAGGACTTTGAGGCGAGGGACCACCCACTGGGATGTGCTTCCTCTGTGGGGTGGGGCCTCTGAAATCACAGGTCACGCCTTGAGGGTGGGGCCTCCAAAATCAGACACCGAGGAAGGATGGGGAGGGGGTAAGGACTTTTGGCAGGGGGTAATAACTGAAGAGAGGCTGTTGTGAGCATAGCCTTCTGAAGCAATGGGCCTCCTCTGTGGGACAGGGTATGGCTTCTCCGTCATGAGGCTCCAAGATTTGTGTGTGTGTGTGTGGGGGGGGTTACTGGGGTTTGAACTCAGGGCCTCACACTTGCTAGGGAGGCACTCTTCCACTTGAGCCACTCTGCCAGCCCTGTTTGGGGAGGGGGGGTTTCAGAGATAGAGTCTCCCAAACTATTTCCCCGGGGCTGGCTTTGAACCACCTTGAATAGCTAGGATTACAGGAGTGAGCCACCGATGCCCGGGAAGCTCCAGGATTGTAGTCTCCCAAGATTTTGGGTGGGGACACGGTGGGCCTTTCCGCGGAGGCGGGGCTTGAGGAAGGACAGGGTCTCCGAAGTCCTAGGCCTCTTCCCAAGAGGAATTCCCCAGGGATGTGGGGCGAGAACTGTGAGTGGGGCGGGGCTCCCTCTATAGGCGGGGCCTCTAATGTTCTAGGCAGAGGTGGGGAGTGTCCACTGGGGCCTGTGTGTATGAGTGATTGCGCATCTTAGGTCCTGGGAGGGTCTTAGCAGGACCTTCTTGGGGCGGGGCCTCTCAGGAGCAAAGCCTACCAATGTGACATGATTCAGCTTGTTGGCCAGATGCTGGAGGCTCTCCTTGGCAATTTGCATGGTTCGCAGGGTACGCTCCAGCTGTTCTTGTGCAATGGCGCGCCGCTCCTCCTCCGTCTTGAGGCGCTCCTGCATTTCCGCAAGCTGCTTCTGCTGGCTGCAGGGGAGCCGGGAAGGGAGGTCACCACTTCAGTGCCGCGGTGTCCGCACCCCCACAGCCTTCTTCTTATACTCGGGGGTCTCACCTCACCAGTTTGGAGTCCCCAGAGTACTTGAGCTCTTCGAGCTCTCGCTGCAACCGTTGCTTCTCTTGCTTCAGCTTCACCAGCGCCTGCTCGTTGTCTTTCTTGAGCGTCTCCAACTGCGTGAAGGTGTCGCCCTGGGCCAGGAACCGCCGCACCACCGACTGTGGGCCACCCAGCACAGTCAAAGCCAGGGCATAGAGCGGTACAAGTGCGTTTCCTTCCTACCCCCCTTCTACAGAACAAGTGGCTTAACCTGGTCGCTTTTGCACAGCGATGTATGGGGGCTGTGTGTGGATCAGACTCAGGGTGTACAGCCCCGGACAAATCATTTTCCCTGGGGCCTTTCTTGCTCATATTAGAGGAATTTGCCTGCCAGGGCAGCAGAGCGATGAGCATAATTGCATTCCAAAATCAATATGCCAGCAAGTTCTGGCAGTGATTCGAGCCCAATCCCGCCAGAAAATACTGCGCATTAGGGGAGCGATCAGCTCACTCGACCCTTTCTGAAAAAGGCCATGGATGACCCCATAGGTCAGAGTTTTGGGTCTCCTGGGAATCAACCCATGCTTGACTGTGTCCTAGAGACATTACAGGTAGCGCTGGAGATCCAGGACAAGACAGACAAAACTCCCAGTTTCCCCAGAGCTGAATGCAAAGATGTGAGTGCGGTGCAAGTATAAGAACTGGAGAGGAAATGAGGGCGAGTGTGGATAGTTCCCCAGGGTTTGTGGTGAAGGGCAGCGGGAAACGGGACTGTGGCCGGAGGGGGAAGGGATACCTTTTAAGAATTAAGAGAGCAGGTTTGTGTGCTTATAACTTGACCCAGCAGAGAGGGGAGGCGGGAAGTGTTGGCCTCCGGGGCCTGGGCACCGCTGGGCGCGTGTGGGGGAGGAGAGGATTGTGAGCGGCACTCACATGCGTTTCTGCAACGCCGGTGGCGTCCTTGACCTTGCCAAAGATCACCTCCATCTGGTACATGCTCCAGCGCTGCCGCAGTTCATCCTCCAGGTTACGCTGGTGGTCTTGGATCGTATCCTCCGACTGCAGGAGCAGGTGCTCGCGCTGTGTCTGCTCGAGAGGGTCAAGGCCAGGGTCAGCTCGCAGATAAGGGCTTGGGGTGGAGGCCGGGAGGGGACAGGGCTTAGACTAGGGAGTGGGAGCATGGCCTTTGCTCTTGAGACAAATTAAGGACACCCAGGCAGGGGTCAGGAGGACTGGGTAGGAGGTGGCTTTAGCGCAGAGGAGCGGAGTCCAGAGGGGTAGGGCCTTCGGAAACGGGTGGGCATGAGGCAGGGTGGGAAACGGGTGGGCATGAGGCAGGGTGGGATTTAAAATAAGGTGGGCTAGTCAGATGGGACTGAGAAGACGGCCAATGCATAACGAGAGCTGAAGGTCATGGCAGAGCCAAAATGGGGCACACAACTGCGAGCGGGAAGGTGAGGGCTAGGTGTAGATGTGGGAGGAGCTCTGACATCAAGGGGGTGGAGCCAGGGGCGGGGCTAGGAGAAATGCCTTAGAGCAGGTATGGGTGTAGGTTGTGAGCCAAAGTAGAGGCGTGGCTGGGGGGACTAGGCCTGGACAGGTTATGTGATTTGGGGTGGTCGAAGCCCCACCCCACCTCCGCCACCGTACGCCCACCTTGCGCTCCATGCGCTCGTTCTGCAGTTTCTTCTCCTCTGCGCGCTTCTTGCATTCAGTAATGTGTCGCTCCCGCTTCTTGCGCTCTCGTATCACGGTCTCCTCCAGATACTGCAGCTGGGTCTGGAGGGTGGGCAAGGGGACATTTGGGACCTGGAAGCGGAGCATTGGGCCCGGTCTACACAGCGGGTCCAGGCCGCAGGGAGACAGGTGAGAAGGGCTCATGAACACCTGAGTTCAGGTTCTGGTGCCGGAGGAATTTGGCAGCTGAGAGAACCCCTAAGGGCAGGTGGGCTGGCACCTTGGCGATATCGCGGGCGTTGAGGGCCTCTTGGTTCACCAAGTGCAATTCTTCCACCTCGTGTTTGGCCTTCACCACCTCAGCCTCCATGGTGTCCAGCCGGTTCTCTGAGTTGAGGCTCTCCTCCTAGGTGTAGAGGGAGGGCAAGCTTGTGACTGCTGACCCTGGCTTCTTCATCTGCCTTTCCCTCCCACGTCCTTGTCCCTACCTGGAGATAGGCCTTGAGCTGCAGGTACACGCTGGTAATGTGCTCTGCCTCTTCTGCCTTCATCCGGGCCTTTTCCAGGCGATTCTCCAGGTTCCGCATGGTCTAGTGGGCAGCAGGGCTGAGCTTAGTCCCCTCCCCCTCGGATGCCTGCCCCAGGACCTGCCCGCAGGCCTCACCTTGGCCACCTCCGTGTTGCTATCCTGCGCCTCGGCCATCTCCAGTTGGCGCAGGCTGTGCTGCAGCTGGAGCTCATCCAGCCGCTTCTGCCTCAAAATCACCTGGTGTCGCACAGCGTTCAGCTGATTTACCTTCTCGCACAGCTGGTGGTCCAGGTGCTCCAGGGCTTGCTGTAGGAGGGGCGGAGAGCAGAGGCCTGAACCCTCCCTCCCCAGTCCTTTTGTCTATCCTGCCTTCTTCTACATGGTGGCCTTCATCTGCCTGTTTTCTAGCATCTGACCTGGCTGTCCACCCCCTCCTGCAGATTCTTTCCTTTGGTGGCTTTCAGGGACCCTCAAGGTACAATTTTCTATCCACTTTCATGGCCACCCCTTCTCCATCTCCTTTGCCTTTGAAGAAAGGACCAGCTTTTTCTCTGTGTCCGTGTCCACACCTTCCTCTTTGATGATCTTGGGGTTTAAAAAATTTAGAAAGTCTTGGGGTTTCAAAAGACATCCAATCACTGAAGACACTGAAATTTAGCCATCCCCTTTGAATTAAGTGCTCTTACATCCATATGCCTTCCAGACATCTCCATGGCACCTCAAAACCATCAAATCCAAAACGGAATGCCCAAAACTGCCCTTCACACACCTTCACCATCTCAGCTCATGATTGCCCATCCTTCCAGGTACTGAAGCCCAACACCTTGCTGGGGGTGGAGCCCAGTGGTAAAGTGTGGGCTTAGAAAGCCTGAGGGCCAGGATTCAGCTCCCAGCATCAAAAAGAAGAGGGCTGAAGCACATGCATGGCTCAAGTGGTAGAGCACTTGCCCAGGCAGCACATGGCCCTGAGTTCACCCTCAGTACTGCAAATAAATGAATAAATAAGAATAAGCCTCGTGCCAGTGGCTTGTCCTTGTAAACCGAGCTACTTAGGAGGCTGAGATCAGGAGGATGGTGATTTCAGGGTACTGGGGTTTGATTTCAGAGCCTGGAGCTTGTTAGGGAGGTGCTCTACCACTTGAGCCACGCCCCAAGCCTCTGCCTGTCCCATTCTCAGCTCAAATATCACCTCCTTTGGGAAGAGGTCTTTGCTGATCCACCCAATCTGAAAGAGCTAGGCGCTGTCCCCTGTCCCCTACAAGACTGTCATTTTGTCTTACTCATTTTCATTACTTCTGGGACACCTCTATGTCTATATGCATTGTTTTAGGGGTTTTGTTTTGGTTTTTTTAAAAATTAGGATATATTCGTTGTAGAGGAGAGATTCATGGTGACAAATCCGATGAGACTTCTATTGTACATTAGTTAGATCACCCCCATTGTCTCTCTTGGTTTTGTTTTTTTGAGACAGGGTATCACTATGTAGCTCTGGATGGTCTTAAACTCCTCTAGATTCTACTGCTGTGTCTCTTAAGTACTGAGATTACACATGTGCCTGCAATCCCATCCTTTTTCCTTTGTTTTTGTTTTTAAAGAGACAAGGTTTAGCTATGTTGCCGAGGCTGGTCTTAAATTCCTCGGTTCAAGCAATCAACCTGCCTCAGCTTCCTGAGTAGCTTGGACTACAGGCTAACGTCATAGGATTTTTTTTTTGGCTTTTTTTTTTTTTATGATTTGGATTTGAATTTGGGGACTCACCCTTGCTAGGCAGATGCTCTTCCAGTTAAGTCATACTCCAAGCCCTTTTTGCTTTAGGTACTTTTCCAATAGGGTCTTGTATTTATGCCTGGACTGACTGGACCATGATCCTCCTATTTGTTCTTCCTACATAGCTGGGATGACAGGTGCATGCCACCTGCTCAGCTTTTTTTTGTTTTTTGTGGTACTGGGGCTTGAACTCAGGGCCAACACCTTAAGCCACTCCACCAGCCCCTTTTTTTGTGATGGGTTTTTTTGAGATAGGGTTTCAAGAACTATTTCCCCAGGACTGGCTTCAAACTAGGATCTTTCCAATCTCTACCTCCTGAGTAGCTAGGATTACAGGCGTGGGCCACTGGCGCCTGGCTCCCACCTGGCTTTACTGATTGAGATGGGGTCTGGATAACTTGTGCCCTGGGCTGGATCAACCTCAGTCCTCCTGATCTCTGCCTCCCTATTAGCTGAGATTACAGATGTGAGCCAGAGTGTCCAGCCTCTGTCTCATCTTTTCTACTAAGACATGAGCTTCTTGGAAGAAAGGACTTGCTGTTTCTGCTCTTCTGTTTTGTCACTACATGGTCACCAAACCCCGAACACTGTGTCAAACAAAAGGTCAGTGTGTAATAAAGATTTCATTGAAGCCAGGCATCGATGACTCATGCTTATAATTCTAGCTACTCAGGAGGCAGAGATCAGGACTATCTTGGTTCAAAGCCAGCCAGAGAAAATAGATCATGAGACCCTATCTTGAAAACACCCAACACAAAAAATGGGCTGGAGGAGTGGCTCAAGTAGTACAGTGCTTGCCTAGCAAGCATGAGGCCCTGAGTTCAAACTCCAGTACCGCCAAAAAAAAAAAGATTTCACTGAGTAAATAAATGATGATTAGTAGCTGGTGTGGAGGAGAAAAGACTGGTGAGGGTGAGGTGAGCAGCAGGAAATGCAGTAAGGAGAGGACCCCCTGGCTGGAGATGAAGGCCGGTGGGGTGCAGCTAGGCAAACCTGGCCTGTCCTGTTCTTCAGGTACGGCTTCTCTGACTTCCATTCTTGAATGATCATCTGGATCACTTTCTCATCTCCCTGCAAGGAGAGGAGACAAGTCACCCCTCGCTCGGATCACCTGCCTGCCCACCAGAGCCTCTTTTGCCACCTCTGTGCTCTCACCTGGAGCAGGTCTGTCAGTTGCAAGTGGAGAGCCTTTGTCTCCTCCCGGAGCTGGTTTATGGTGTCCTGGTTCTTCTTGATGTTCCACTGGGAACTCTCATAAAAGGCCTTCCGGTCACCCTCTGGGGGCAGGTGAGGTGGGCAGAAGCAAGAACGGGGTCATTGGGTAGGTGGGTGGGACTTCCAGAGAGAAGACCAATTGCAAGCATCAACTTAATATTATAATGATACTTGCTGAGGAGAGAGGATAGCTAATGGGTACAGGATAACTTCTTTTTTGTTGTTGTTGTTTTGGTGGACTGTGGTGTGAACTCAAGGCTTCATGCACTCTATTACTTGAGCCACACCACCAGTTCATTTTGCTCTGGTTATTTTGGAGCTGGGGTCTTGTGAACTGTTTGCCTGGACTGGTCTTGAAGTGTGATCCTCCAGATCTTAGCCTCCCAAGTAGCTAGGATTATAATTATAATTAATTAGACAGAATTTTGTTCCCCACACAAAGAAATGATAAATTGTTCAAGTGGTAGAGCAAGCACAAGGCTCTGATTTCAAATCCCAGTACCACTAAAATAAATAAATAAAAATTGACTTACAAGGATTTCCTAAACATTGGCACAACCAATATTTAGGCTGAATTATTTGCTATGGAGAGCTGTCCTATGCCTTGAGGGGTGCTAAGCAAGAACCTTAACCTCTATATAATAGTTGACAGTAGCTTCCCATCTCCCTTGGCAGTGTGATAACCAAATGTGTCTTCAGTCATTGCCAAATGGCCTGGGAGGGGCAAAACTGCCCTTCTCCATGACAACCACTAGTTTACATGAGCACCTTATACAGTTTAACTACCTACATTCTACTGTTACTTTCCCCATTTTACAGATGGAAAAACTGAGAGCAATTAGGTTACCCTTAGTCCCTGTGGTCAAAAACTATTACACATAGGTTAGGGGAGTGGCCCAAGCATTACAGTGCTTGCCTAGCAAGCACAAGGCCCTTATTAAAACAAAACAAAACAAAACAAAAAAAGCAACTATTATGTAGAGCCAAGATTTGAACTCCAGAAAACCTGGTTCTAAAATCAATGCTTTTTGTCATCACATGCATGATAGAAAAGGTGGATTACTTTTTTTTTTTCTTTTTCAAGGTGCTGGGAGTGGAATCCAGGGACTCATGCATGCTACGAAGGTGCTGTATCATTGAGTTATATCCCCAGTCCATTCTGCTCTGAGCCCAGAAATTTGAAAAAGAGGTATGAGGAAAAACCATGAACAAGTAAGGAATGTTCGTCCCCGCAAACTGGCCACATAGATTCATGCTGGTGAAACGCCTTTGTCCCACAGTGCCTGATCAAAAGACTGCATGGGCACTGTGGACCCCTGACCCTTCTGTGCCCTCTGCAGCCATCTTACCTAACAGTTGGATCTTTCTTTGTAACTCAGTCACCTGTGCCTGCACAGAAGACTTGACATTATGGGACTGGAGAGATCCCCCCTTGGACCGGAATGGGGGCCAGGCCTGTGCCCGCGCTGAGTCCTTGCTTCGGGAATAGCTCTGCTTGCCCTGAGTCTTGCTGCCCTTAGCTTTGTTGGAGGGCGTTGAAACCTGGTCCTGAGAAAGCAGAGCGTTGGCAGAGGCCGCCCTGCACAGGGGAGACGTCATCATCATTGGATTGGGGCCAAGGGCCCCTAAGGGCTAGGGGAGCAACTAGAAGTTGGCTGCCCCAGTCCGGGATCGTTAGTTCGGGTTCCTCGGGCTCTGGGAATGCGCTTTCAGTCCACTTGGCTGGGTCTCTCGGCATCTACCAGTTGCTAGGTAACCTCCTCCCCGCCTCCCTCCCGGGATCCCGCGGACACTATCCGCGTTCATGCCACCACTCTCATTGGCTGATACTGCGCGGAAGGGCGGTCCCAGAAGGGGGCGGGGCAGAGCGTCGCAGCTGGCTGGCGCGGAAGGGTGCTGGCGCGGAAGGGTACATCACCGTCACGTGCTGATCCTTGTTTTATTTTTTAATTTTTTTTAATTTTTTTATTTTTTGTTTAAATCCGGCTGAACGTTCGCGGACAGTTTTCAGGAACTTTCTTTTCCGGCTGCGGAAGTCGCCACTCCCAAGATGGAGACACGTTGCGCCGCCATTAAGCGCGAGTCTTCAGATCTCTTTTAAAAGCTCCACGGTCCTACCCAAGATGGCTGCCTTAGTTCCGGTGTTCGCGGGCTTGCCACTCCCAACATGGCGCCTTCGAGTAGCCGTTCTCGGCGCGCAGAGAGCGAAAGGAAGTGACGTATGATAGACTTTTCCGCTTTCTTTCTGCAGCAGGAACTGTGGCCGCGGGGCAAGGGGGTTACGGTGGGTATTGATTGATTTTTGTCTCGGCCTCGTATCTGTGATGAAGTAGTGGGTGGGTAGGCACACCAATTTCTTACCGGGGGCGGCTCAAGGGAATAGGGTCGGAGAAACTGTTGATCCCTTGGGCCTGCTGGTGGGAACTGGATTGCCCATCCATCCCGGCACCGAGAGCGAAGGTATGAGTTCCCCACCATTGATTTGAACAAAGTGAAACTTTTCCACTGGGCCGAATTGGGGAGACCCCCTGCATCCTACCTGGAATCGTATGCCAAGTGGGCTCTCATTGCTCGGAAGCGTGGAGGAATCCAATTGGCTGGAAGTAGCTATCTCCGCTGACCCGGTGCCCGGTTCTTGCTGCAGTGTGGGGTCACCGTGCATCTTCCTGCAGTCTGTTCCTCCCACAGACCCTGCTTCCGGCCTCAGATCCCCGCGGAATGTTGCTGCTGGTGCTACTGCTGCCCCTCTGCTGGGCCGTGGAGGTCAAGAGACCTCGGGGTGTCTCCCTCACCAGTGAGTCCTGCTGTGCACAGGCTGGAGGAGGGGGGTAGGGTGTGGGAGGGGCCTTTATAGCCTTTGACCTCAGTTTCCCAAGTCATCCTGGTGGGTGGGACAAGTTGCATTTGATAGAGAAGACCCGCTTCTGCCCTAAGCTGAGCCTCTTATTCTCTCTAGATCATCACTTCTACGACGAGACCAAACCTTTCACTTGTCTGGATGGCTCGGCCACCATCCCTTTTGATCAGGTCAACGACGACTACTGTGACTGCAAGGATGGCTCAGATGAGCCAGGTGAGCCTTTTCTGTCTTCCTTTTTTTTTTTTTTTTTTTTTTTTTAGAGTGGGTCTGGAGTTTTGGACTCAGGGCTTCGTGCGTGCGTGCAAAGCAGGCGCTGTACCACTTGATCCACGTCTCCAATCCATTTTGTTCTGGTTATTTTGGAGATGGGGTCTCAAGGACTATTTGCCCGGGCTGGCCTCAAACCGAAATCCTCCAGATCTCAGCCTCCCAAGTAGTTAGGATTACAAGTGTGAGCCATTGGTGCCCAGCTTCTCCGTTTGTTTATTGTACATTTTTTGAGCGCCTTCTCAGTGCCAAGGACCAAAAGAGGCCTGGTCTTGCCCTTCCGTGGTTTCCTGTTGAATGAGTGGGAGGACAGGTATCAGGTCAATGTTGGTCCTTGGATAGAGCCCTGCATAACTTGGGCCTTTGGTACCATCCCCAGCACCACCCCCCAAAAAAAGAGAAAAAAATGCAGTCAACCTTATGACAGTAGATGGCTCCTTTTTCCCATCCTGGATGGTCAAGCCTGGGGGCTTCTTGGAGGAGGTGTGTTGTCAGATGAATCCTGGAGGAGCTGGAAATGCAGGAACCAGCACCTGCAAGTCCCTGCAGTAAGAGAGTAAGGCTGAAGGGCATCCTGACAAGGTGGAGTTTGGCTGCCCCGTTTGGAGGGGCGTAGTGAGGAGAGACAGGAAGAAGCACTAGAGAGTTGCCTCAGACCCCTGGGTGTACAGCTTCTGGTGCTTTCCCGTTAATTGGATGAATGAGTGGGATGTATCCACCCTGCCTGATTGAGCGGCCATCCTTTCTTTCTTGTCTCAGGCACTGCTGCCTGTCCTAATGGCAGCTTCTACTGCACGAACGCGGGCTACAAGCCTCTGTACATCCCCTCCAGTCGTGTCAACGACGGGATTTGTGGTGAGTGAGGAGACCCCTGACCTAGGGACAGTGATGGTGGCTGGAGGAAAGAGGCGCTGCCAGCTCTGATCTCCACCCCCTTCTGCCTCAGACTGCTGTGATGGGACCGAAGAGTACAACAGTGGCGTCGTCTGTGAGAATACCTGCAAGTATGTGGGTGGCAGTGCCTTGTCCTCACTACCCCCAGCTCCCCCTCCCTGGCTCCTTTTTTCTGGTTTGTCTTTGTTTTCCTGTTTTGTTTTGTTTTGTTTTGAGACAGAGTCTCAATATGTACCCTAGGTGGGCTGGTCTTAAACTCACAGTTCTCCTGCCTTAGCCTTCCAAATGCTGGGATTACAGCTATGCACCACCACACCCAGCCCCTTTTCTACTTTTGTGTATTGAGTTCCTGCTGTGTGCCTTGTGAACCTTACATCAAGCAGCTGTGATTGATTTCCTATTCAACATTTGGGGAAACTCAAATGATGAATAGGGGTCACATAACTAGGAGGCAGCAGAGCAACTACTTAAGCCTTGGTCAGTGTAATATCTGACTACATACTTTTAATTGTCCTGTATTGTATTGGAGGCCTGAAAACTTAAATGCCCACTGGCAGGTAATGTAAACAGCAGAAGCCGATTGAGTATAAGGCAGTAAGGACTGGTGGGGATTGTGACACTGAAGGAACAGCTGCTGTCAATTCCTGTCACTTGTTGGCAGGGTTGGAAAGAAGCCAGAAGTCCTAATGCTTATGTAAATTCTTCTAATTTGAGAGCTCTTTTTCTTTTCCTCTTTTCTTTCTTTTTTTCCCTGTGCTGGATGTGGGACCCAGAGCCTTGCACATGCTAAGCAAGGGCTCTAACCAGTTAGCACCATTAGCTGCACCCCAGCTCTAACTTCGCATCTTCTAAATAGAGGGTGGATTGAGCAGGATATGCTGGTGAGGCAGATTCCCTTTGGTCTGGGAGTCTGTGATTTCTGTCTTTTTTTTTTTTTTTTTTTTTGGTAGGACTGAAGTTTGAGCTTAGGGGTTCACACTTGCAAAGCAAGCGCTCTACCCCTTGAGCCACACTTTCAGTCCATTTTGTTCTAATTATTTTTGAGATGGGCGTCTCAAGAAATACTTGCCTAAGCTGGTCTGGAACCATGATCCTCCCGATCTCTGCTTCCCAAGTAGCTAGGATTATAGGCATGAGCCACCAGCGCCTGGATTCTCCTTTGTTTCTTAGTAGTCAGCTTCCAGCCCCACTTTCCAGCACTCTCCTGACCCAAAGAGTTGGCAAGCTCTGCCCACTGGCCCTCCTCTCAAGAACAAGAATGCAAGGCACTGAGGTGGAGAGCCTGGAGGGGTGGGAGGAGGGTTGCTGTCTTGTCTTTCCCAGTGTGGGGGGTAGATTGAACCCTTCTGGAAGAGGTAGACCTGGTGGGCCCTAAGTGCCCTCTGGTGATGCCTGTGTGTCCCTTCCACTCCAGAGAGAAGGGTCGTAAGGAAAGAGAGTCCTTGCAGCAGATGGCAGAGGTCACCCGCGAGGGCTTCCGCCTGAAGAAAATCCTTATTGAGGACTGGAAGAAGGCCCGCGAGGAGAAGCAGGTGAGGCACCCCTGGGGGCCAGCCCAGGAGGATCTGGGCCTCAAGGCTTCAAGAGGTAGGCTGGCAAGTCTGGGGGGAGGTTATATGTACCTCAGTAGTGACGTCTGGGGCAAGTCACCACCTGCCTGCACCTTGCTTTGCTCAGGTGCACACTGAGCAGTGCGTAGTTGTTTGAGCTGTTCCAAGCAGGAGCCCATCAGCTCAGGTGTCAACCAGGGCCTTGGATTTCAGACTGAAGTAGGCTCCAGGGGACTCTTGTCTCCTGGGGACAGGAGGGATGCATCTGCAACCTGGAGCTGTCCACATGCTGGGCTATTGATGGATGACTGCCTAGTTCTGGGAAGGGAGTCCCAACATGATCACGTCAGTCGGGGTAGTGTCGTCGATTCAGTGGGGTGGCTACTCGAGTCCTTATGTCTCTGCCCTACTTGTTACCGTCCTGGCAGTTGGATGGGTCACAGTCCTTAGCTTTGTTCATGAGCTCCTGCCCAAGCCACTAAGCCAGGGAGCTAGTACTGTTGTTGTCCAAGGAAGGTTCCAGGTCCTTCTCTACCAGCCATATGGCTAGAGAGGTCCCGTGAAGCTCAGGGGTCAGTGATTTTCATCTCAAATTCAGGGGGTTTGGGGAAGTCATATGGTGAGGTCAGGTCCAAGTGACCTTTGTCCAAGGATCTTGGTAGGAGGCCAGTCCAAGGTGTCTACCAAGGTCTTAGGAGAAAATCAGTCCTACAGGGACTTAGACTAGACCTTACATCTTGGGGTCCTATCCCTATGTCCATAGGACAGAGCAGGCCCGCTGCACTTGTTTTGTTGTTTGTTTTTTTGGCAGTGCTGGGTATAGAATCCAGGGCCTCATTCACACTAGACAGGGGTCTCACAAACTATTTGCTCAGGCTGGCCTGAACCTCAGTCCTCCCGATCTCAGCCTCCCAAATAATTAAGATTATAGGTGTGAGCAACCGCTTCTGGTTCCCTTGTTCTTTGCCTCTTTAGTAGAGGCAGGAAGGGACAGCAAATGGGTGGGAGGGAGAGTGAAGGAGAGCTGGCCTCTTGCCTTCTGCCTGCCCCACAGAATAAGCTCACTGAGCTGCAGGCTGGAAAGAAGTCTCTGGAAGACCAGGTGGAGATGCTGCGGGCGGTGAAAGAGGAGGCTGAGGTGCCAGAGAAAGAGGCCAAAGAGCGGCACCAGAAGCTGTGGGAAGGTACATGGAGGAGGGGCCCGGGGCTCACTCTTCTGTTTGTTTATTGATTGATTGATTTTGAGACAGGTCCTTCCTGTCTAGCCCAGGCTGGGGTGTTGCTCTTTGTGACAGGAGGAGGAAGAGGCCCGAACCTTCCAGACTTGATCATTACCTGTCACCATTATCTGTCATCAGTTTCAGTTGTTTTTTTTTTTTTTTTTAATTTTTTTGCAGTGCTTGGGTTTGAACCTAGGGCCTGGCACATGCTAGGCAAACCCTCTGCCACTGAGCCACACCCCCAGCCCAGTGAAAATTATTTATGGAAATAGTTTTCAGCCGTGGATGAAAGATCCTTTTCTAGAGATTGTTCTTTTATTTCTGTGTGGTGGCAAGAACACTGCTTTTCAGGGATCTCGGATCCATATTCAGGACTTGCTTGAAGTGCGTGAACTTTGATGTGTGCACAGGTCTGGTTATACCTGACCTGGTCTGTTCTCTGTGGTGCTCTTATTAGTCTCTCCCTTGCCCCACCACGTCTTATCAAAGCAAATGATGTCTGATATTGCCAGGATTGGCAAAATCTCTTAGAACTGGACTGACTACCTGAGTTCCTCCAGTTTTTTTGTTTGTTTATTTGTTTGGCAATACTTGGGTTTGAACTCAGGGCCTCATGCTTGCTAGCCAAGTGTTCTACCACTTGAGCCACTCCACCAGCCCTTTTCTGTGCTGGGTATTTTTGAGATAGGGCTGTCCTTGAACTGAGATCCTCCTGATCTCTGCCTCCTGAGTAGCTAGGATCACAGGTGTGAGCCACCGCCATCTGGCCCCTTTTTGCTTTAGTTATTTTTTAGGTAGGGTCTAGGCTGGCCTAGCCCTCAATCCTCCTACCTATGCTTCCTGTGTAGCCGGGATCACAGGTGTACACCAGCAGGCCAAGACTCTTCCTGAGGGCAGGGATCATTGCCCATCTTGTTCACGGCTGTGTCCCTAGTGCCCAGGATGGTACTGGGCACACAGTAGGTACTCAGTGAAGGCCAGTTTTGGGTGGTAGGAAGTGGGGACAGGGCAAAGAGTGACAGAGCTGGCCCCTCCACAGAGCAGCAGGCTGCCTCCAAGGCCCAACGGGAACAGGAGCTGGCTGCCGACGTCTTCCAGGAGCTGGACGATAATATGGATGGGGTGTAAGTATGACTGTGCTGCCCACCTGGGCCTGACCCATACCCTCATCTGCTTTTAGAAACCAGCCAGAGCTCACCTTGGGGTCACCCTCTGTGAGGCCTGATCCCACCATGTCACTTTCCCATGCTGACGCTAGGCCAGTACATGTGGCCAGTACCAAACCTGGGTCTGGTTCGGTGTGGGATTTTTTTGTTGCTTTTCTATGGTGGTGAGGATGGAACCCAGGGCCTCATATTTTCTAGTCGGTGCTGAACCACTGAGCTGCTTCTTGGCTCCTGGGTCTGAATCTTGGCTGAGTGTCTGAATTCCTGGCGACCAGGTAGAAGATGGGCTGTTGGGGCCAAGATGTACACAGGAAGTCCAGGAGATGTGTGAGGGCAGGGCAGACGGTGAGGGGAGGGTTTTCCTGGTTAGTACTGGCTGTGGGGATACAGGTGTGGATCTTGAGGCCTTCACTGGTTGGAGGTAGGAGGCAGTGGGCCGCTTCAGTGAGTTGGGTGTGAGGGTAGAAAGAGGTAGAAGCTGGTGGGTCAGGAGAAGGGGCTTCTGGAGTGTGGGGGCTCCAGGTGTCTCCAAACCCTACTCCATCCTCCACCTCGGTCAGGGTCATACAGCTGTGAGGAGCAGGTGCGAGCCCAGGACTGGGCGGGTGGGGCTGGGAAGCAGATGGAGGTCCTAACTCCAATCCTTACCTCACCTGCCTTGCTCTCTGCTTGAAGGCCATGAAGCAGGTCCCTGGCCAGCCCTGGCAGGGAGGAGCCATGTGGTTCCCACCGCTCACCAGCCGGCTGGCCAAGAGCCAGTGGCCTCACCCTTCCTTGTCTCATCCCTACAGGGTCTCGGTGGCTGAGCTGCAGACCCACCCGGAGCTGGACACAGATGGGGATGGGACACTATCGGAAGGGGAGGCCCAGGTACCCCTGCTTGCCCTGGGCCTTCTAGCAAACACTGGTCCAGGCTGACCTCAGGGCAGGGGAGGGGGCCAGGGTGGCCATAGGCAGCTCTGGTAGAAAGCTCCCTGCTGGCTCTGCTGCGTTACCCAGCCGTGGCCGTTGCCTGGGTGAGTCCAGATGGTGGCTGCCGCCGGGACCCAGGGTAATGCCAGGGCAGGCCAGAGCCTGTTTTCCCACGCCTACCCCACTCCCTATATCTACTGGCTGCCTCCAGGGCACTCCATCTGCCCTCCCCATCCATGGGTCTTCAGTCCTGTCTTCCCCGCTGCTGGCCAGCCAGCCCTCTGTCCATCCCTGCCCTTGGAGGGCCTGGCATGTTCTCGTGCTTTCCTTGTCTCCCTGTTTGTCTATCTCTCCCTGTCCCCTGGTCTGCCCAGCCCCCTCCCAGATCCTCTCCACAGGCCTGTACTGCCCCCTTCCTGCCACAGCATGTCACCTGCCTGCTCTGGCCTGGTCTTCAGGGCTTGGTGTCCAGCATACCCGTGCCTGGCACCCAGGGCTTGGGGTAGGGCCCGGGGACATGAGGAGGCCACAATCCTGACACCACCCCAACATACACAGGCCCTCTTCGGTGGGGACATAGGGATGGATGCTGCTTCCTTCTACGACCGTGTCTGGGCTGCCGTCAGGGACAAGTACCGATCTGAGGTGTGTGGAGGGAGGGGAAGAGACAAGGCCCTCCCCCTGTGCTGCCCCCACTGCTTCTCAAAGGCCTTCGCTGTTGGCACTGGGACACCCTGGGCAGCTGGGCAGCCTAAGCATCTTCCATGGAGGCCACCCAACCCCCAGCTGTTGGTCCATTCCTCTAGAATGGGGGTACACCGGTCCTTCCCTTAGGGCGATGATGTGAGCTAGTGTCCAATCCCTGAGGGATGGGGTGTGGCCCCCCAAGTCCTCAGCACTGAGCACCCCACTCACCTATGCACCAGGCACTGCCCACTGATCTGCCAGCACCTTCAACCCCTGATGGGGAGGAACCCAAGGGGGAACAGCCACCCACACCCTCACGGGCCACAGAGGAGGAGGAGGAGGAGGAGGAGGAGGAAGAGGAGACAGAAGAGGAGGAAGAGGAAGAGGAGGATTCGGAGGTGCAGGGGGAGCAGCCCAAGGTGTGTGTTTGGGGAGGATGGGGGCAGAGTGGGGCGGAGCTGTGCTGCTGCTGACTCTGCTCACCTTCAGGAGGCCCCACCGCTCCAGCCCCCACAGCCAGCCAGTCCCTCCGAAGAGGACAAGATGCCTTCCTACGATGAGCACACTCAAGCCCTCATTGATGGTGAGGCTTGGGTCTGGGTGTGGGGGACACCAGCTTCCCGTGCCGGCACACTCTGCTGCTCTGTGTGCAGGGGCCCGGGCCTCCTGGAGCATTCGTGAGGGGCTCTAAGGCGTGGAAGCGCTAGTCCCACCCCTGTCAGCCCCCAGAGTCATCCTGCCTCCCCACAGGTTGTAACTTGTTTGCGCCACCCCTGGCAGACCAGGTGCCAGCTGGGCCCCAGGAGCCCTAGCCAGGTGCCCTGGGGGAGCTGGGCGCCCTGGCAGCAGGGTAAGGCCTGCTTTGCCTTCCTGGGGCCTGTCTTTGTCCAAGGTAGACCTGGGGAACAGGAGGAAACAGTTGCATTCTCTGTGGCACCCCATTCCCCCATCTTCCTGCCTGGGGCCAGGGCCCTCTGACCTCCATCTCTTCCCCAGCCGCCCAGGAGGCCCGTACCAAGTTTGAGGAGGCTGAGCGGTCCTTGAAGGAGATGGAAGAGTCCATCAGGTACCAAGGCCTGTGTCCAGCCCAGCTACCACCTGTTGCCTGACTACCTAGAGGCGGGTGCTACTGGTGACCAAGGATCACCTAGGCAGCTGAGGCCAGGCCAGCATGGGGCCTGCACAGAGAGTCCCTGGTGGTAGTGGTGGAAGGGAGCACAGCCCTTGGGGGTCCATCCACCTCTCAGCTGGGCCTTCCTGTTCTGGGGTCTCGTGTCCTCGGCTGCCCTTCACACTGGGCCTTCTCTTCCAGGAACTTGGAGCAGGAGATTTCGTTTGACTTTGGCCCCCACGGGGAGTTCGCCTACCTGTACAGCCAGTGCTACGAGCTCACCACCAATGAGTGCGTCCCATCCCGCCCCAGTCCAAGGGGCCCAGGCAGGGCAGAGGCGGGTGGATGCCACAAGGGGAGCTGGTGGGATTTCCTGATGCAGAGGATCTGAGGGCTTAGGGTACACATGAACAAAGTCAGCCTCCCAGCCAGGCATGGTGGTGCATGCCTATAATCCTAGCTTGGGAGGCAGAGGCAGGAGGGTTGTGGGTTAGAGGCCAACATAGCGAGACCCTGTCTCAAAAAAGGAAAGAGGAAGAATGAGGCGGCCTTCCAGGTGAAGAGGGACATGTCACGTGTCTGGGGAGTTTGAGGTGCCGTCAGCTTTCTATGTGTGGGGACATCAAGGAGGCATACGGGCTGTTGAGGCCTCTGGGGTCCCTGTGTCCCCCGCACCAGTCCTGTTCCTCCACAGGTACGTCTATCGGCTCTGCCCCTTCAAACTTGTCTCGCAGAAACCCAAACTTGGCGGCTCCCCAACCAACCTTGGGTGAGTGGGTTTAGGCTGATCCCCCTTCCCTCTGCCCCCGCCCCCCACCTGCCGGACCCTCAGCACCTGCACTTTCCCACAGGACCTGGGGCTCGTGGGCTGGCCCTGACCACGACAAGTTCAGCGCCATGAAGTATGAGCAGGGAACAGGCTGCTGGCAAGGGCCCAACCGCTCCACCACGGTGCGTGCCTGACGGGTAGAGAGCCTGGGGGGCCCTGGGGACCCAGCCTAGTCGATCCCATCCAAGTGTCCTCTTGCCTTGTCCCTGGCCCCAGGTACGTCTGCTTTGTGGGAAGGAAACTGTGGTAACCAGCACCACAGAGCCCAGTCGCTGTGAGTACCTCATGGAGCTGACCACGCCAGCTGCCTGTCCAGAGCCACCCCCAGAGCTGCCCACTGAAGGCGACCACGACGAGCTATAGCTGGGCCGTGTGGAGGTGAGCAAGGAGGTGGGTACATTGCTGCTGTCCTGGCTCTCTGCGTCCCCACCTCGCCTGTTCGTTTATCCGGCAGTGCTGGGGCTAGAACCTGGGACCTCCACGCTAAGCGCATTCTCATCCGAGCGCCTCCCAGTCCTTGTCTGTCTGTCTCATTCTGTTTTCTTCTGCCCTAGAACCTCAAGGCATGAAACCAGTCCCCAGCAGTGCCACCCACCTGCCCCTCAGTCTTGGTCTGTGGACCAAGGCCTGCCCGCTGCCTGGGATTCCTGGCTCCTCCATGGGGCGGGAGCTGAGCGGGGCCCTGCTGCCCAGGGGTCACGCCATGTTCCCAGGCCCCAGTGGCCTCCAAAGATGGGATAGAGGAACTCACCCTCCCTGGGCCCCCAACCTGGGGGTTCACCCGTGTACCCCGCTGGTCCCTGCCTCCTCTCCTGGTGGGGATAAGGGAATGACGACCTGTGACCTCAGAACAATAAATGTGACTCCTCCCCCCCAAACTTGGCTGCCTCACTTTCCTGGGGTATAAAATGGTGCAGAGAAGTGCAGGGGAAGCAGCAGTGCACAGATCCTGCCCAACCTTCCCTTGCCCTGGAGCAGGCACCATAGCCCACCTGATATATGAGGGGACCAATGGGACACCTGGCCACTTGTATTTGAGCTTCCATCTGGGCCGGGCTCAGCCCTGCCCCCCGGCCCCCCCAGTCAAGGTTCCCTCCCAGGGCAGATGAGACCCAGGCCCAGAGAGGGACAGCAGCTGCACTAGGTCACACACAGCCGCACACATTATCACCCAAGATTTTAAGATTCTGAACTTTTATTTTCTGGCATGAAAAGTACAAATAATTAAACAATTCCATGTAAAAGTCTGTTACCGCGGCCAGGCCTGGAATCCCGGTAATAAATAGTCTAAACGCAACGCAAAGTATTCTTGGGTTGGTTTTTTTTGTTTTTGTTTTTTTGTCTTTTTTTTTTTTTTTTTTTTTTTTAACAGTTCTTTATCACCTCCAACATGGACTCTGTCATGATTTGAAACCTTCTGAATAAATAACAGGATGAAGGGAGGGTTGGAGGGGCTGAGCCCCCTCCTCACTGGCCTGGCCCCTGACCCCCAGAGACATGGAAGACCCGAGGGCCCCCACCTTTGGAGCCCTTGGCCTGGCCCCCTGGGGGCAGGGGCTGGCCTCCTGGGAGGGGGCCTGGCTGGGCTGAGCTTTGTTTTTAGAAAAAGAAGTCCCCTCCCAGTCCTGGGGTGGCAGGGGCCTAGGCCTTGGTGGGGGGTGTGGGGAGGTGCCCCCTCTGCAGAGCCTGGCCCCCCTCCCCCAGGGTGGGGGACAAACCCAGCCCTTATTGCTCGGACGCCTCCAGCACACATGTGTGCACAGGGCGGAGGGGAGAAAGCCCCAGAAACAGCAGGGAAAGAGGAGTGGACCCGCTGGGGGGGTCCCTGCCCTGCTGGAAGGAAGGGGGTAGGGGGAGAAGGACTTAAAACCACAAGAATAAATAGGTTTGTGTATCATGAACAAGCTAGGGTTTTCACCAGCTAAATAGGACTGAAAAAATTCTCAAGACAAGAGCAAAAATAATCCCATTGAGACCCCCAGATGTCACAGGCCATGGAGACAGCCCCATGGAGCCCGTGCCTCCTGGGTGACACTCAGCTACCTTACTGTTATTAATAATTATTATTACTTTAATAATTCCACTTCCCCTTGTATAAATAAATTAGGCATAACCACGTCTCGGCAAAACTGAAAGAAACAAAGAGAACATTGTCGTTCCTTGAACTTGCAAACTGGATGAAGTAACAGAAATCTACACAAATGTCCCTACAGGGTAACAGGAATAATAAATAGTTAACATAGCAATAAGTTAAAACTACAAGAAGCTAAATTCAGCAAAAAAGTACAAGAAAGTTAACTGGTGCCAGTTTATGTCTTTTTTTTTTCCTTTTTTTTTTTTTTTTAAATCTCTTCTGTGTGTGTTCTTTTCTTTGTTTTTCTTCTTTTTTTTTTTTCCTCTTCTGTTTGTGGGGTTTTTTTTGTTTGTTTTGTTTTTTGTATTTTTTTTTTGTTGCTTTTTTGATTTTTTTTTTCCTTTTTGTTCCTTGCAGCAGAAGCTCCACAGACGTTAAATAACAACACCGGGGGTGGGGTGGGGAGAGAGAGTTGGACGTTCAGATGGACCATGGCCAGACACCAAACGCAGAGGACACTGGGAGAAAGCAACTAGAACTAGAGTTGGGGGCTTTGCAATTTTCAGTTCTGACTGGACCCACTCGGGGTGGGGGGGGGGTGGTTCAAGACCTCCCAGGGGCCCTGGCCTTTGGTTTTCTGTTGGAATTTTTTTTTTTTTCTTTTTAAAGGGTGGGAAAGCAAAATCCAAACAGAAGTCAGGGCCAGGGCTCTGGATGGGGGCTGTGTCCACCACCCTCCCCAATCTAGAAAGACGAAAAACCCAACAATTGAAAGGGGGGGGGTGACAAGTGAACAGGAAGGGGGTGGGGCTGGGCCCTGGGCCCCGTCCACCCTGGGCCTGGTGGGGTGTGCTGGGTGCTTGCTGTCGGAGGCCTGGCCCTAGTGAAGGGAGACTTAAGGGCCGGGCCTCCTCCTGGCCCAGGGAGGCTGAGCCCCAGGGACGGGATCCTTTGGCCTCAAGAGTTGTGGGGGATGGGGGCTGCCTCCAGCCCACCGTGATGCCAAAGTGGAACGAGGTATCATGTGTCTGGATGCATGGATGCTGTGTGTGCACGCCTGTGTTGGTGGGCAGCAGGGAGGCCCAGGAGCCAGGACAAATCTGTGCAGAGAACCTGGGGCAGAGGTGGGGTGGGCCCCAGGGGCCCCAGGAGGAAGGGTGGGCTGGGCCAGCCTGGCTGGGTCAGGATCTGGGATGGGACTTCTTGCCTGGGCCTGTGGGATGCTTGTGTGTTTCTGGGTGCTGTGTGTTTTTCTGTGACTGGGTGTTCAGATCGGCACGTGTCTCTGATTTTATGGGTGCACATGGGCTGGTGGACGTATTTGAATGTCCATATGAACGAGTGGCCACCTATGTCTGTGTCCACATTGATGTAGCCCCAAGCCTCTGTCTTCTTTGTCTAGATTGATCCCTATCTGTGTAGCTGGGGTTTGGCCAAAGCATTCCCACCTGTGTCTGTGCGTGTCTCTGGGTCTGTCTCCTGTGGTCTGAGTGTGTGGCCCTGCGTGTCTTTGCGTGGCTGTTTCTCTGTGTGCGTGGCCCAGCCCCTCAGCCCCGCTCCCTGCGCACTGCCTGCCCCGGTTGGTAAGCATCACCTGCCAAAATAGTTTCTTTCTTTCTTTTTTTTTTTTTTTTTGTCTTTTGTGATTTTTTTTTTTCAAGTTCAAGAATCCCCAGTAAAAATTCTCCACGAGGTCTTTTTCCCTTTTTACAAAAATAGAGTTTTTCTTCCCCTCCCCCCCCCCCCTTTTTTTTTTTTCATTTTGTTTCTCCTTCCAGTCCCGCCCCCCCTGCTCCCCACATTCCACCCAGGGCTTTGGAGGCTGGGGATCCACCCCCTCTTCATGGTTTGCTTTTTTGGGGATTTTTAAACCTGTTCCCTCCCCTCTCTCTCCAGGCTCATCTAGGTGTCAGAGAGGCCTGAGCAAGGGGAACCTGGGAGGGCACCCCGGTGTCCCCCAAGTCATCCCAAGCAGGGTGGTGGAGGGTGGGGTGGGGGGCTTGTCTTTGCTTTCTTTTTAGCCAAAAAATGAAACAAAAACCTTCACCATGAACCGAACCAAGACAAGAGAGTGAACAGCCCAGCCTGGGATGGTGGGGCAGGGAGAATGGGGTAGGGGACCCCCATTCCCTGCAGACCCTCCTGTCCCCAAGTGCTCACCCTGTGGCTGCCACTTCCGAAAGGGTGTGGGTCTGCCTGGGCTGTCTCTCTCGGGCCCCTTCTCTCTCTCTCTCTCTCTCTCTCTCTCTCTCTGCTGCCCGGGAAGGGGAGGGCGGCAGGCGGACGGCTCAGGCCTTGTGCTGTTTGCTGGTCTTGAACGACACCTGCAGTACGCGCTCGCCCAGGCGGTAGCCATTGAGGCTGGCAATGGCCATGGCCGCCTCGTCGTAGTTGGTCATGGTGACGAAGCCGAAGCCCTTGCACTTGTTAGTGGTGAAATCTCGGATGACCTTGACATTGGTGACCGCCCCGAAGGGCCCGAACAGCTGCCACAGCACGCTCTCATCTGCCTCTGGCGACAGGTTGTACACGAAGATGCACCAGCCGGCGCCCGCCGCGCCCCCCGCCAGGCCCACGCCCGCCAGGCCACTCATGCCGTCTATGGCGATCGGTGAGAACCTGGCGATGAGCGACAGGGGACTACTTTGGGGGTCACGCGGGCTCTGCCCTGACCCCCAGCATGCCTCCGACCCCACCGATGTCATCAGAGCCCCCCACTTGTGCCCATTCTGTGTGTGACACCTGTTATCGCCCCGACCCTGCTAGGGCCTTGTAACACCAGCCTGGCGAAATCAACCCCTCATGCACCCTAGTTGCCACCTGTCCCTCAGTACATTTCACCCAACTTCTGTCCTCATCCCAAATCTGACCCCATCCTGACCTTACCCTGGGTAACACTGCCCCGTTTTGCCTCATGGGCCACCCTGTCTCCCCGCGTGGCTGGATGCTTACTCTGGACATGAACCATCTGTTTGTCAGTGCATCCGTGCTGTGTACACTACCTGCCCATTAGTCACTTAGACTCCATCTCAGTTATCAACTCATCTGTCTTAGTGTCACCGTGCTTTTGGTCAAACAACCTTTCTTTTACTAAATTAATGACTGGCTCTGAAGCATAGGAGCACCGTGGTGGCAGCTCAGAGGAGCAGTAACGATGCTTTCTTTAAGTAAAGAGGTGGAAGTTTTCAACTAAAGTAAATAATCATCTGCTGAGATCACTAAGATCTGTAACAAATCTTCCATCTATGAAATTACAAAGTGAAAAAGAAATGTGTGCTAATTTTGTAGCAGCCCTAACATCACAAAAGTTGTAGCCACAGTGTGTGATCAGTGCTTAGGTAAGTGGAAAAGACACTTATACATGTATGTATAGAAAGCAGAAAAGCCAGGTGTGGTGGTGCACACTTATAATCCCAGCACATGGGAGGCTGGTGAAGGATGGAGAGTTAGTTCCAGGTCAGCCTGGGCTACACGGCCAAGACCCTGTCTCAAAGAATATAGCTCAGTGGTAAAGCACCTGCCTAGCATGGGCAAGGCCCTGGGTTTGATCCCCAGCACCACAACAAAAAAAAAAAAAAAAAAAAAAAAAGGGGACATGTAGAGGTCCATTGCATTCTCATATCAGGCATCCAGAGGGGGTCTTATTTCTCTCCAGAAGATAAGGGTGGACTACTGTGTTTACTATCAGCTCCATGTTCCCTGCAAGGGTTTGTTCCCTGACATGCCCCAGTCTCAGAATAACACCTACTAGGCATTTTGGAGGCATTTTTGGTTTTTTCTATGGTACTGCGGTTTGAACTCAGGGCCCCAGGATTGCTAGGCAGGCACTCTACCACTTGAGCCACACCACCAGCCCTTTTTTTTTTTTTTTTCTTCGATATTTTCCAGATAAGGTCTCATGAACTATTTACCTGGGGCTGGCTTTGAACCACCATCCTCCTGATATCTGCCAGCTAGGA